ATACTAGATATAAAAGAATTAAAAAAGAAAGAAAAAAAAGTTATAAATTTATAGAAAGATTATTATAATCTTATAAGTTTAAAGTATTTATTTAATAGCTTTATATAATATATATATATTATTAAAGAGTTTTAATCTATAGGCTCTATATATACTTTATATTTATAATAAGCTTTTTATACCTTTAAACTTACTATAAGTATATAATAAGTAGAAAGAGCTAATTTAATATAGAAGTATAATATAATTATAGTACTAGTAAATAGTCTATTATCCTATAGTAATTAGCTAGATTATAAGTATTTAGAAGTAAATTTATAGTAAATTATAAGAAAAGCTCTTATAAAAAGAGTTCTAAGTCTAAATTCCTATTATCTTAAATATATAATAGAGGCTAAAGTATAACTTTAATAAGAGGAATAGATCTATTAGGAGAGAAATAGATTAGCTAATAAAAGTATATAGATAAGTAGATCCTAATATATAAAGCTATATATATAATAAAATAATATTATAATCTTAAGGGATTTAGAAGGATTAAAAGCTAACTTATCTATTAGGTAGCTATTAGCTATTATATTATTAGTTAATTATAAGCTTATAGCTAGTTAGTATCTACTCATCTTTACTCCCTGTATATGCTATTATTTATCTGATAGCGCTCCAGATAGTATTGACTTGTTGGACACCTAGCTAGTGCCGCGAATTGGCATTCTACCCAGCGTAATCTATAATGAATCAGAAAGTCAAAGACATGCCATGGTTGATTGGATTAGACTTACACGCCTTGAGCCCCATCGACGAGGGCAGCTTCGATCTGATCATAATGATCTTTCCACTTTCGAAATCTCTGGTGTGTACGGAGATGTTGAGATACAAAATTGTTGATATCCTTGTCAACCGATTCATTTCTCATCTTTATCATAGTTTCATCAGAGGATGTTCTGAGAAGCGATGAACGAATTTCGGCGTAATCTCTACCGGACACGATGATATGCAATCGAGGCTCGCCCCAATCTCTTATCTCGGCTAGAGTATCCAGCACTTCATCTCGGTATATTCCTGAAGGGCTTTCATCCAAAGCATCAATTAGAAGATAAACATCTTTGAAACTGAGCACAATTTGATGTAAACATTCCAAGAGGGCTTGATTGGTGGGAGAGTGTGACTGAGAACGCCTCCATAGCCTGGAAAGAGGATCATCCTTCTGATCGAGTTGGCTGGATAACTGCAAGATGATGGAACGAAGCATAGCTGAGAAATTCTGCTTGGTTTCATCGCTGAAAGTAAAGAAGAAGAAAGCGATGCCGATTCCTTGCTTTAACTGACGATGACGCTGCGTGTGCTCGATGATAGTCGTCATCAAGACAGACTTGCCACAGCCAGCGAAGCCGACAACCCAAAGAAAAGAAGTGGGCTTCACCAACCAGTCTTGGAATTGCGATCCTTCAACGAACCAGCTGCCTGTGCCAATGTGCTTCTTCTTCACAGCCTCATTAAAATTGATGCTGGGGTCTGGAGCATTGATCCACGACTTGATTTCACTACTAACAGAAGCGGCCTCCACGAGCTTCAGCAATGTTGCTACATCATCCTGCATTCTGTTCAAATCCTCATTCTGAAGAAGCTGTAATGCAAGCGATATGACTTGTACTGAGTCGTCAATGTCAGCTTCCAGCTTTTGCAGTGTGCTTTTTCTCAATGGGTAAACAAGCCGACGGCCGAAACTATGCAAGCTCTCAATAACATCGCGATCAGACGTTTTCCTGAGCTTGTTCAGCTGCTCTTCCAGTTCCTGAATGGGCTCATAGGAATCTTCCACATATGAATCCACTTTATCTAGAAGATCACCGTCTTTGGTGTCAGCTTTTCTATTGCTGAGTGAAGTTTGCAAGCTCTCTAGTAGATCCAAGAGGTGTTCAAGCTTCGTGGTTGTGTGGGCGACATCTTCAGATTGACCCCGATATGCTTTATAATACTGTATGAGGCCTTGCGCGCTTTTGAGACCTAGTGACAAGATTCCTGCAGCGCTGACATCGACGGATAGCGGGTCTGCCATGTTGGCATAGGAAAGCTTTACCTTGTACTGCTGATAGATGATCGGTGATAGCCCAGCCGAGAGGTGCGAGAGGAGTAGAAAGGCGGGTGGATACAAAGGAAGAAGATTTGCAAGTGAGATCTGGCAAGTTTAATTTTTCTACCACCCTCTTTTCTCTAGGGTGGAAGGATTGGGTTCTTGCTGCCCAACCTACGTGGCGATTCAGCCAACAATGCTGGTAAGGCTGCATGCAGGATGCCTCGTCTGACAGAAAGTGTACATATTGCGTTACCCAAATGGACGGCAGCCAAGCACCCAAGCGGGGTATCTGGATTTAATTATTTCTGATATGGATATTGCTATGCAAGTATTAATTGTTCTTGATTGTTCTTTAACATTCGACACGAGATAAATTGCTTGACGATTGTCAGGGGCTTCGTTGGTGGTTCGTTGTGGTAACCTACAACAAGACACCATAGGTAGAGAACAGCCCAGATACAGTGCACCTTGATAGGAAATCGAGACTAATTAGTTATGATGTGACTGCCATGTGGCCAGAGAGAGTCAACTTATTATATCTATTGAGCCGGGGGGAAGGACACCGCTCTGTACGTGAATAGACCTTGAGCATCAGCACGTCGACCCATTAAGCTCGCTTTTTGTAGTTTCATATCGTGAAGATGCATATACATCTGCAATATGCTAGATACCGGAATTCAGCCTCGTAAAGTAACATTATGTAAATTCGGCGACGGTGGTAGTTGCAAACCCAGAAACTAGATGCCGAGCTCTATCTTTCTAAGCATACCGGCCTATCCTAATTTTATTCAGACATTACTGAAAAGAGAGCTTTCTCATTCTATGAAAAAATCATCTATGCTGTCCAGCACCAGCACCAATACCAAGTTTCAGCGACTCGCGCCTATATTACCTCCAAGCCAAATCCAATAAAGCCAAGGTGTATCCCTTATGTAGTTGGTATCAATAACATGCAAACATTAAACAACCCATTTATGCCATTCTCCCTTTTTCAGAAACAAAATTCCTCCTAGTTATCGCACCCTGCACGTATATAGTCAGGGTTAGGCTCGTACGTGATAAAGATCTCCACCGTCACCTTGATAGATCTGTCCACATGGAGCATATTAAGCCACTTGCTGCCGACCTTGTCTCGCCATTCTTGTCCCAAACAGCCGCAACATACCACGAAGAGTGTGGGTTCCTGGTTCTGTTCGTCATATACCAGTTCCATGCCCGTGGGGTCTGATATCCGCTCTCGAAGGATATGGACGATGCCACTTCCTGTTTCGCTGTCTATTTCCACCTTCCAGAGTGTCCCACTGATATAACTACCGATGTAGGCAGTGGCACCGTCTCGAGTGATTGCCATGCCGTCGGCATTTGAGAGGCCCCTTGCCACAATCTGACATGCGCCAGCGGGCTGCAGATCTTGGCCGTCCTCAGCCCACCGGACAGGCAGGCGGCAAAACGTCCCTCTGCTTGTGTTTGTGTAGAACAAATCGTTTCCAAGGACCCTTATGCGGCTAATACCAAGGGCATCTCTCCTAGTCGCGGGTCGCATCGACTCATCTTCGTGAAAGATGGACACCGTTCCTGTTTCCACATCGACGCAGTAAATGCAGCCTAAACCAGAGTCGGCAACTAGAAGTGTGCGATCTGATACAGAGGTCATCCCGATGCATAATTGGGCCTCTGGCATGTCGGCGATCTTCGTGACCTGGGGCTGGATTTCCTCACTGGCATCTTCAGCGGAAGGAACTACTCGCCAAACCGCCGTGTTGTATACTTCCGGCGTCTCTAGGTCGACAATCGCCGTGAGAACGGCATATTCCTCACGTCCGGTGTTTTTTAACCGGCAGATGTTGAAGACTGAGGTGGTATCAGGGAAGCAGTGGATGAACTTTGGTTCTGAGCTGGGAGAGGGATTGCTCAGAGTCTTGGGATGTTGAGTGCTGCACAGTTCTGGGCCGTTGAGGCGGGGGAGAAGTAGATCGCCATTCGGGCGGATTGTAGTTGCCATGGACCAGGTTTCTCGGGGTAACTCATCAATGAGGATTATCTCCCGAAGGCCACTCTCGACCGTGGGTTCAGAACTGCTATTTGTCTTTGGGATCTGTCCATGGTTTTCTTCTGAAGCATGGCTGTCGGACTGCATTTTGCTGGGGTGGCCGTATACACCGGCAGTGAATATACCTGTGTGGTTGGTAGGTATGTTGTTGCTGCTTAGCAACATAGCATGCGACTAATGAGATGAATACAGTTGCTGTTTCTGCTGATATGAGCTAATGCGGTAGCATCCAGCGTTATGAGGTCGGGGAATTGTGTTCTCGTCGCCGCTCCTGGACTTGCAGCGGGGAAGATATCACGAGATTGAGGCTCTGAAATGGAGTACAAAGACAAGGTAATGAGTTTGGGGGATCACGTATGAGAGGAATGAAGATGAACAGAAGCAGGAACGGCTGGATATAGGGCCTTTTCTAACGAGGAACGCAGGGATGATGCAGCAGAGCGGGCGTCCTTTGGTGATCCGGGGCCCTTGCCCGCGGAGGAGGGTTCAACGGGAGTGAGTGTCCATCGCCTCTCCTAGCCTAGGGCAGGTGTCGAACCGGGATACGTTCCATGGACATGGGCGGTGGCAAGGCTGGGATACCCAGGCAGGTCTGCTGACAACAGAGACCCAGAGACCCGGTCTTGGAACTCGCTCATTGCTCCCCAAAGGAGGTAATTTCAGGCGGGCCCTGTTCTGACTGGGGCATGGCCAGGAATGTTGACAGGTAGTGCGACGAGGCAGGATGAGAGCCGGTGGTCATAGTCGGTCCCAATGCCACGGTAACTAAGGCCATCCAATGATGCTCAACACAACACCGGGAGCTAGCGTAACGCCTGTGGCTGGCAGTTAGGGGCCTACTTAGGTTACGGAAGGCCGGGAAGAGGCAGCCAGGGCACAGTTGGAGCGTCGCAGCCGCAGCGCATCCGCGAATCCGCCTCTGTGCCGACGTGTCTCGGCCTACGGGTGCTACGGGTCAGCGTAGTAGGCGGCTTTCGGATTTGAATTGGTCCTCTGTACGGCAATATACGTACGCAGCGGGCGGCGCAGGCCGGCAGGATGGGCTTTATTGCCTCTTTTTGTCCTCGATCCTTTTCCTCGAAGGTAATTAATATTAAACCTACAGGCTCTTGGGGGCGGATGGCGGTTGCCCCACCTCACTTGTCGGGCGTTCCTTCCCTCAGAACAGATCGCTTAGAGCAGAAGCACCTGTTTCCAATTGCTGTAAGCAGATTAATCGCACCTTCCTGGAATATCACAATAGGTGCCTGAGGCATGGACTTGTATTTTCTGTGTAGGCTTGAGCCCTCGTCACGAACATTCTTCAACCATCCAACTTTCGTATCCCTTTGCCCGATTTGGACCAGGCAGACACCGATGATCGAGCACAGAGCCACAGTCGCTGACGTCGCCGAGACCCTGAAGATGCACAAGCCAGGCACCTATTTCTAGCACAGCGACAAATTGCGTTGATCCTCGCCCCTCACCTCATCCTTGACGATTTCGCCCCGTGCACAAGCCGACCTCTGTCATAATTCGAACCCAAGCGCTTCCCAGTATCTGGGCAACGGTAGAGCAGCGTATGGGGTGGATTTGATGCCATCCCCCGACTGGTTGTTCTCCGCGGGAGTGGTCATTGGTCCCAGCTCGAGAAGAGCGATCAACAACAGCCGCCAATTGTACATATGTACTGGTACATCCCGTTGACCCCCACGCATATTGATAATACCGACCGCAAGGATAGATCAAGGCAAGCAGGGTAACCCAGCCCGTCGCTCATCAGCTAGAGCCTTAAATTTGAGGATGCAGTTGATCCAATTGGGCTATTGGCGACCATCAATCTACTCCGCGCTGCTCAAACTGAACCCAACCTCCCATAATATCACGGTGTACCCAGCCAAGGGGTTTGAACAAGATGATGATTTTACTTTGGACCTCAGTGGGGAGACTTCCTTCATCGGGAATTGGGTGAAAAAAAAAAGACAGACACCGGGCTTTCCTGCCATATCTGGATTTTACACTACGGAGAACAACAGCCATAACTGGGAAAACTCTCTGACCGACATAGGTGCCATATAACAGACCGTTGATTTTCCGCACCAAAGCCTAGGTTGATCTACGTGCTATCCACTACAGGGGAGATGCCTTCGGCCGTGGTCGGGCCTGAACGCCGGGAGCCAAACATGAGCGGCCGTGGAGTCACGAGGATCGCAACAGCCTACCCCCATTCTCTACAAAAAGGATTAATGGCGCCAAACTCCCAGTCGGTCTCTTAGCGGAGTGACCCCGGGGAAACAAGACGTTGAGCCAAATTGACGGATAGGCTAACATGGGAGAGACACCGCGGCGGAGTCTCGTCGTCCCGCGATCCTTGGCTTGACAGCTTCCAACCACTAAACCCTTGCCGTTCATGGTACCGAGCTCTCGGCGAGACTAATCCTGGTGCCTAGGAGCTAATTTTGAAAGAGAATTCTGGGAAAGGGGACCCGCGTAAAGCGTCGGCTACGAACTGACCAACGGCTCCCAGGCTCAAGAGATATCTGCCGGTCAGGGGGTTCGTAGTGATCCGGAACCGGAACCAGGGACTCTTCGGCCTTGTCTATTACGTTACCGCCTGCAGGTGGAAACTGCTGGGATTAGTCATTGCTTTCCGGTTGTCCTTCCACGACACGGCGTCTTCCTGAAGCCTGTGGATTTGAACAAGATGACAGATGACTTAACAATCTCTGGATTTTACTAAACTTACACAGTAACTTTCAGGTGATGATTCCACCTTGGATGATAAGTTAGATGCGTGGCTGAAAACTTTTGTACGACGATAAGGCTTCTAACTGCTATTTAGGTGAAGCTGTTTCTATCCATTACGCTGATGCTTATGCTGGTTCCCCTTATTTGAGCAAGCATATGACATGGAGTTGAAGTATGGAGCTGAATTTTGATCTACCCCGGCCACTGAACCAGCATGGCGGTGACTGATCTGTCAGTTTAATTCCCGTTTTGCCTTCAGGCAAGCCCCAGAATAATTTTAGAGCAGCGAAATGAAGGGAGCCGGGACATCCTTGCCACAAGGATTGGTAGCACTTCTTTCCACAATGAGGCGGAGATGGAGCCACCATCCATCGAACGGAGGATACGTAGCATAGGGGTAAAATGCCCAAGAATTTGATTCACGGCGGGGCTGATATGAGTTGGGGAGAGAAATATGTGCCTTCATGCGAAGATCTTCGTGGGGACGTTTGGAGGTCTATCCCTCGGCCGTCCTTTGCCACCCTCTGAGCTAATGAGACCCAGGAGACAATCCAAGTCTTTTCCCACCCTACAGAGAACATGAATCTACCCGCAGTTATCAGGAGATTAAACACGTCACTATAACTTCACCCGCGGGAAAGCAGAGCCGTTGGCTCAACCCACGGTCCGATACCGCTTATGAATGCTCATCAATCACCGGATCCAGTAAGATACCCCTTAAGGCCACTACTTGCAGGTAGGTTTCGGTGAAAATGCTGACCTCATTCGTTGATTTCATGATCCCCAGCCTCTTACCAAGGTCCTGAGCACCCGTCTGACACTACCCACCCGCGGAAGCAACCCCCTGCCTCCCAAATCGCAAACCAACCTCTCTTCGGCGGCCCTCTCTCCCGACGGGTTGGATGGATGGGGAGTCGTACGATTACTGTAGGGTCTAGTGGGTGACATTGAAATATGACACTTAAACATTGAGCTGCTTAGTTCCGAGTCTGCGGCTGGTATTTTTGGATGATTAGGTGCCGGTTGCATTAATGCTCAAGAGGTGATGTAGCGCACATGTATGCTGTTACTTTATTAAAGTAGCCTGTCTATTCACAACCACTCCCCTAGTAGACCGAACCATCACCATCAAAGAACTCCTCGTCCAGGATGGGCAGCAGCTCCCGCTGCCCAGCCCACTGCTCCTTGGCCGTGGGGAGGATCAGCTCCGGCGGCAGCACGAACCCATAGTCGCCCAGGTCCCGCAGCTCGACCGTGTAAGAAAACTCAGCGCCACCGATACTATAGACGTGGTCCGGGGCAGCGCCCGTGGTGGCGTAGAGGACGGCGCCGCTGGGTCCAAAGGTGTAGGTGGTACGGTTGGGCGACGAGTCGCGGATGGCCTCGCTGACCACGGAGGCGGCCTTGGTCCACTTGCCCAGCTCGGGGGCGTAGAGGGTCTCCTTGTTGCCGAAGGGGGAGAGGATGTACTGGCCGTAGCTGTGCCAGTCGATGAAGAGCTTGATCTTGGAGGTGTCGCGGAGGCGGCGGACGAGGCGGTCGAGCCCCTTGTTCTCGGGGGTGTCGGATGGTGCTTCGCCGCGGTAGGTCTGGGCGCACGGGTTTGTGGAGGCGCCGCGCGGGTTGGTGTCCCAGCCGAACTCCCAGTTGCGGTTGATGTCGCGGCCGTAGCAGGATGGGTTGGTTGCGTTGGGGGGCGCGGGTTGTCTGTTCTTGCGCCAGAGGCGGTCGGATGTCTGGGAGTAGACGAAGCCTGGGGTGATGTTAGTGCTATTCATCTTGTAACTGGGGGAGGGGGGAGGCTCGCCGTCGGGGTTCACGAATGGGAAGATCCAGAAGTCGTATTTGTCCAGGGCGGATGTGACGATGGTATCATTCTTGGTGTACCCGTTGATGAGCTGGAGCGTGATATACTCGACAACCTGAATATTCAGTCAGTACATGTGATCAATGAATAGAAAAGACAACGGTGTGCTTACCGGAGCGGCAATCCATTCGCGAGCGTGGACAGTGCCGTGGTACAGAACGGCTGGCTTCCCCGGACCGGCATTGCCATACAGATGGATACCGAAGATGTCGCGTCCCTCGTATGACTCGCCCGAGGAGACAATCTCGGAATTGCCGGGGAACCTCTTCTGCAGCTCGTCAAAGTAGGCGATGTGGTCCGTGTAGTTGTGGTACGAGGCAAACCAGTCCTCATCGTCCCGGACGTTGAGGCGCTTCGAGAGGCCCGCCGACTCGCTCTGGACGGAAGCGCCAAGGTCCTCGTGGAGGATCTTGTGCTCGAGGTGGAGGGCCTCGAATGCCGACACCTCGCTGGGGGAGACGAGGATGTCGATGTGGTACAGACCGTCGTCGTTCCAGCGCTCGTAGCTGGCCAGGCCGGCGTCGAGCTTGCTACGGACATCGGCTGGGCGGCCGTGCGTCCAGATCCGGTAGACCTTGAAGCCGTCATAGGAGACGCGCTCGACTTCCTCTGTGGCGGGAGCAGCGAGGGCGGTCCCTGCGGCGAGGAGGGCCAGCAGAGTGGCTTTGAAGAACTTCATCTTCGAGATTTGTCTGAAGAATGGATGGGGGCTAGAGCAGCAACTAACCGCTTGACGGGGGACACGGATTAAATACGAGGAGGGTTCGAAATAATGTTGAAAGCGTGTCCTTTATATTTTTGTTGTTGTATGCGAGCCAAGAGCTTGTTTGCTTACCGTCCATCCATGCCGAGACTGTCACTGCGTCGTGCGACCAGCAATTCCTGCATCACGACATCAATAGAAACATCACGGCTTCGTTCAAACAAGGAAGGAGATCAACGGGAAATGAGAGCCCAGACCCCCAGTAATTGAGGCAGTTCATCGCAGGCCCGCAGATCTCGAGCCATGAATCATCTTCATTCGTTCGAGTTGTCGTCATTGCTGCGCCCAAAACCTGTCTTCTCCTGCAGGAACTTCTGCCGGGCAGGTCGGTTGCACAGAAATACGCTGCACCGACTGCCGGCTGCTTATGAGGTGAATGGACCTTCCTTGTCGGGATAGCTGGAGTCTTTGTGCTCACGAAAGCCAAGCTTTGGCGTCATTGTCGTGCTTTAGCCCTGGTGATGGCGCAAACTCTGCTCATGGCGGAGACGTCTTTTGTTTATTGGCATTCTAGCTGAATAAAAAAGATCGAATTAACTCTAAATGATGCTGATCGGTCTAAGGTAACGCTAATGCATGGTGAGATATCTCAAGGGTCAAAGGATGCTCGAAGAAGTCAGATATAAAACACGCAGTAGAAAAAAGAGATCGTCATCATCATCATCGCCAAGCATGATCATCCACTGCTGGGCTTCAAGGCCATCCCTCACTTGATCAGACTCTTCAACCTCTCCGACTCGACTGCACGATAGTACGTGACGCTTTCTCTCGCCTCCGTCGTGATCCTCGGAATGTCCGTCTCTCCCATCTTCACGGCCTGCTCCATTGCCGATGCCAGAGCCTCGCACTCCCAGCACCCGCAGATCCTGTACTCCTTGCCAAAATGCTTGTGATATAGATCCGCCGTCCTGTCAAACCCGTTCTCCAGCGCCAGGCTCGCAACAGTATCGTCGTGATTGATGAACCTCCCGACCCGCGCCTCCATGTCCCTCCCGTACTGCGACGCCGCGCACTGGTGCGTGTGCCAGACCAGGTCGACATCCAGCGTCGGCACCATCATCACATCGGGTACCCGCCTCATGAGCTCGCAGAACCGGTCGTACCGCGCCAGAGCCCTCGCCAGCGTCCCCTCGAGCGCCGGGCTACGCACCCACAGCAGGTCGTGCATCCTCTCCACGAACCGGAACTGCCGCAGCACCGCCTCGCGCAGCTGGTTGGCGAGCTGCGGCCGCACGTCGAGGAACTTTTGCGCGTACACGGGGATCGTCCTGTCGCCCATCCTCTCCGAGTCGGCGTCGTGCTCCGTCTGGGGCGCCCGCGCCGTCGCCCGCCCGAACTCGAAGTCGCTCAGCCCGACGAGGATGTTCTTCTTCTTGGACCCGGGACGCAGCCGGACCGGCCAGTCCTCGAACTGGATGAGCAGGTGCGCCGCCATGCCCGTGTCCGCCTCGAAGCGCGTCCTGTCCGCCGGCGCCAGGGCCAGCTCCCAGGTGTGCGTGTCCACGGCGCCCTGGACCAACTTCCAGGGGAACTTCAGGTCGGCGATGGGCTCCTCCCGGAAGTACCGGCCGAGCATGCTCGGGTTGAGCAGCAGCGCCTGCCACACCATGAGCACGTCCAGCGGCGGGCAGTGGACGAGGCTGGTTTGCCCGCGGGGGACGATCTCGCGCCAGCTGAGGAAGCGCACGATGGCGAACTCGACGTACTTCTTCCACTTGCCGTGGTGCCAGGCGGACAGCGTGGCCTTGTCCGGCTTGCTGGTGCTCGAGTAGCCCATGGCGCAGCTGATGGGCGTCGAGGCCAGGACCTGCGCACGCACGTTGTGCAGGGCCTCGAGGAAGACGAGGTGCGTTGCGCATTCTGCTACGCTGGGCGGCGTCCACTGCTGGTTTGACACCGCCTTGCGAGAGGAGGTGTCGCCAAAGTCAAAGAGGGATGGCGACGGGATGCTGCGGTCAAGGGCCTTCTTCTTCAGCTCGGCCGGGTCATGATTGTGTGGACGCTGGGCGGCCTTGCTGGCGGCGAGATGGACGTCCGAGTAGGTGTCAAAGGGTAATTCGGGAGGCCGCTGATGGGCCTCTGAGCGCGACCTCAGCCTGTTCATTGTTTATGGTGATGTGCTGCTCGTCTTCTGTTGCAATGAAGTGAGGAGGAGTGGCGATGGTTGAATGGGCTGATCACAGTTGTATTTCAAGCTGGAGTCAGCCTACAGGGAGGCTTAGCCGGTCACAACCGTAACAAGCAAGGCGCTGTGATCCATATATGCAGTAATGAGGAGTGGGGATAGCTCTCGCCAGGGATATTGGGAGATGCTGAATAAATTAATTCTAGTATTCTCCAAATGCATTCTCAAGCATTCTGCCGAAGATGAATTGATCTGACCGACGGGAGTCTGAGTTCTGGCCTATCAGTTTGGCCTTCTCAGACACCCGCGATTGTTGACATGTTCGCGGCCATTTGTGATCTGATCTAATATCTTCGATATCTACTTTACGCACCTACCCAATAAATTTGTTTAACCACGAAGATGTGGAGTAGTTGCTCTTATATTTGTGAATTCAAATTGGCGCCTTGCTCCATCGGGGGGTGTCGAGTGTAATCTTGGCGAGGGCTTGGTGTAATTGCTTTTTGTTCTATAGTCTCTGAAGTATAGAAATCTCTCGCAAACGCAACCGTTAAGTGATAGAGAGTAGTGTCCTTGTCGTTGATAGGGGATCTATCTAGCAGAAAGCTTTCGTGGTCCTCTTTAATCTCTTCGAGTTTCTCCGTTCGGATAAAGATCAGGCAGCTCTTGGTAAACCTTGAATAGGGTAGTCGAGGGGTCAAGGAAGAGGATTGTAAAAGACAAAAGCATCTTATATAGGGCCCTGGCTTTGAGTGTAGGCTAGTAGTTTTGACTTGTTATCAAGATAGATATTCGAAGCTTAAAATAACAACGTGATTGACAAGAAGTGTAGAATAACAGGCAATTAGAAAAAAGTTAGTTCTCGACCCGCTCCAGTTTTCAGAATGTTAGCTGCTTCAAATTAAGTCTCGGTTCCTCAATACTTTCACTCATGGTGGATGTTGAGATGGGTAATGCCCTCAGTCTCTGCTGGATGCCGAATCCTCAAAGTTTGAGTAATTGCAAAGGCTGGAAACCTACAACGGCTTGGTTCTTGGTCGCGGAAAAAAGGTCAGAGGGTCTACGGCAACTACCTTTGGCTCAAAATTCAAAGACCCTGCTACAATCAGTAAAGTTATGCGCTCAAAGTTTAATTCCCCATCCTTTACAAAACGGCATTGTGTCTGCTACATAACAAGCACAGTCGCGGCAACGAAGCAAGATCTCCTTTTCACCTTCGTCTTCCGTTCCATCAGATATACATGCACCACCACGATGAAGAGAACACCAGAAAGCTCCAAGATGACCAACACGCCAGGCACAAACTTACCCCCCTCCACAACCTCCGGCCCCGAATCCCCAATCTTCTTCTTCAAGCCCGACGAGCCCCTCGGCGAGTTCTGCCAGTGGTACCCATCCAAGTTCACCGTCAGCAAGGCCGACATGTCCGCCCTGATCGGCCACCCCATCGACCCGGACGACCCGGAGGGCTGGCAGCCCATCTACTTCGGCTGCGCCGAGCAGTTCATGATGTACTGCAAGGCGGGGCGATTCCGCGACGCGGAGACGCAGAGGCTGGTCCTCGCGACCAGGGATCCCAAGGAGCAGAAGCGCCTGGCGCGCCTGACCAGAGGGTTTGAGGCTGCCAGCTGGGATGAGATCAAGAGCGAGGTTGTGGTGGTCGGGAATATGGGGAAGTTTGGGCAGAATCGGCGGCTGAGGAGCTTGTTGTTGAGTACGGGGGATCGGGTTTTAGCTGAAGCGGCTTCGCAGGACCGGGTGTGGGGGATTGGATATACTGCTAGGGAGGCCATGGCGCTTGGGAAGCCGGAGCTTTGGGGGGAGAATAGATTGGGGAAGGCGTTGATGGAAGTGAGGCGGCGACTGCGGGAGGAAGAGGAGCAATAGGGAGGGGGTAGAACAACGCTGGGCGAAGTCAAATGTCGCTCTTGATATCAAATGGGCACAAACGGGCTATCTCTGCTGGAGATGTACTTGATATTTACAAAACAACGGCGGCCAGCAAAAAGACTCGGCATACACACATACCATACATAAGGGGAAAGCACCGAACGCTTCAATAGAAGCTTCCTCAGCCACAACCATCACCGCCGCCACCGCATCCTCCTCCGCATCCACCACCACCACCATCGCCTCCCCCTGAATCACCACCACCTCCTCCCGAATCACAGCCTCCGTATCCACCAGAATCTCCTCCTCCTCCGCCGTCGCCGCCACCTCCATCGTGCGCAAGAGATAGCCCGATGGCCACATACGTAGATAGATCATTCGAAGGTATGCTAGACCAGTAGGGGACACCCGGCGGATCCGTCGGCGGCTGCCTGAAGAACCACTTCGTCTCCGTCCTCGCCCTCATAGTCTTGGAGTTCCACCCGCTCTGCCCCTTCTCGGCCAGCTTCATCCTCTGCTCCCGCTTCCTCTCGTAGTCCTCCAGCCGGCTGCTCGACGCCGCCCAGTCGGGGACGAAGTAGGACGCGCCCATCCCTCGCTCGTAGTGGTGGCTGTAAGGCTGGGCGCGGTGGATGCTCCCCAGCTTGATGCGGTCCTTGTCGCCGGCGGCGGCGCTGGAGAGCCACCTGGTGCCCCTTTGCATCTCGGGGGACTTGGCCATGGCGGCTGCGACGGAAAGGAGGGCGCTCTGGGCGAGGAGCACGCGCATCCTGTTCTGGAACCAGCCTTGGTCGCCCTTTTCGCTGCTGCTGGGAGGGTAGAGGAAGCTTTCGCGGGCCATGTGCATGGAGATGGCCGACCAGGAGTCGTGGGGGAATGCCCAGACGTGCTTGGAGATGTTGCAGGAGCCGCACTTGGCGGGGTTCCTCCTGTAGGCTTCGGAGCAATCCCACGGAAACAGGTCCTGGTACTTGTACGGGGCTTGTCCGAATGCGCCAAAGTCAGACCAGTACTCGGAGAGGCTGTCGATGAAGTCCGAGTCCTCGTGCCGGCCGTGCTGGATGCGCAGGAGATACTCCTCCACGAGGCCCTGGGGGACGTCGTACTTGGACCACGGGAAGTCGGCGACGAGGGGGCCGGGGCGGCAGACGAAACTCATCAGGTAGGACGGGGATTTGTTGAACTGGGACATCTGAGGCGCGAAGAGAGACTGGTACATGCCGACGTTGAGGAGGTTGTCGCAGAAGTCCTTGCAGGTGTTGGATGAGAAGTTCCAAGCCAGCTCGAATTTTTTGTCAATGAGCTTGGAGGCGATGGTGCTGAGGTGCAGCTCGACGTGATCGATGAGGTAGTGCTTCAGCTCGAGCATGATTGTAGCTATAGCGTCGGACGGGATCTTCTCTGATTGTGTTTTGCTGTTCGCGTCAATGAGGATGTCAATAATGTGTTCCTCCGCGTCTTCATCGAGGAAGCCACAAAAGGCACCCCCGACAATCTGCTTTGCCATGAGCTTGTGGCGTTTCGGTGTACGGGGCCTGTTCTGGCGGTAGAGAGTCCTCTCGGAGCCGGAGATGAGGAGACTTGATCCATCTCCATCAGAGGTTTCATCCGAATGAGCCAGGCGCAATGGGCCCCTCGTGGTAATTACTACTCCTCCGTCGGTACTATGAAACAAGAGGTTAGTTCTCCGCCTTTGCCTTGGATGCGAGACAGTGTTGTCGCTTACTTGGCAACCCCATTCTCGACGAGTACGGTTCCAAATCGTAGAGCCATATGGACATGGCCAAATGGCTCCTGAGGTATCGCCGGACGCAGGTACGGAGGCGTCCCCCCACCTTCTTTCTGGAACTTGTCAATGCCAAACTCGGGCATGTAGTACGTAAGGTCTGGAGTCTGTTTCTTCCCGAGCTTATTATCTTTCTCTCGGGACTTGTCTGACTCCTTCTTCATCAACCCCTTATAATCACTCAGGGAGAAGGACTTGTCCGTCTTCAGCCGCGTACTGTCGAACTTGGCTTCAGCCAGGGTGTTATCCACAGCCATCAACGCACACGGCCCATGTTTGTTTCTCGACGACTTATCGGAAGTGATTGGAAATAATGGCTTGAGTTTCCCGTCGGAGACCTTCGTCAGAGTCTTGCAGTTGCAGAGTCCCTGGCTCACACCGGTCGTGATATCCCCGTCCAGGCAGCAAGTCTTGTATCTCTTGTGCCAGTCCGGCCGGCCATAGCTGTCGGAGGTAAAATAGCAGTTTTGGCAAATCACATCTTTTGAACCACCAGGACCAACAAACATGGACCCGCGGATGGCGGAACTACACTTCTTGCAGAGGACATTCTCGGCCTTCAGTCCCGGCGGCGTCTTCTGGGGATCCAGAGCCAGGTGGATCTGCGCAGGTGCAAGTCTGAGGCCATTGTGAAGAGGCTCGCGGTGCTCGACGACCTTGTCGAAATCGAGCCACTGGGCCGACTGGAGGAGCAGGCGAGCCCGCTGCCTCAGAGTGTGGCCGCTGAGGTGCTTCCCGTCCTGATACCCGACCAATTCCCTCACGGCGTCGCGGCGCTGCTCGCTCTCGGCATTGGCCAGCACCTCGTACGCGCGGTTGGCGAAGGCGCCCGAGTAGTCGTCGCCGTACGAGCTCCTGTCCTTCCAGCCGTCCTCGCGCCGGCTCTGGCAGACCTGGTCGAGGAAGGTCTCGTAGCCGTAGATGAGGGGGTCGTGCTCCTCGGGGAGTGCGTCCTCGCGCTGCCACCCGGTCAAGGTGCGCAGGATGAGGGCGACGTCCCTCTCGACTTCCTCCCAGTACAGGGAGAGGAGCTCGGCGAGCAGGTGGTCGGATGCTGGGCCAATCTTGGTCCGGGGGAGCTGGGCGGCGCTGGTGGCGTGCTGGGGTTTGCTGGGGCCGTGGGTGAGCGAGGCGGAGCGCAGCCGCGACGTCACGGACTGGATCGTGGCCACGCGCTTGATGCTCGCCTGCATGCTGGCGATTGATGTGCGAGGTGCTGTCGCAATCAAAGAAAAAGAAGCTCTGGTGAAGGGTCTAGGTAGGTAGATGATGGTGCTCTGAGGCCGCCCATTGTCGCTGTCACGTCATGGTCCAACGCTTCATGCGCTGGGCCGCAGCACGGTGGATGGGCTTGGCTCGCCCGGTAACGTGGCGATGGGCCAGTCGTGAGTGAGTCTGAGTCTGCCTTGTCAGGGGTCGCATCATTGATGACAAGGGGGATTGATTGCTTGCTGCCAAAACTCACGCCCGGTTTATGTGTGCGCGTGAGCTGTGGCAGTGGAGAACAGTGGCTTTGGGCCGGACTCGGGCGGCTGTGAAACCGACTGCCCGCCAGCCATCAATGAGTTGTAGCGCTGCAGCTCAGCACCAATCCATGCCCACCGGATGCTTGAGAGTCTAGACCTCGTCTGGTCCAAACCAAAGTTCCAAGCTACCAATGCAGATGGTGCTTAATCCCAGCTAAGCCATGGTGACAACTCAGCATACCCAGATCCATCATGAAGGGTAAGAAGAACAGGAATCTAGAGACTCAAATTGGTTGATATGGTTTCCTGAGGGAGGTAGCTTAAACGAGAAGACCTGCCGTTGGCAAATAACAAGTGCATACTATGATAATTCACATGTCTAAAATGCACCTGTAGACCTCAGTATTTAGCCACGTGTAGAGAAGGAGAGAGGCGCAGGGCTTAGCTGACTGCACAAAGTAACTTGGTCACTTTTGACTGGGGTTTTGATCTTGGCACACGCTTGCTCAATGAAGCTATCGCCGAGGTCTGCGTTTCCCTTGTGTCCCTTCAGGGCAAGTAGTGTCGACTCGTAATCATGAGGATCCAACTAAACAGGCCATGGTACGGAACAATGGATCCCTCTATAGAATTGAGGGCGGTTTGAATGTCTGTTGAGTTTCTTTCCTCCACCTATTACTTATCGGAGACTAATTATGCGTTCATCGAGATCAAATTTTAGGCCCTGTATTAGTCTTTCGTGAACCAAGATGAGCAGAACTTACCATATTCTCTACCAACTGATGACAACAATATCATCGAAACGTGACCATCAGGCATGTGGCTCTCACAGTTCTTGGCCCCCTCTTTGTACTACTCGTATCGAAGATCCGAAATCCAAAACTGAAACCATTGCAAACTTGCTTTCAGTCCAGCGGACGGCAATAAAAGTTCAAGACTCACAGGCATCGACATTGCATCGCATCCCAAATACACCAATGAGGGAGAAGCAAGTGATGTAACTCCAAAATACAGCATACTCAATTTTCTAACGACTACCCCGTTAGAAAGGGAAACCCACCAGAGTTAGGCGCCTCTTTTCCAACTCTAGAAATAACTTTTCGCCAAATTCGAATGTCCAATCGTTGTACATCCTTGCTTATCTCAGTGGACGTTTGATTGCTAAGGACGCCATACACGAGTGTGCTTCACACCCTACTTTGTGTGGCATTATTGTATGAAAAAAAGGCAATAGAATCTCCTTTCTCTTTGAGATGACCAAACTCACTTTCAAGGAGCAACATATAAGCTAGGACCGAAGCTTAGAGACAACACAAGGATCAAATGAAGCAGGTACCGCAAAATAATGATACCAATCTATCCCGAAGAGGCAATAATTGTTGAGATGTGCGGTCAAATGGTAAGCCGCTCTCTGGCAGAGGCGAATCATCCAGAGGTCTACCGTGCTTTAAGAAATGTAAATCCCTGGTACGCAATTTCGGGCTGAAATTGGCACCAATTTCTACGTCACTGCTTCATCGCAATGTTCTATGCTCTTGAGTAGTTCATGTGGTTTCAAACCGTGATTGTGTATGTCGTAAGGATAGGGGGCGGAACACTTGGCTTTCCTCTCGACCTTCCTAGGCCCCCTTCTGCGCTTGAGCGGGAGGCGGAGGCAGATGTTGGCTTCACCTGATAGATAGCATCTTAAAGGGATCTAAACTTGTGTTTAGACATGAAAATTGGCGGGATTGAGGGCATAATCGCTGCGGTTCTATAAATCATAGGAGCTGACGATTCTATGCCGTCCAATGAATGGTGGCACTTCCAAATTCGCATTTCTCAAGCAGGAAAACATCAACCGGTTAGTACAATACAATTTTAAGAGGGAGGGATCTCGTAAAATAATGCTATTAATTCCTGAGGGCTTAACTTTGAGATACATTCTAGACTGTAACAAATACCTCGGTTGGAGATACTCCCAAAACTACCGTTGCCCCTTTTATAAGCGCCCAGGTAAGCTAGGAAATCGACCTAGACAGCCCATAAAGATTATGTTAGCTTGTCTCGTATCTCCTCCTGTGTATACTTTTCATCCCATAATCCTTCAGTGAAAACTATTGAGTGCGAGGAAGAGAAAAATGAGTAGTCAAATTAGGCAATGTTCTTAACTAAGGTAGCTGCAGCAGAAAAGCCCCCACTTTTGGCTTCATTCACAATCGGGTGGTAAGCAGTAAGTTGTAATGAATGAGTTTTGGTTCAGTCGAGTGAAACGGTAATAGGTGGGTATGGTAATATTCCCCTGCAAATGTTTGTGAAGTGGACAACTCGGAGGCAGCGTGGTAGCTGAAACAAGCAAGTCGATTGGGATTACTCCTTTTGGTTCTTCCTCGCCCACCTTCCTCCCCTTTAACAAGGCAACAATTATCCTGACTCCCTCCTTTTTTTCGATTCGATTCGATTCTAAAGCTGAGGCCTTTGAAGGCAAGATAGCTGAGACGTAACATGATTAGGGTAGTTTCTTAGATGATTTTGATCGCATTCGCACTTATATTGGCCCTAGACTTTAAGTCAGCCTTGACTTCGGAAACTGCCCAATCCTAGACACAGCTCTGGTATCCTAAGGCTTGGCCATCATGTGAGAAATTGGTGGGCCAGTTTGCCCAGCAGCCGTCATTGCCGTCTGACCCTACGCCAAGGCAGCTTATTTCCGCGTTTACTGGCAGTGCTGGACCAGGTTCGCCATCGAACCTGGTAAACAACAAATGCGCCTTGGCATCTGCCCTGTTCGGTAGTCGGTTCCTCCGTGGAGAAGTGAAAATTAAAGTTCAAAAGGGGCGTGATCCCCAGATTTGTGCCTGGCCCTGACATGCACCGACGCACACTCCCGGACGCCACGTCGATACTAGACAACAACTCCGATGGCGTGGTGGAAAAGATCAGCGCAGCTGCTGGCTGCGATTGCATTCGCGTCGACACTCGCGGCTGCTGATGACTGCAAGAGTGACAGCGCCTTTGTCATCGGCTCGCAGGATGATGCAGACAAGCTCGGCAAATGCACCGAGTACACCGGAGATGTCGGTCTCTCCCCGTCTGCATCGGGCAACCTCACCGTCAGCGGCCTCGAGAAGATCACTGGCAAGCTGCTCACCGAGAGCGCTGGCGACAAACCAGCCTCGCTGGTCGGCATCACATTCGAGAAGTTGGCGACCGTCGAGGGCTCCGTCTCGGTCAGTTCCGTCGACAGCCTGCAGTTCGTCTCCTTCCCGGCTCTGACGACGGTGGGTGGTGCTATTGAGATCTCGTCTCTCCCTGAACTGAGTACACTGAAGCTGCCATCCATCAACTCAATTGGAAGCTTCAAGCTTGAATCCGCACCCAAGCTCCTGAAGATGTCCGTCGGCAGCTTGAAGCACGCTACGACCACCGACTCTGAGAATGGTTTGAAGCACATCACTGGCGAATCCGACCGCTCTATTGTGGTCAAGAACGTTGGCGTGGACAGCCTGGATGGTCTCCTGGGTCTATACAATGCTACCCTGGTCGATCTGTCTGAACTACCTAACCTCAACAAGGTCCTTCTCTCACTTTGGCATATCGATGAGGTTCGCATCCGCGGAAATGGAAACCTTATCATCTATATGTGGGAGAAGGCTACCAGTGGAACCGTCCAGTTGGAGATTGGGACGTTTGACATCGGGGGCGTAAAGCACATCTCTCCCTGTCTAAATTCCGATGTACAGAACTTCGTAGTTGTCAACAACACCGCTGAATACCTCCGGTTCGACTTCCACGGACTGCGGCGCCTCGAAGTCAGGGACAACCCCAACCTAAAGACACTCATTCCCTGGCACGGCAGCAGTCTCACTCAATGGTGGCTCCAAAACATCACGATTAAGAATAACCCGGAGTTGCTCCTTTCCTATCAGCCGCCTCGCAGCTCCAACGACAATCTTACCGCCAAGGACTGCCCATACATGTTCGAGAGTTTGGAGGAGGACAAGTTCAGGTGGCTCCCATGGGATATGAAAACAATTGACATCGACGCCAATATTGACAACACCTACTTGTAAGTCATACCATAACATATACTCAAATTACCTCAATGACTGACTCTTATGACCAGCTCTACCTTCGTCACGGCGTGGCAAAACCAGACTGGCAGGTACGTGGAGGGGTATGGCCGAGGCCCCGAGGTGAATGAGACGTTCATCGTCAGGTCCTCGAACTCGACATTTGACTGCTCAGGCCTTGACCGTCTGCGCACCAAGACATCTGCCATCCAGGCCAAGACCTACAGCTGCCAGGGCCAGTCACAAGCGGCATATGTGATTGATGAGACAGCTGGCGCGGTTAGAATGTCAATGGGTGTGCCTGCAACACTCCTGCCATTGTTGACTGCTGTTTGTGTGTTCTTATAATAGATTTTCATTCTGTTGAGTAAAATATAATTGTAATAGATGTATAAGTATGAATAGATATCATTTATAACGAAAACACCAACCCCGGGTTGACACAGATCTCTTCTCGTAGATAAACTAGAATATCACCTTTGATTTCTTTTCGAGTAGCATTTGTCAATTGCCAAACTGGCCCAATTGCGACAGGGCGAGCCTTTTGTTAGGACTTTCTCGCTGAGTCAGTCCCTGAATATCATATTAGGCTCGATAGTTAAATTGTTACTCGGCTAAGCTTCTTAACGAGAGCAGCCTGTATTTTGTTCGTTGGCCTTTTTGAAGTAGTGTTTTCAATGCATATTGAATGCCCATCAAGTGAAAAACAGACCCTTTCGGCGATGGTCGTAGCGTCAGACTAAAGACATGTGGCGGATAACCGCGCCGCTTGTTCACGTTATGGCATGCCGTTATGCTGACAGGAGTCTGAATCCTTCATAAATAGTTCAAATAATTGAGACGGCTAGCTTCCCCCCAATGCTCCGGTGCCTGACTCTCTTTCGAATCTCCAGATATTCACATCGATTGAGTCACATCGCCAACCGTCGGCATGGCGCGCCCTACTCCCTTCCACATCAAAGTATCCGACGGTGACCTCAATTGGATCACCGAGCGCGTACGCACCACGCGCCTCCCAGCGGGACGAGATCTACCATCCGACGAGCTCTGGAAGTCGTGGGGCCTCCCCGTCGAATATGCGCGGAAGCTCAAGGATTTCTGGGTCAACGAGTACGACTGGCGGCGCGTGGAGAGGAAGCTCAACGAGGAGCTGGAGCAGTACACGATCCCGATTGACCACCGCGGTGAGGACCTCACCATCCACTTCGTCCATCACAGATCGCCCGTCAAGGACGCGATACCGCTTCTCATCGTCCACGGCTGGCCCGGGAGCGTGTTTGAGATCAAGCCCATTATCCGGCGTTTGACGCACCCGACCTCGCCGGGGCAGCAGGCCTACCATGTCGTGGTCCCGTCCCTCCCCGGCTTTGGGTTCTCGTCATATCCATCCAAGCCGTGCAGCCCGCTGGAAATGCCTGATATCCTCTGCAAGCTCATGACTTCGCTCGGGTACAGCCGCTTCATGGCTCAGGGAGGCGATTGGGGCGCGCAAATGGTTCGGATCCTGGCTACCAGATATCCGACGCACTGCCCAGCCGTGCATCTTAACTGCGTTGTGAACGGACCCCCGAATCCACTGAGGCAGCCTATAGCGTGTCTTCGTCTGCTGCTGGCCTATGTAGCGGGCGGCTGGGGCTTGAATGAGTACGAGAAGCGGATGCTGGGGCGGATGAAGTGGTTTCTTGAATATGAGGCGGGCTCCAGTGCCATCCAAGGGACGAAGCCGCTGACGGTGTCTTATGGGCTCACAGACTCGCCTTTTGGGATGATGTGTTGGCTGAGAGAGAAACTTCAAGGTGCCGTCGGGGAGGGGTTTGAGATTTCGCTGGAGGACTCTATCACTTGGGCCATGGTATGAGGCGTCTTTCACTTTGAGTGCAGCAGAATGCAGGCTGACAATATCCTCTCAAATAGCCGTACATAATCAACGGCAGTCCAGGCCATGCTGAAATCTATAAATGGATGCCGAGGAGCGATGAACAGAGCCTCATGAAGGCACTCTCGGTCCCGATACCCAGTCAAGTTTCATTTGGGGCATCCATCTTTCCCAACGGTAAGCTTCCCCATGCTTATTTCCTTTCGATTGATGCTAATAATGTTGAACAAGATGTGGTGTATATACCCCGTTGGTGGGCTGAAGGGTCGGTATCCCAGAATATCATATTCTGGAAACAACATGAGAAGGGTGGGCACTTCCCATGCTTTGAAGTACCAGAGGTCTTAGCCGAGGACATACGAGCATTTACTCATGCGCTTGCTAAAACGACTCTAGAAATTCTTAGGGATCCTAACTAGATGTTTGACTAAAAGTTAATGAGTTATGGGAGGAATACGATGGTGTAGTTGTATGCTTAAAGCAGAAAGTTCTTAATGAGGAGACGTCCCGTGATAGCCGTACACCAAAATCAAATATACCCTAATAATATATTCATTAACCTAATATAGCGAAAGTTCTTCAGACTCTATCTTCTATGGCTGCTTTACCTGCTACGCCTTTTAATAGGCACCGATATACTTAGATCGAGCAGCTAGTAAGGGATTTTTGAGGTCTCGGAGAAGTAATGGGTGTATTCTTATCTTCACAATGAGGAATGATGACATAGTTCAATAGTACCATATTGTAGGCATTCCTCCAGTCGAAATACATTTACTCGTGCAGATACTTTATCTCCTTTCCGACGTTGGGAGGTGCAACCAGTCCAAGCTGCTGAAGCGCTGTCAGCGCTCCCTCCTCGCCAGTCTCGTCCACAATGAGACCATCCTTCAGAGTGAAAATACTAATGCCGGAAAAATGGATCTTCTTTCCGCTGTTGGGTTCATTGAGGGCACCGACGGCTAGGTCGCCGAAGGCCACGCCAGTGTGAGTGCCACCACCAATCCAGCGACCAACAACATAGGGACCACTCGCGATCAAAGGATGCTGATACACATGGAACGAGATGTCAGGGAAGGCCTGTTAAAAAACATGGAAATCAGCATTCAACCACTGGCATAGAGAATTATGTGCGTCACTTACTTCCTTTAAATCGGAGAGCATTTGCTTAGCCGCTGCCTTTCCGTATCGTGGACCATGCATCGGATAGTTGATGACGAAGTCATCGACACAGAGCTTATCGACGATTTCGGGGTTGGCCTTGCCCCAATACTCGGAGAAGTATTCGGAGACGACTTCAATGTTCTTCTTCTCTTCGACAGTAGCCATTGGAGGCGACTTTAACGTTGGTGGCTGTTACTTCGTTGTAGTATGTTGAAAATTCTTAGGGACGAGGATAGCAACTTTTCACTTCGACTGGGCAGTCTCAGCCAGTTCATTTATACACCTTTCTCCCTCATTACAACTTGTATTCCCGACCGTGAAATCCGAGGTCATTGTTACTGATATGATGCACACATCTCAATGCCAAACGTTTGATTCGCCATATCCATGGCATCGCGGAGCCGGAGCCGGGGCTTGTGGGGCATGCGATGTCTGCCGGCGATCCTAACTGGCAATATCGAATGCAACAACTTGCGAAACAATAATGAGAGCGTTCCTATTTGCGATATCTGCGGCAATCCCGGCTGGCACGCGGTCTAATGAAACCTTCATCTCTTTGCGCAGTCCTAATTGGCTATATCGAGTGCAAGCGAAATACTCCCATGCAGAGCTCTTGTTGACTAAAAGGAAGCCTTTGGTACATCTCTGTGTGACGTGCTGAAATGATCCGCAACCGCCCTACATATGACTCTAGGCTGCTTTTGGTGACATTGCACGAGCTCATGCCCAAAGAGTTCTGAAGGGACACTAGCCGTGTTGGGCTGTATGCAACGAGGCCGGTGGGTGGGTTGTGGCAGGGCTCAGGCAGTCTGACCGTCTTGGCATCATGAGCGAACGCAATCATGGCGAGATAATTCATATATCAATCACCTATACGATTTACAAGGATTGCGATACTCGGGGTGACATAATTACCTGGGCCCTGTACTTCGAGACACTTGTATTAAATCGTTGCTCTTATTGTATCTCCACGCCAGCCTCATATGCAGCCCACGATATTCCAACGAAACGACGTCAGACAGACAGGATGAACTTCTACAAAGTGTCTCTCGGCAATGGGCTGCAGATCAGATTTGGTAGGGCAGTTCAGCTTGCTCATGTGCACGTCAGCGTCTTACGACGCCTCCTCTGGATTCAGCCTCAGCTGGGTCCCGAGTCTTGGCTGGCTACCTGGATGTGGCTTAGCACCTGGAGTCGCCAGCTTGGAGCCTGATAGCGCCTGTCTTTAGCCCTCCAGTGAGTGCTGCCAGCCCTACGGCCCGCTGGAGCAACAGGCTACGCATCCCGTGGGAACGAGAACCACCTCATCCGTTTCGTTGTCCATCATCATCGGCACTTTTGTTTATTCCCTACATATTCCACCCCTCCAGTGTTGATTTAAGAGACGGCCGTTGCCACTCTCACGCTTCCGCCGCACCGGCACTCGTCCTCACCAATCCCCCTCGCCATGGACGGCTTCTCAGTCACGTCGCTCACATCTCTATGTGACACCATCTCACACGCTGCCGTCTCCACCAACACAGAGCTCTCCGATCTGCTGCGCGCAATTCCCAACGAGAAGGCCCAGCAGTCCCTCACATCTCTCTATGGGTCGCTACAATCCCTCGGTAACGAGATCACCCAGCTCCAGAAATCACTAACACAGGCTTCGGTTCTTTCTGAGTCGCTGCGCAGTCAGCTCCAGGAGTACCTGTCCGACTGCCAGAGGACCCTGGCCAGCCTCAACAAGCAAGTATTGCGCCTTGATTCCAGCTTGGCCGACAGAATCAGCCATACGTATCTATCAACTCGCAAAGAGTATTTCACTGCGCACTGCCAGCTTCTCAGATTCTTCACCACTACCCTTCACATGTAAAGCCACCTAGATTCCCTTTGTTCGAGGTCCAACCCCGCACTCGTGGTTTTTGCACTTTCGGCTGACACTCGGCCTACAGCAACGACATTGCGCAGCAGGATGCTGCATTAAAAAGCACAGATGGCGAAAGTGCCTCATCGCTGGTCAATGATGCATCAAAGGCCATCTCCAAATTCCCCGAAATTCTCCAAGACGAGACCGGTGCAGCACCGTCCTACGAATCTGTGTCCTCGGGTTCGGCCCCTCCCCTCGCAGGCAAAGCAGGCGGCGATGAACTGCCACCCGCCTACGAGAACGTCACCAATGCTGGCGCAGACGAGGCAGAGGAGGGTGGGTTTGATCTGACCTCCCTCAAGCACTCATGGAAGGCCTTGACCTCTGGATTCAGCTGGTTCAAACCTGATCCGCTAGTGACTGCCCTGTGCGAGGCAAGTCTGCGAGGTGACGTGAAGCAAGTGGCCGGATTGCTGCAACAGGGCGCCAACATCGACGGTCGCAACGACAAGAGCATGACTCCGCTGGCATGTGCCGTCAAGGCGAACCAAGCAAACGCCGTCCGCTTCTTGCTCTCTGCGGGCGCAAATGACAAGACGGGCGCCAAGATCCCGCCGCTCTTCGAGGCCGCATCGGCGGGCAGTCTCGAGGTTGCCCAGGTCTTCCTGGAGAGGGGTGCAAAGGCCAGCGAGAAGAGCGTATCCGGGCATTACTACTTCTACGACGTGGTCAACGGCGATGGGGCCAGCCTGGAAGGCGTCCGGTTCCTGCTGCAGCATGGTGCAACTGTGGACATGACCAGCACGCCTGGGCGACTACCTATCGTATGCGCCGTGAGAAAGAACCGCCTCGATCTAGTGAAGCTCCTGCTCGAATATGGCGCGGCCGCCAACTCGGCCGACTACACCGGGTCGTCAGTCATTTCACTCGCCATCGACCAGGACCCCAATTCGGAGATGGTGGACTTGCTTCTACAACGCGGGGCGCCTGCCAACTCAAAGACGATCTCCGGACAACCTATCCTGGCGGTGGCCGTCTCCAAGAGAAGCCTCCCGTTGACGAGAAAGCTGCTGGAAAGAGGCGCCAAGGGCGACGCCAAGGACATCTCCGGGTCTCCCCTCATCATCAACGTGATCAAGGACTCGCACATTTCCGAGACCGAGAGGACCGAATACGTGCGTCTCCTGCTCCTCCACGGCGCCTCCGTCAAGGTCAAGGACATTGCCGGCCAAGCCCCCGTGCTGCACCACGCGATGCAGAGGGCAAACGGCGACATCGTGGCCCTGCTGCTGCACTACGGCGCCGACACCACCAAGAACATGTCGAACGGAGAGTCGCTGCTCTGCAATGCCATCGCCAACGGACGGCTGGACCAGGTGTCGGCGCTGCTCAAGTACAAGACGAATCCCAACCTGCCCAACTCGAAGGGCCAGTCGCCGCTCATGATGGCGCTGATAAAGCAGGACCTGAAGCTGATACACCTGCTGAGGAAGCACGGCGCGGACATCAACCAGGACGAGAGGGCGATCGCGACGGTTCTAGGACGGTCGGACATCCGCCAGGCTCTCGGGCTGGATGCATCTGCGGGAGGGCCGTCGTCGCCGACATCCCGGACGACGAGTACGGAGAAGAATTGACGAATTAATGTATTGAGCGGTCTATAGTTTATTTTTTGTATAAAAAGCGCTTTCTAGCTTTTCCAGCCTTAGATATGACTCCTTCCTCCTCCTCTAGCTTTCCTGAACTGTGAATCTTGACTTACTCAACCCTTTTACCGTCGCGCCACCACCTCACTCAACCACCACTGGTGAATCCTCGCATCCTGCGTCAACTCAGGATGAAAACTCATCCCCAGCACATTCCCCTGCCTCGCGGCGATGATGTCCCCCGAGCCCCCCCTCGTCTGCGCCTGTGACTGCCCGGCCCGCATCCGATCCACGCGGTTCTCCAGCGTCGCCAGCACCTCGACGCTATCGCCGCCCAGCACCTCCTCCACCACGGGCGCGCGGATGAACACCCCGCGGAAGGGCCTCCTCTCCCCCTCTTTCTCTGAGGAGGAGGGGATGAATGGGAGGTCGAGGTCGGCCTCGAAGGACTCGATCTGCCGCCCGAAGTGGTTCCGGTGGACGCACACGTCGAGCCCGCCGATTAACTCCTGGCCACCTTTCTTGGTGGCGTTTGCGCGCTGGGAGAGGAGGATGAAGCCTGCGCAGGTGCCCCAGGTTGGCTTCTTCTGGACTCTGTTCCACTGTTAATCTTCTTCCTTTTCCTTTCTTTTTTTCTCTCTTTTTTTGATGTGGTAGGTGGGATTAGGACTCACTTGACAAAGTCGCGGAGGTTCTGGAGGAGGTCCGTCTGCGCGGCGATGAGGGAGATGGTGGTGCTCTCGCCGCCGGGGATGATGAGGGCGTCGCAGGCTGCGAGCTGCTCGGAGGTGCGGACCTGGGTGAAGGAGAAGTCGGCGGGCAGGGACTTGAGGTGCTGGGCGGCCTGGTGGAGGAGGGAGAGGTGTTCGTGGAAGCCGCCTTGGAGGGCGAGGACGCCCACGCAGATGCGCCTGCGGGGGGCTGTGTGTGGCTGTGAGGCGGTCATGGTGATGGATAAGATGTGGTACTGGGGATCAAGAGGTGAGGTAAGTTCAAGTGAAGAAGACGAGGATGGCAGATGTCGAGTCCGTAAGGGTCAGTCGTCAAAAGGGTGCTATCTCAAGAAATGTCACTGCTTCCCGGGTTATCGCCGTCGTTGCAGCAGATAGTCGATCACTGTGTCATTCACCCATCCGGCTACATGGACTAGCGGCCGATGCGGAGGTACAGACTCATGCAACCGACGTCGTAATCCGGATGTCGCAGATAGACGCTTGATACAGAAGGCTGGTGGAAGGACGGAAGACGAGAGAGTGACGCCCGTGGGAGGGGCGAATTGAGTAGCTCCGCTGCCCGCACAGGCGCTAATGCACGTCGCCGGCTGCAGCTGCAGGTGCGGAGCCACTGAAGCCTCCGCACTTTCCCTCCGCACTCTGCACCGTCGGCATTGCACCTCCACTGGACTGACTGACTCTCCAGCCGTCTCTAGAGGCATCCATTGCTCTACGGCGTATGTTAAGCTGGCCAAAAAGGGGAAGACCGCCGCCGTAACAGACGTCTCGTCTCCGACTAGGCCGAACTCTGTGGCCCCCCGTGTCTACTCCGGTCACACTCCGACCATTCAGCGTGGCCTCGATGCAGAGACATGCATCCGTGCAGCCCGGCTGTCATCCGACCTGCGTTACCTCCCGCACCGGCAGTCATCCACATGCTACTGTACTGGACCAGGTACGTGTCGCCTGCATGCATGCTGGAACATCCTCGCAGCGGCATGGAGCTCGAACCCCGTGGCACTGCCCCATCAGGCAATTTGTCCAGAAAGACGGCAGCTCGCGTCTAGGCCAGCAGCGGGTAGCGACGGTCCTTCTGGATCCAGTTAAGCCGATGGCCTGACTCTACAGACAGTCCGCTTGATGTACTGCTGCGCTACAACGTGCTAGGCTTGGAGATCGACTCAGAGTTGGCCAGTTTCCCCCGACGTTGCGCTCGGCTCTCGCTTCCGTTCATGTAGCCGACAGGTATCTTTCCATCTGTTGCTGTGCATGACACGACGGAGGTATTTAAAAGTCGCTACCCCCAAACTCTGTTGACTAAACAGACAAGAAAAAATCCAATTCAGTACACGATCGATCCAGATCTTCACTCTATATCAACCCCCACGGATCCCTCTCCATCTTCTACCCATCCATATATATACCACACCCCATACAGCCATCATGACCAACGACACCTCCCAGTCGGGCGCCGCCCCCGCGGACAAGACATCCTTCGCCCTCAAGGCTGGTCTCGCCCAGATGCTCAAGGGCGGCGTCATCATGGACGTGACCAACCCCGAGCAGGCCCGCATCGCCGAGGACGCGGGCGCCTGCGCCGTCATGGCCCTCGAGCGCGTGCCCGCCGACATCCGCAAGGACGGCGGCGTCGCCCGCATGTCCGACCCCTCCGTCATCAAGGCCATCCAGGAGGCCGTCACCATCCCCGTCATGGCCAAGGCCCGCATCGGCCACGATGTCGAGTGCCAGATCCTCGAGGCCCTGGGCGTCGACTACATCGACGAGAGCGAGGTCCTCACCCCCGCAGACGACGAGTCCCACGTCGAGAAGAGCCCCTTCAGCGTCCCCTTTGTCTGCGGCTGCCGCAACCTCGGCGAGGCCCTGCGCCGCATCGCCGAGGGCGCCGCCATGATCCGGACAAAGGGCGAGGCGGGCACGGGAGACGTCGTCGAGGCCGTGAGGCACATCAAGACGGTCAACCGCGAGATCGCCCACGCCAAGGCCGCCCTGGCAGAGGGCGGCGTCCTCCGCGTCCGCGAGCTGGCCCGCAAGCTCGAGGTCGACGCCAAGCTGCTCCAGCAGACGGCCGAGCTGGGCCGCCTGCCCGTGGTCAACTTCGCCGCCGGCGGCGTGGCCACCCCCGCGGACGCCGCGCTCATGATGCAGCTGGGCTGCGACGGCGTCTTCGTCGGCAGCGGCATCTTCAAGTCGGGCGACCCGGCCAAGCGGGCCAAGGCCATCGTGCAGGCCGTGACGCACTACAAGGACGCCAAGGTGCTCGCCCAGGTGAGCGAGGGGCTGGGCGAGGCCATGGTCGGCATCAACTGTGATAAGATGCTGCCTGAGGAGAGGCTGGCGCACAGGTAGAGCAAGGGATAAACAAGATATTATGATTAGATGAAAAGCCAAAAAGCAGATAATTTAAAGTTTCAGCCAATATAGGCTGGTTTTCGAGGTCCAAAATTCACTACACTCATCGGTCTGTTGTCTTCTCACCGTGAATGGTAGCGCAGGCTATTTGCAATGTGCTCGCAGACGCAAGGTGATATCCAGGCTCTCTCAGTGAATCAAAACTATATTTTTCCTTCCAAGTTGAACATCAAGTCCCCAAAATACGGGAAGTTTACTATCATAAGTCTATGCAGGTTTGGCTCCTTTAACTTTTTGTTTCTCTCTTCTTACTTACCTCACAGCTGCGTGAGGATATTCAATCCAATCAACATAATTTCAAGTCTGCTCTCAAGTAAGGTAAGTCTATGTCGCAACCAGCTCATATCAATAACTGTGCGCACATATCTTCTGTTCGCAGTAAACACCAAAGTGAGATCATCAATAGTTGAACCAAAGCCACAAGGAAACCCGCCAAAATCGTCAGCTACAAATATACCAGGGGACTAATCCATACGCGTTAACATGCCACAAGTTTAGGAGTGGGGAGGAACGAAAAGCATGGTGTTTTAAGAAGCCAAGAAGCCAGATATCAAGCAACCTAGCATGAACAAAAGGTTCATCATTCAAACTACCTCAAAGACTATGGGAAGACCAGGTATGGAGAGTAAAAGTGAGCCTCTTCTGGCGTAATGATAATTTCTTAGCTACTTGTAATCTCATAATACTATTGGTTGTAGTCTTGATCTACTATACTCGATTACGGAGACCCAAGCACCATACTTTTGCACAACAAATACATCATGTTTCTTTTATATGTCCTGCTTCCATTTTGAAATCTAATTTGGCCACGTCATTTGATCAAGAAGACGCCTTGTGAATAGGATACCGAATACTTGGGAAAGCTATCGCGTGATCCGGGCAAGGATTGTACGAAAACACCGATTTAATCTCTCTTACCTTATTAGTCAGTTCTGATATTTGCAAGATTGCTTCAGGACTTGTCAATAGAAATTAGCGCAGGTTATAACCTCCCCCCCGCTCTTCAGTTTTGGGGCTGAGCACAAGGCCTCTTTCAGCCTCCCACAAGCAAAACACCACGTCCGACCATACGCAAGATTATCACCGTCTGCAACGCAATCAAACCATTCATCACAGCATCTCATCATCGTCTTTTTTCCACATCTGCATCCGTAATCAATGGCGTTCATCAAAGACTCCCTCCATCGCATTGCTGGTGCGAGCTCCAGCTCCTCTCACAAGAGCCCCGCAACCACCCCAGAGTTCCTTGCAGAGCGAAAAAAATGGCAGGAAACACGCATCCAGGGTCAGTATAATCCCATTCCCTACATATAGCATGGGTCCTTCAGCCTAGCTAGCCCAATAGACTAATGGGGTAATTTCTTCATTGGTATAGATGAAATCCTTGCCGACTTCACCAAATACCTCCAGAACGGCACACCCAGCTGGGGTCCTGCTTTCAACGAGAAAGAAATTGAAACATTACAGGAAACTTTTGCAGCTCACTCCCATTCAGAGAAATGTGCGTCTCCCTCTCATACTTCCTATCGGAACTCTGGTAGAAAATACTTGATGCTAACGAATCACTGTAGCCTGGGATCAGCAATCACTAGAGTCCTACCTCCTCACTCAAATCCCCGAGGGAGATGAGACCCTTCTCAAAAGCTCCATCCCGGCGCTCTGGGATTTGACTGTCTACTTTGCTCACTGGCCTTTTAACACCGCATCCAGCGGCCGAACAACCCGCCTAACACACCCTGGCTTGGTCCGCGCAGTCGCCTTCCTCAGCGGCAGACACTACAGGCTATTCAAGTCATGGAAGAACAGCGACATGGAATTTAACCGCAAGACTGATCAACCAATTCTGGAATACATCTTCCGGGCTTTGGCCGATGCCCAGCCAGTGGGACAGCAGTCTGGCACATCATCTGATCGCGATGTGCTTGACATTTTGAGCGTGACTCAGCCAACCTTAAGTGAGTCTACAAAAACCTTTACTCGCGAGCAGTTGACCCCTACGGCTACGCGCCTGGCTCCCCCGCCTGCTCCAGAGCTATTGAGCCTTGCTATACCCACTCAGAAGCTGGTTCAGTTGCTTGACTTGAGCATCGCGGTTCTCCAGCAAGCTGCCAAGTTCGACGTCAGTAGACGTCCCCAATCGATCAAGAAAGACCTGGAAGCTGCCAAGGTGGAGATTCAGAAGGGGGACAAGGTAACATTCGATACCTACTCAAAACTGCTGGACAAGGGAGGGTGGTTGGAGAAGAACAATAATGTCGACACCATCTATGATGCCATTGCTGTTCTGTTCAACACTTTCACGAACCCCCAGAGCTTGAAGACTGGCGAGACGGTTAACTGGTCTTCCGGGAAGAAGGAGAAGTTGTATCTTGGATCGCTGCGGAACTTGGGGCTCACTCATAATTAGCAGCCGAATAGGAGAAGCAGGGGAGTAAATATTATTGTTTGTCATCTCTCACCTCCTTGGAGAATAGATAGCGTGTATGTTTCGGGTTTTTTCCCTAATTTCCTTTCGTTTCACTTAATGGCATGATATTTAATTCTGGTTTCATTGGATGATGAATACCAAATGAAGTAGCGGTCATAATCATCAGGCATGTGCGAATGTGGGAGAGCTACTTTGACCTGTAATTATGGCCATTGCCTCCATCGCACTACCAACATGTCTTGAATTTCGCAAATATTTTTGATTAATAAGAAAGCTCGCTTAGAACACTTAAGGGGGGGATTTTCGGCGAAAGGAATAAAATCCAAAACATTAGGTAGTTTAAGGGAGTCTGGAGAAATACGTTCTGCAAGAGCCTTAGTTCCGGAGACGCAATGAACTGTGCTTCTTCAATTTATTTCTAGTAAGTGGGAGAGCTATACAGTTATGCGGCAGCTGCTATAAAAAAATGGTGGGGGGGTTCCCAAACACCCAGAATTTTGTCAACTTGACACCATACCCAGATATCACAACACATTAAACTTTGGCCTTTTTGCCCGGCTACAAGGCTTATTCCCGGCCGTATATAGAGTTCAACACCAATTTCCATTTATTCCTGGATCCAGCCAACATTCTGATTCACTCTGTGTCTTTTGTCCAATGAGTGTACTCCTGGATGAAGGCGTGCCTCCCTACAAACTAAAAGCCCGTTATTGATAAGTTTTTTCGAGATGTTCTTACTGTTATGGTTCAAACATGAGTCTAATTCAAGATACGGCCTAGCGAGGGCCCCCGGGCCAGAGCGTAAGTACTTTCATATTCGATTCACTGGTTTATTGGTATATCTAGATTATTCTAGACTTTAGTTGCCTTACTTTCTACTTAAAAGAAGTGAGTGGCTAAATGGAATATCTTCCTAATAATTATAAATAGATTCATGACGAACTTGTTAAGACTAGAACCCTAAAAACTGTGTACTGTCCACTTGAATCCGGCAAGGTTGAGTGCAAGTAGCATTTTACTTAAATGTGAACGCCGTCTTTCGAGGCTTTTGGCGCCCTCTTAACAATATGGTTTTCATAACCGAAGGCCCCATGAAGATAACTTTATCCAATTCAACGGCTATTAAGATTTTCGCTGGTTGACTTGGCTCCTTTTCCCGGCTCATAGGTGATATTGACGCTTTGTTAGCTTCAACCCCACTGATTCGGGCGAGCTTCATTCCCGTCACCATATAAAAAGACCATCGGAATTTGTTACGAATTGTCTCCGTTATGGCCGCCAAGTACTCATCGGAAGGGTCAAATAACATATCCTCAAAGGCCTCGACTTCAAGTCTATTGTCAGCTTCTTTACCAGACTTATTGGCCAATCTGCGTCCGATAACCTTTGCCCAGTCGCCGTAATGCCCTTTTTCAACCTCGTCCAGCGTCGCTCTGAACCCGGATGCTCGTGTCGTGCCGAGTAGCTCCTCTGGCGGGGCCACATGAGTACCGACTTGCTGCATCCCACTTCGGTCGGCTACAAGCATCCCAAGATCAAGGTTCTTGTCAGAGGACAACTCAATCCAATATCTTTCCTCCATGCTACCCGAAGGCTTCAGCAGCTTAGTAACCTCCTCCTTGCCAGAGAGAGCAGCGATCTCAAGTGGGGTGATTCCGCGCTTGTCAGGGAGACGGCAATCTGCCCCACTGTTCAGCAACAGGTCTACCACTGAGGCGTTTCCTCTTTCTGAGGCTAAGAAAAGAGGTGTGCGTGAAGAGTCGTCCAACACGTTGACGTTTGATATTAGGCTTGATAACTCCGGATCTGTCTTCTCAAAATCGCCAGCCAATAAGAGCTGCTTAACAATATTCTCATTGCCATTCTGTGCGGCCAAGTGAAGTGCCGTCATACCATTCTGGTTTCGAAGTTTAAGCGTCGGGTTCTCTTTCAACAAACTCTGAACAACGTTCGCGCTCCCATGTCGAGCTGCGATAGCCAGGGCAGACATTCCTTCGTTGGTTTGGAAGTCTATTGTAGACTTATCGCTGAGAAGTATTTCTTCCACTCTGGCGAGATTTTCATCTTCGGCCGCAAGGTGAAGGTCCGTAATCTTACTTTCGAGCGATTCTTCCGCGTCCTTTGAGTGGCTCGGGCTAAATTTTTTCAGACCAAGTCTTTCTGAAATTGTTTTTCTAGCTTCGTCTGTTGTAGACTTGGCAGTTTGGTCCTCCTTCGATATGATTTGCGATACCGACATGATTTGCGACTGTATAAATTTCGTTCAATACTGAACGACTCCTTGGGGTAGGCTAAGCTGTCGAAGCTACGGAGTAACGATATCTTAGGAAGATGGGGATGCTATGAAGTCAGCTCATCTTATCACGAGCGGGGAAGCTGACAGACAGAGCGGCCGATAATTCGTCCGATGTTACACTTATGTGGCGGTGGCGTCCAATATTCGGAGGCCAGGTCAGATATCTCTGACTGCCTTACTCCTTGGCGAAAAAGATTTCTGTGGCGGAGCAAGTTTGTCCAGCAATTATTCCGAAGGTGTGGTTGTACATATTATTTCTATTACCTTCAGCTACAGTTGTGGCTTGCAGTAGATTGCTATTTCTCCAATTCAGTATCTCATCTTATCATAAAGTGCATAATGGATTCACCGAAAGAGGGGAATGGTGGGATACAGATGCGCCACGAGGCTGCGCATGTCTATGGTGAAATAAGTGCCTGTATGGATGGCTGCGATGGCTGTGAGGTATTAAGGAGCCCCCGAGCCTTTGCGAACCCGAGTCGGAATTGTTGAGTGAATGCCGTTAGACTCGATGTTTTCTGAAGATTATGAATCGTGTCTTTGAAGTTGCGATGTTGAATTTATTCCAATCTCATCTGAAGCTCTTGTTGCTTCTCTACCTATCATCAATAACCGCTGCAAAGAATAGTACGCAAACCTCTCAGTCTAAGGGAAATGACTTGGTTGGGTGGCAGCAGAACCCTGCCCGACGAGGGACCATGAATATCCTCGAGAGCTGCATCTTGACCATTATCGCCTGCACATGGACTATCCATCACCCGAATGTACCTGGGGGAGCCCCAAGGACAAGACTAGGGACATTCTTACATCACCTCAAGTGGATGGCTCTGACCATTCTTATCCCAGAATTCATCTTAGCTCAATCTATTGACGAGCATCTCTGGGTCCGCAAAACTTGGAAAGAAATGGAGAAAAAGGAGAAACACAAGTCTTCCGACAGCAAGAAGCGTTTTTGCGGTATCACTCGCAAGGAAACATGGAAGCTTTTTTCCGCTATCACCTGCAAGGAAACATGGAAACGTCGTTTCGATGTCACCTCCAAGGAAACATTGAACTGGTCGAAGAAACATTTATATTACGCGAATATGGGTGGCTTTCGAGTCAGACTATGGGAAGGTGTTGATGATGATGCTGGCACCTTCCCTCTAACTTCCGGAGAGTTAGTGAGATACCTTAATCCGGGCTCAAACAATGTGCCCAGAGAACATCCAACCCGGTCCCAAACCCCATTGGCAGCTGAAGAGCCATCGAAGTCTCAAGAACCATCGACACCTACAGAGTCATCGTCACAACACGATCTATCAGTAGGATCAGGGATTGAAGCTCCTATTTCAGAGACCCAGATTGAACGTATGATCAAACAAGATGCCTTCTTGAAAGTGATTGCATTTTTGCAAATCTCATGGATCATCCTATCGACTTCGTGTCGACGGTACCTCCGCATTTCTACATCTCAGCTTGAGATTTTAACTTTGGCGTTTGCAGTCTGCGCGGTGCTGACCTACTTAATCCGCTGGAATAAACCACAGAACGTTGAAATCTGGACAGAGATTCCAAACGGCTCCAAAAACCTGAACCAGCTCTCCGAACCGAATCGCTTCTTCAAAACCATTACCTACCTTTGGCGGCATGGAGGAAAACACAAGCGTCGAGCATATTTTAGAAATGACACATTGCGTCCCTATTATCTCAACAGCGCATTTCTCCCCTGGCTTGTCGTATTCATGGTGGCCATCGGGGGTCTACATTTAATCTCTTGGGATTTCTCATTTCCCTCCAATACCGAACGAGATCTTTGGAGGTATGCTGCGTTAGCGTCAACTACCTTCCCTGTACTGCTTTTGATAATAAGCAGTCTCGCCCCCTTGCCGCTTGTATGGATTCAAGACTATCCCAATATGAAGTCTACAAAGAAGATCAAGAATGAGCCTCAGAGGTTTATAAAGGACTGCGAAAAGCTATTGCGGGGCTTCGAAAAGAAAATAGACCGCCGGCTTGAAAAGAATCGGAATGATTCTGACTTGGAAAAGAAAAAGAACCCTGGCTCAGAGGAAAACCCTGGCTTGAAAACGGAAAAGGAAACGAACGAAGCTCTCAAAATCCAAGTCGGTGAAACCTTGCACAAGTTGACAAGTGCCCAAGAGACCCGCGAGAAGTACCGTAATGTATTCGGGGCCTCATTATCCTCAGAGCTCTACTCCTACGTCCAGAGACACTGGAATCGGGTTAGCAGTGAGACGTCTCCAAGCTTTCCCACAAGATTTACAGAGCTCCATGATAAATTACACAGCGTGCATTTCACGGCACATGACGGTATTAGCCAAGAGATTCTCGCCACCTATGATAGCATACCTATCTTCGACAAGGACTTCGACAGGACTGACGTCTTTCCAAATCTGACATCAAAATGGAGAAGAGGCAGCATTCGACGCGACATTTTGACCTATGTCACGCCATTAGTTGGTGCTTTGTACTCCATAGCACGCCTCATTATCATTGCCATAGCGTTTTCAAGCTTGCGGTCGATGCCTACCGACGTGTATAAGGCGACTTGGACTACCTACCTCGTAAAGTTCGGATAATCCCCATACGTCAGCTGCTAGAGTAAAGGAGCAAGATAGTCTACGGCCACGAAACCCTAGACTCGAGAGCTATCTCGACCATCGGACCGTTTCTTAAGTGATCTTTCTAGCGAGTCCCATTCACCTGGAACTAATCTCATCCTTGAATGACGATTCCGGATGAACCAGTGGAGGGTATTATTGAGTGAGCAAGAGGCAGCCAGATATTGTTCAATTATGCATTCGGCAAAGCGATGGTCTCGGGAATCGGCCGAAAGCGGGTGAGGAATCAAGGCTGACTACTTGGAAAAGATGATCCAAATCGTTTGTATTTCTCGATCCATACCGAAGTGAGCTTTCATACGGTATGATGCGTCCTAGCTTGAGATAGTGTGTTAGTTGTTGATGCGGTATTCCGGGTCAATCGCCAACGTGTTGCCGGTGTCAAGATCCCATCTTGGAACTAAGTTTGTATCGGATTTCAAATAATTTTTCTAGATAAGATCTATCTTCTCTCCCGTCACTGTATGCCATATTGTATGACTTAAGAAAGTAATGATCTGAGTTAACCCAACCCAAATGCTTACAAGGCAATATTCTGAGGCCAGAATCCAGCCTGTAACATACCTAGTAAGTTATTCATTAAGTATTTAGGCTCGGACGCGTGTCTTACTACATCAGATTATCTGTTATTGTGGTGTACGATCTATGTTTCCTTGCCCAAAGCCACCGGTGGCATGTACTACAACTTCAAATATAATTCACTAACAAGGGTTCATCTGATGCAATGTCCATGAATATCTGTGCTAAGGGAAAGGAGACACAATAGGGAAGAGGGAAACAAATGGGGAAGCTTTAGGGTCTTTCTTTCACACATTACACACTTTACTTCAGCCATTCCTCCTATTGTTTATTGGCAGTTAGCCTGGCAGTTAGCCTTAGGTTAATTTTGGTGAAGTTGCAGACTCTTCAGTCAACGTCTTGCGAGGTCTACGTTAATGACAGATGACAGATTGATCCAAGTAGAAACTTGTGTGAAAAGACAAATGCAAAGCAATATCACGAGATAGGGCAAGTCAAAGTTTTAGAAGGTGTTTATTTTTACTAAGATAACAACTCGGCGACTTGCCGAGTCGGTGGTCCCAGAAGGTATTTATTTGATTGATTACATCAAACGTCTCAGGCCAGCCTGATCCATACAAAGTCCTCGCATCTACTCTTCCACGCCAAACATCACTGCTTGGCATCTAATTCTATTAATCACCCCTCGCCTCCTAATCTCTTAATCTTCATCTGCAAATGTTCTCCATCTAAGCCTTGGTGGCCTTGGCGCTGGAGGACGAGGTCTTGGTGGCCTTCTTGGTCGTCTTGGTCTTGGTGGAAGACTTGGTCGTCTTAGTAGAGCTCTTGGTGGTCTTGGTGGAGCCAGCAGAGCTCGTCTTGGTGCCGGCGGCGGGGGTGGACGTCTTGGTGCTGCCGGCAGCAGAGGTGGTACCGGTAGAGCCGCCGGAGCCGCCGCCAGTGCCGGAGCAAGGGCCGACCTTGGAAGGCTCGCTACCGTCAGTCACACCCTCGTAGTCGATGCACTCGTCACCGACGCTGGTCATGGAGACGCCGGAGATGCTGGCGGTGTCGCCCATGTTGGAGTTGATGCCGACGAGGACCTTGCCGTTGGAGGCAGAGCCGCCGGTGACGATGACGTGGCGGGCAGGCATGGACTTGCAGTTGCCGCAGCTGCGGTACATCTTGCCAAAGTCGGAGACCTCGAAGTTGTTGATGGCGACGGTGCCGCCACCGTTGTGCTGGATGACCTTGTCCTCGGCGCCGGTGGCACCTCCGCCGTTGATGGTGGTGGTCTCGCCGTCGTCCTGCTTCTTGATGGAGAAGGCGTCCTCGCAGACGGCGTCCCACCAGACGTTGGTGATGGTGCAGCCACCGTTGCAGTGGACACCCTCGATCTGGTTGGGGCCGATGATGACGTTGGAGAGGGAAGCGCCCTTCTCGAGGATGAAGACGGCGTCGGAGTCACCACCCTCGACCTGACCAGTGCACTTGACACCACGGTCGTACATGACGTTGCCACCGTCGAAGGTCTCGCCGGCAGCGATGGTCATGGGGGCGCTGAGGACACTGCTACCGGCGGCGGCGGGAGCACGAGCCTTGAGGATGGAAGGGGCCTTGGTGGGCATGGGGGCAGGGCTGGCGTTGACAGCGATGGCCATGGAGGCGGCGAGGATAAGTCTGTACTGCATTTTGAGAGATGTTGTTTGAAAAATGAGACGAAGTCTTGTTGATCGTGTTTGTTGAAAGATTGGTGGTTCAAGCCGGCTTGATTTGTTGAGTTGGATTAAAGAGAATGTGTCAAGCGCAGCTTGATAGCAATGGAAAGAAGGTTGGTAGAGTTGAGAACGATGGTGTTTGATGGGACTGAAGATTCAAACAAGACCAGATTCTCTTGCGAGAACGAGAGAGTTTATACTCGACACAACGCCGTATCCCTCGCCGATCCCGTCCCCCCTTGAGCTTAACCGCCCGTCGATGTTTTACTTGTGACATGGATAATCACTGACATGTTTTCGATTCCCCTAAGTTAGAAAACGTGGGTCTGACGCTGTCCCGGAAGTGGGAGCGCACCGTAACCACAACCCTGTTCTTGGAGATGGAGACCGAGCCTTGAATCCACCGGGTAAGGGTAATAAAACAGACTTCGGGTCAGGAGATAGCGAGGACCCCTTGACGCACCATGCTCCTTTCAATTTCATCTCCCAACAGTTGCTGCTCTCCCAACACCGCTCGCTTCACAAATGATGCTTAACGACACCAATCCCATGCTGCAAATCTTTAAGAAAACATGATTGACTGTCGGCCCAAGTCAAAACTTCAGCAGCCGCTCTCGTTGCATAGCCTAATTTCCGGCGATTGCGGTGGCCCTGCGCTCGTATTACAGTAGTGTTGTCCCGACACCTGAAACGATAAAAAGCTTGTCTATAATTCCCACTCAGCATGCTTAACAGTGCTAAGCAGCTGAAACCCCCTGGCCATCCCCGCAGCTGGTGGCACGTTCTCAAACAACGTGCGCTATCTTTCAGGGGCCGAAGGGGCTGGTCGTGTTTGAAAGCTTGTTTCGTAAACGAAATCTTCTCAATTTGATCGGAAGACCTTCTCCCACATCCCAGAACGGAAGCGTGCGGGATTAAGACGAGACGGCTTCGGCTTCGCGGCATATGAGCTCTGTCAATCATTACTCTTGAGGCCGCGGAGTCATGTTAGGCTTCGGATTATGCTTGCTCGACTCAATGATAACCGTAATTTTAAGGACCGATTGGTGCTCCGTACAGTCTGCCCCATCTCGCGACACGAATGTTGAGCGGCCCCATACACTTTTGCTCCTGGCCAAGAGATTCGGCCAAACAAGCTTTTGAATTGCCCGCCTACCGATGTGAAATTGAGGTTCCGTGAGGGAGGCTACCCGCGCGAGGGAAGTGGGAGCCCGGCTGGCCAGCTTCAACTCCTCAGTGGACCACCAAGGGGTTCAGACCTGCTCTCATCTAAAGGGGTGAGAATCATAACACCGGTTGATAAGATTGCGGTGAGTCCAGCCCGATAGGTCCGAATGCTAGTTGCCTCTCGAACCAATATATCGAATTCACAGGACACTAGACCAACCTAATTTCCGTGAACTCTCTTCCATCAACCGCTTCTCCCGTCATCATGCCATCCAAATACGACGGGCCTACGAATGTATGAGGTCCTTCCGGGTTACTAGACCCGGCCCGCACAATAAACGGGACTCTGCCGCCGCGAAGAACCCAGACCTCGTCACCAACTGCTAGGTCAGTTGGGCCAAACCCCAGTAGTCCCTTCTCCGTCAAGAACATTGTCCGGTGGCACATGTTCGCGAATATACTTCTACAAACTGGAGTCTGAGCCCCATTTCTCATGAAACTCTCCGCCTGCTCCAGATCTCTCGACGTAGCAGACCGCAACGGGGCGAATTCCTCATCCAAGAAGAGGTTGGCAAGCAGACTTCCCCAGAAAGACTCCGGCCACGCCAAGGGTCCCACCAGGTCTTCAGGCCACTCCCGCCCCTGATAGAAGTCCTCTGCCAGAGCGTACCACTCCCGGAGCTTGGCGATGGCTCCGGGGAGCGAGAGGGCCGTGCTACCCGGCTCGTCGCTGTCGGGTTGAGGTTTCAACCCGACCAGCGCTACGCGGTCCACCATACACCCGGTCAGTGTCAACGCATTTGTCTGCTGGTCGTATTGAAAGCTAGTCATGTCGACCTCAGAATCACCAGAGGCCGAGTACATCTGATATGTGTGCATGAGATACCACGCCGCACAGTCGTTGTCGATGTTGAGGGCTCGTCCGTGATAGTCAACACCCATATCCAGGGCCCAGCGTGGAATCCCCTGAGTGGTGACCGGTAGTACCTCGTGTCGTCGCAGGGCAAGGGCGTGGAGGCTCCTGTCGTGTTGGATAAGATCCGCGGTGAACATGGCGTATAGCGTTCCTGGTGACAGTCTATAGTTGCAGTCCTCCACTCGTTTCAAGGTCCCCGGTGGGAAAAGTCCCAGGAATCCATACACTTTGTCCAACGGGTCGGACGCCTGGCGAAAGTTCCACCGAAATGCTGTATCTAGAGGACCATGTGTTGCCTCCTTGGCCCACTGTAGCCCGGTGGTATGTGCAAACAGTGTGAATAGGATGTCCCTCTGGGAATGTGTGACATTATTGAGAGCCGGAATATAAGTTCGGAGGTGGACGAAGCCAGCATTGATGATGACATCCCAAGGGATCGACAAGGGGCCCCAGAGAGCGAGACTTTTTGATGGCAGGATGGCCTATTGCAATGTCCAGACGCGATGCCACCACTGATTTTGACTTACTGAGATGGATCTCAGCGCCTGTATTGGCTGCTCGAATGTTTCTTCAGACTCTAGTTCCGGTGGAGGGCTCCTTTCAAACGCGTCATCATCCGCACACCCATCTATGAAGTTGACAATGTTCAGAGCCGACATTGCGGTGCGCACAGAGAACTGCTTGTCGATTTCGCCAAACCAAATAAGACACTGCGTGGTTTTGGCGTATATTTGACCCATTAGGGGCACTTGCATGGCTTTTTCCTCAATGTCATCTTGATTAATACAAATTTGATCGACCCAGAGAGTTCTTTTCTTGGCTGGAAGCCGGATCCGTCTAAGAGCTGCCGCGAGCCCCTCGGTGATGGTTACACAATTGCCATCGATGGTGATTTCCGATGTAGTCGCGCCATCCCCCCATACATAGGATAGCGCTTCGTACTTTGGGTCCTCGGATAGCGGTACGATCCGAGTTTCGCCCACCAGCTCGGCTGTGTTGTCTTTAGACGTTGTAGGAAATAAATCCAAGACGCGAATCTCGTTGTTAGAAAGCATGGCCGTGCCAACTTCGTTGTGAGTGATTGATGGTAACCTAGCAATGAAGGACCGCAATGCGCCAATTTCCCACGGAACCCAGATCAATATTCGCTTACGGTTCAAAGAGCGTTGAATGGGCGGGGTGTTGAATGAAGCTGCAGGGCTCAGCTTTGAGACTGGCTGGTTTGATGAGTGCTTATCCAGCCACTACCCTAGAGCAGGGTAACATTTTTCTCTCCATTTTACCTCGAGTTGCGTTCCGTCTAGCCAAGCTGAAATTGATTAATTATCCTGTTGCAATGAAAACGGGACGTTGCGATTTGTGTTTGTTGATGTTAACATGGCGTAACCAGGCTAAATTCTGCCTCACTGGCGATTTGACCAGTTTTCCAAGCAAACATCCTATTGTGAATGCTCACAAGAGGAGCCATTGAGGGCTGTAAGGCTGCATCAGACATGAGACCACTTTGACCCCACTTATGCGGATTATGTTAGATAAAATACCAATTGTGATTGGCTGAATAACATGGGCTCCTGGATCCCTGAGACATGATCCACCTCAATTCCAAGACTAGCCAATAGGAGGCAGAGGCTGCGACGCTGTAAGCCTCGGGTCAGCCACGGCGCCACACCTTGTTCATGATTGGGCGACATCACTGACCGAACAAGAACTCCGGAATTACTATATTCCGTCAGCCAAAATTAAGATCCACATTTTTAAGGTTTCCCGCCAATCTTGAAGCTAGAATTGATTCTGCCACATCCAGAACTCGGTTAAGCTTGAATTGATGAGTTCGGCGCCAGAGGTTGAAAGATGTTTCCTGTGCTGCACTGCATTAGTGGCCGCATGCTGCTTTTGCATCGGCTAGCTAATTATGCATTGAGTGAAATGCTGTGATCAGCTGGATCCACTTGCATTTCGTTACTAATGAGCCAAGAGAACTGGTCATGTTGTTTCTTCTTCTCGCAAGTCCCAAGAATTCTCATCTTACTTTCCTTTTCAATAATCTCTCTGTAAAAAAGGGGTCCCAAAGTTGTCAGCATGCCCGGCGCTGTTACATCTACGGCTTGCCAGACGTGCAAGCTCCGTAAAATCAAGGCAAGCTATGAGACTCGGGATCTGCAACGTTTGAGCAACATCGCTAATCTTAATTCCTCTGGCGCCGAATCCAGTGTGATCAAAATTGGCCGGGGTGTACACAGTGTACCCGGAAACGCTTGACATGTCCTGGGCCAAGCTCCCTGCTCAAGTTTGTCAACGACGACCGGAACCAAGTCCAAAGAGATGTCCCAACAGAACAAGCGGAAGGCTCAGGGGTCTTGAAACTCCGACAAAGCAGGCCATATCGCCTGCCCAAGAGAAACAAAGATCCGTCCGGGGCTGAGAGCCAATCACCACAAGCCGTTGGTCACTACAACGCCTTTCGTTTCCAAACCTCGATCCCCCGCGCGGATCTTACCACGAGGGCGGACCGTGTTGCCTCTCGCCTCGTTCACCACATCAAGGGTGAGCGAAACTGGGGTTGGGTCTTCTCGATGCAGTACCTCCAGCACCTGCCGAAACGACTGTCAGAAAGCCCAAGCCTGCGAGACACGGTGGCCCTCTTTTGCTCGGTATTGGGAGACTATCGTCGCGGAAAGGAAGCAACTGAGTTCCTAACCCTTCCTTCCTATGGCAAGGCTCTCAACAGTCTGCGGAGGGCGATCAAAACAGGTCAAGGTTTGAAAATCGAGACTCTGGCCTCGATTATGATGCTGGAGCGTACGGAGAGCGTATTCGATCGAGGGCGCGATAATATATGCCTGAGACATACAGAGGCCATTGCAACCATGATTCAAAATATAGGTCCCCCTAAGGCTGATGATCAACTTCACCTTGGCTTGGTTAGCGACAGCTATGGTACATTGGTATGCCAATAATTTCCCAGTTCTTTAGCACGCAGACTACACTGACTTGCCGAACACTGCTGACTGTTAAATATCTAGGCCGTTCATTTTTTGAAGACAGGCGAAGATAATTTCTTGTCCCAAGACCCATGGAAAGGGATCATTGAAGAAAATATTTCTACTTTGCTTGAGAACAAAGAGGCCCAGCCGCATTTGAAAAGGCTCCTGGTTTTGAGCAACGAAGGCTTTGGCAACCTGCCGAAACTTGTGCGACGCTGCCAGATGGTCCATTTCGGACCTCGAGACCCCGAAGCGGCAGAGCAGGCTGCGCAATTGATGACCAGCCTCGCAGACATGGAGAGGGCCCTTGAGCTCGCATATCTTGACTTATTCGAGAAGACCGCTGATTTGGGACTGATATGCGACCGGGCCGACCCTGACTCCATCACCGGAAGTAGCTACGAGCCCTCATCCGTCTATCTGGCTCAATTTTTGGTGTCGTCGCTTGGCCTCCAGCTCTACATGCTGCGAATGCTCTATGACTGCAGCATCGTCTATGATCAAGACGAAACTCCTGGCCTCTATGCCAGGCTCACGGAATTATGCGTGAAGGTGTGGAAGTTCGCCCCGTATCTGAAAAGCCTCGAGGCTTGTGTAGCTTCTAGCACGCTTAGCAACATTTTGCCGACGTTGGAATTTGCAAATGTAGAGCAAAAGGAAGTTCTGATGGACATGATTATCGAAATGGACAGATTTCGGCAGCGTTTACCAAGAGACAGATTCGCATTGGAACAAGCGTCCAACGTTTTCACGATGCAGGTCACCGGCCGACTACCTCCTACAAGTTTGTAAATAACCCTAGAACATCAATTGAAAACTGGTTTATTCAAAAAGGCTTCCTATACTGTTACATTGATATTGGAAGGACAATCTCACTGCTAATTTGCGCATAAGCGCCAATAGAAATGGGACAGCGGTGATTCGCTTGTGTACTGTAACATCAATATTTTGATGGATCAGTTGGTGGTTGCCTAACTTCTACCTAATTAATTTACTAATTAGGCACAGACCGAATTAAACCACAACTTGGCTCACTGCACTATTTAGTTGTCACCAACTCACCAGTCACGCTCGGATTCTTCTCTGAGTCTCACAGACGAATACCTCTTATGCCTATATGAATTGATTGACAAATACAGTTTTCCCAATGAGCCAAGGTGATGACTTGCGACAGCTCGAGCTGGAACTCCGACGGGGAGGGAACCCCCTCTCCAATTATTTCCGTCACACCCGCATGAAGAGAGGAAACACGCCATCTCAGGCCACGCGACATGTTGGTCCTACGCGAAGGATACCAGTTGGCGGCCGGGCAGAGCTCTGGATTGTGGACAGGATCCTGGAGCCCCAGACACTCGCCCATTTCCTCGCCTGCGTGTGTGGCAGCCCGCTCCCCAATGGCCAGCAGAGCAAGTTCCCGGTGCTCTCTGTCGATGAGGCCCAATGCATCACGCAGCCCTTGTCCGAGTGGGCGCCGCCTCCGTACGATGGCAGCCAGCATTCGGTCATGGACAAGATCGCAATCTGCATTGGTTCGTACGAGGATGAGAGCAATTTGACGATTCTTTCAAAGGAGCTCAGACCCATAAAGGCGTTGGTCTGGGCGGGGATGACACCTATTTCTGAAAGGCGCTGGCGGGAGCTGGACCTCGACTCGCCCGGCAACTTTCATAACGCGTGCCGGTACTTTTGCGCTGTCATTGACGTGTTCCACTACCTCAACATGCCGGCAGTGAAGCCTCGCTTGCGCAAGACGTATAATGCGATATGGGACCAACTAAAGATCTTCGAGTATTCGTTAAACAACAATAGGAGAGCCAAAGGAGAACCAAAAGTCAACGTCACTGGGATGTGGTATGAGTACATCGATGCGCTCTTCGCCTCGATATCCCAGCACGCCCATGACTGGGTGACAACCCACATTGAGCGGCTTCGCGGGCCAGTTCTCCAGCGTTTGAACGACATTGTTAAGAGCAAATCCGTCTTAGCTGGAGAACCGGAATTTTCACAGGAAGAGATGGATCTCTCGAACAAGCTGCACGATCTTGTGGAGAACGCAGCCCAGGCAGACACGGCCATCTTCCTGCCAATGGACGGGTACAGGGGATGTGAGCTCGTCAGCCAGGACAACGTACCGCTTCCCGATGCGAAGAATCCGTATCGTGAGCAGCCCATATCATTTTCAGCAAATAAAAGGGCTCGCGAGTTGGACTACTATGCCCGGCTCAAATACCTCACGACGTATCAGAAATGGAAGGAGTTCGACAATACCGAGCTGGCCAGCCTTGTCGACCGGCTTGACCTGGTGTCCAAGGGAGACAGCTTAAGCGTGAACCAAGTAATCGCACAGCACCAGGCAAGAATGGAACTTCGAGGACCGACCAAATCATCATTTGATGAGCTTTGGGTGATTGAATCTCAACGCCAGGGAGGCAACAAGCGATGGGGTTTCCTAGCCTACCGGCTGTGTTATGATCACACAGATGAGGAATGGGAGGAGTTCAAGGCCAAGTTCGAATCGGATGTATCAAATTGGCGAAACGAGATGCCTGATATGGACAATATAAAGGCGAGATCAGTGGTTGAGTGGCGGGACCCGCGCACAGTTGGCCTTCCTGAGAATGATGTTGACGCTGTTCGGAAGTAAGTTCTCAACCTACAGTACATCATTTGGAGCCTCGACGCTAACTTTGCCAAGGCACTTTGCTTCCCTTGAACAATTCAATCTGATCCCCGAGCATGTCAATATGGGGGTCATACTCGCTGCAGACAAAGCTGTCATCGACTCGTACCTGAAGCCAAGTCCAGGTCAAGGTGGGTTTGTGCTCGCTATTGAAGCTGGGTTTGACCCAAACGATGAGTGGCGCAAGCAGCGAAACGAGTCACCAGGATACCCAGGTATCTTGAAAATCTTGGGAAGTGTACTCTGGGATGATGTGAGTGCATCGATGCTTTTGCAAGCGCGGCGACTGGATGATCTCTGGGTTTTGGCCATGGACCATCCCCTCAAGTTGTATGAGGGATACATGCCGCGACATGCTCCGGTCTAGACAGATTCATAAAGAAACATCACATCAAGCAATCCCGAAAGAAGATTGATTTTGGCATACGCGTCGTAAAATACCGTTGAACTTTTGAAAACATCATGGAATCTGCTAGTATCTCATAGCGCTTCCCTCATCTTCTGGAGACGTTCCACTACCCCCTCCGCAAACGCCTCGCGCAGTCGTCGATTTCTCAGTGCTGCCTTCTCCCCAGGATAAGCCGGGCTTTCTATCTCGTTTGCGCAAAGTAAAATCTCCAAAATGTCTCTGAAGGTATTGCCTGCGTGCGCTGAGACTACCTCTAAACATGTTGACTTGGTTGGGAATTCGCTGTCAAGCAGCGCTTGGTTCTTATCCACAAGGATCTTGTCCTTTACAGAGCGCAGCTCATCTCCAGTGAGGCTTGATACGGCCTTGTAGCCGACAATACTCTCGATGGGCGACCAACATCCAACTTCGAGGAGGATTATCCCCAAGCTGTAGAGGTCAAAGGATTTACGGTAGGCGTCAGCATTTTCACCCCCCTGCACCAGAGGGTGTCGGTAGAGATCTGTGTCAGGATTGGGCTTTGCAACGTCAGTCAGCTCTGGCCGTCCGTCTGGTCTTGAGAGCTCTAGGCCGGTGAGATATGGCTTCTGAAGATCAACAGAACCCACGTCTGGGCTAAAGAAGAGAATGTTCTGGCTCCGAAGGCCTTTGTGCAGCCAGTCGACGGCGTGGAAGTTGGACAGACATTCTGCGAGTTGGAAGCAGAGTGATATACGCAGGGAGAGGGAAGGCATGGGCTGAATGGATAGAAGGTCTCTGAGGCTGTAGATGTGGACTGTCAGGGGGTCGTGCCGTATTGGAACTTTGAACACCAGTCTTAATATGGGCTGATGGCGCGTATTGGAACTGATGTTCCGTAGGTCGATGAACCCTCGACAAGGTGGTGTTCGAAAGTCTTCAGGTAATGCAATACTCAGAAGTTTGGCAAGAAGGGATGCTCTATGACTAACACAGGACACATCATCGATAGCTTTATCCAAATTCTCCAAAGAGTAGTCAATTGGTTCTAGCCATAGAAACTCGCCCGTTATATGTGTTATTTCTCTTGTACGAGAAACATACTCTCGGGGGAAAGAATTGGTGACGTTGAGGCATTCGAATGTCTCATCTCTGTGCGAAGGTGTAGCAGCAGGATTATCAGACTGATCGATGTCCAAACGATGAATTTTTACATCGGCCAGTTTTTTCATATAGTTTATCCTCTGAACGTTTGATCTCGTCTCTATCGTGATAGATTGAGAAGCCAAGCTTCTTGCCGCTGTTACGACTGATTGAACGTTCTCCTCCTCTTGATTGATGTTGTAAGTTATGGCTTGAATTGTAGCCTTTAGGCCTTGAAGGTCGGTTTTCATCTGTATGATTTCTTGATAACTCGTTTGGATCGCCTGATTTATTCGACGACTTCTGGATGAGTGAAGAAGAGAAATGAGGGCGGAATTCAGAACCTCCAGGTTTGCAATCAAAGATGTGAATGCCTTCTGGTCAAATGCTACCCAAACTAAACGTTTCGGCTCGACGATGATTGTACGCAGCTTCCTCGCCTTCCATATAATTTTGCTGAATATAGAGTTTGATCGTAAGGACGTTTTCGCAGTAGGTGCAACTGAGATGTCAATCTTAGCAATAGGACCTTGAGTGGCGCAGAGCAGGTCCATCATGCTCGGCTGAGGGCTCAACCTTTTCTCAAGTCCATCAGAAAGTACGATATCGACGTATTTCCCGTTCGCTTGCTGGAACATTTCGAAGAGACTCTTAATCTCGGAAAGGGTTTCTTGAAGCAGGGTCGAGTTGATCGAAAGTATATCGGGGCCGGCTTCGGTGGACAACAAGCCGGCTTCTTCGGCGAACACAAGAAAACGTTGCTGTTCTAGTTGCAGTCGAATTTGCAAGTATCGGTGCTTTTCTGGCATCTTGGACGCCTCGCTGAAGTATTTGTAGTCTGTTCACAATGATCATGGTCAATGAGATCACAAGTGTGCACTGGGCTAAGCGATTATGGCTTACATTTGACACACTCGTCCACTACTTGTAGAACCAACGACCCGGAGCCAAGGCCGGTACCGGCCATAGCTAGAGCTGCAGCCATATCTCCTTTATCGAAGAATGCTCGTTGCAAATTTCCGTATGCAATTTTGTGACTCACTTGGGATTTATGACGGCGGTATGCAGGCTGACAAGAAATTAGGATGGGTTGGGCGGAAGCTGACCTGAGCAAAATGACCAGCCAGCGGTAGAACTGCACTTTTATGTACCATTAGGGTAGATTTATTGGAGGGCGAGCATTTGACCCCATAGGCTCTTTAGGGGGCGTATATGCGACTCGTCGGGTTTTCACCGACCCATTGAAGCCCAGACCAATTGTGCAGTTTCTTTGGGTTGCAACGCGTATTGAGTGGTGAGATGTGGGAGTAAGGCTCTACGCTCTACCTAGGTAATTCGTAATTGTGTTTAAAATAAGCTGCATGGTAGCTCTTGAAGAGCAGAGGGCAAGCTTAAATTAATTTGGGCTTTGCATTCAAATTCGACCTTGGCTGCCGCGACCTCAGAACAGTAAAATCGGTCTTAACAAGTACATACCTAGCCACTGCGAGACAAGAATGGCGGCGTCTGGACCCTCACGAAGTACATCTCGACAAGAAGAGGACTGGGTCACTATCAAGCCATCATGGCAGGGAAGCACCCAACCTACATGCAAAGTGAACACGATCCTCAACGCAATGAGTTCCAACAATTTCGGAAGCAGCCACGAGGACATCTCGCGGAAGCTGGCTTGCGTCACAGATTACTGGCTACCCATTACGTCTCACTCTACGATGCCGCCCGCCTTGGAGCCGAGTCAATGCCACATGTTCATCCAACAGCAATCTTCAGTTCTTGATCCAGCTTTCGAATTCAATGGGCAACATTACAATCTTGACAACAATGCCAGCATCCCAGAAGGGCAGAGGCTGCCCCGTAACATCGAATACAAGAAAACTCTCGGCCAAGGCCATTTCGGTTATGTCGCTCAGGTGAGTGACAAGAACGGCAGAGCGTATGCTCTGAAAGTCATCTCGCGAAAGACACAACACGACGACGCCAGGGAGCAGATGAGAATGGCCAAACAAGAGATCGAGGTTCTGAGAAGGGTCGATCATGTGCATTGTATTAAGTTTGTTGGAAGCTACACTGATGCCAAGTCAATCGGCATCATCGTGAATCCCGCTGCGGACTGCAACCTTGCCAAGTTTCTCTCCCACTTCGATCACCGGAATGAAGATCAGTATATGGTTCTAGCCAGTTTTTTTGGGTCCTTGGCCAGCGCACTTGAGTATCTCCACTACGATGTACGAATCAGACATAAAGATATCAAACCACAAAATATACTGGTCAAGGGAGAGAATGTGATGCTCGCAGACTTTGGAATATCCCTTGACTGGAGCGAGAAAACACACTCAACTACAAACCAAGAGGCTATCAGAAGCCCAGTCTACTGTTCCCCGGAGGTGGCAAGAGGTGAGCCGCGTAATTCCAGGTCGGATGTTTGGTCCTTGGGATGTGTTTTCCTGGAGATGGCGGCCGTCATCCACGGACAGCCATCCACGTATGTTCAAAACATACTACAAAGCCATGGGTGCTGTAATTTCCGAGACTGCCCTGAGGGAATTGAAGAGGCCATTACGACATTACGAAAAACCGGCCTGAAAGACAGGCATCTTCCTCTCGACTGGGTGAAGCAAATGCTCATGATGAGGAAAGAAGACCGTTGGACCTCGGCAGTGCTGCGGGACGAGATCTATAAGAGCAGAGGGCAGTCGGATCTGTCCTTTTGCGGAACATGCTGCGAAGAACACAAGCCTCGATCTCCCGCGAGCTCGCCTGTGTTGGCTCCAACCATGACCGGTGCTGAAATAGTTGCCGACACTGTGCGTATGCTATCTATTAATTTTGGCAGCGACATACAATGCTAATTGTACAACTAATGGCAGTATGGAGAGTTGAACAAAGCGGCGGAAATCACAGAGAAAGCAGAATTGTACAGCGCAACGAAAGGGTGGCAGACGGTTACATTGATACGGCGCGAAGACATCTCAATAAATTGGATCCCGGCCGGCCTCGTCGATTCGTGCAACTTGGAGATGCTGGTGAATAAGGATCAAAGAGACTTGAATTTAGCAGGGCTACCATATGCTTCATCTAAATACGTCGAGTTGACCTTCACCGTCGGCGGAGGTCCAGTTCTGAAGCGTGACTTTTGGGTAGCGCCGTTAACGGCACCGCTCCACTCGCTGATCTGGAACACTTCGACGCAGTAACGCTGGGTGTATGCATTATGTTTGTTCGGCTTAATCCCTTTCAGACAAAGGAGGATCTGTGGGGAATACTGTGATCGTTGAGATCGCACGGGGATAGGCAAGGCAGTACCGTCGCTAGATGGACTTGCGGATGCTGGTGACAGAGCAGCTGAAATGCACAGCCACATTTTTAGGTAGATATTTACGAGAATAATTGTTCTGAAACTCTTAGCGAACTTCCAAGCTGCCGCCGTTGACGTATAAGGGTGTCGCACCGGGTCTAGTCGGGCCTGACGAAGACCCTGAGACCCCACAAGGGGCCGCAAAAATAGAGTCAACGTCACCACATATACCGGGGGTTTACAGCAGAAAATCAACAGAGTCTAAAAGAGGAGAACTCTCCGAGTCGCCGCTAAGATTCGGCTGCATCGAGGTTCTTACTGGGAGGTTTATCGGTATTGACATGGGATAGACTTCATTATGAAGAGGGGCGATATTCGCCATGTCGCATCGCGCCAGATTTTACTTCAGGCTAATAAATGCATCGTGTTCACAGGCTGCTGGCATTCCATATTTCGGATTGGACTTACAGGACCTCTCTGTGGCCCTGGGGATGTGTGGGTGACGTTTGTAGATGGAGTTGGGTATGATTAGGCTCTTCCAAGAGATCTGCAAGGGAGAATTATTATGCACAAGGAGATAAGCTAGCTATTAATTGGGAATCAATTTATGATCGATCATGATTTACCTTACCTACCTTACCTTACCTATAGGTACCTAGGTAGTCAAGGGTGGTCACACCGCTCCTGTTGGGCGGAGACAGGAATGACCTATCATGCTGCCCTTCTTGCATTTTCTCTGCATAACACGTACCAATCACTGAGTGAGGCTACGAACTTGATACCAATCACTTAGTGAGGCTACTTTATGATCTCAATGTGGCACAGCGTATTCGCTTAGGGTGAAGGGGCGAAGGTGTTTCATTACCGCTGATGGCGTGTCGGTACCTCTCCATCCATGAATGGCATCTGAAGTGCGCCAGGAAAGTCTCCGAACGGTCCTAGGCAGTCCACCGCATCACCCTAGCCCACACACTCACACCCAACACGTTGCTGTCGTGCGGACTCGGACCCTTTGATGCATTGCCACATCCTCCTCCTAATTGCACCGCCTGATTGTGGTTCGATGTTCAACCTTGTTAAGACATTAACAAACCCGATATGCAATCATGCCCTATGGTGCGTTCCTCAATTCGGTGTTTCTTTTAGATGAGGGGAATGGAGAGGGGAGAGGGGGCCATGCAAGCGGTTAGCACTCAGACTGCCTCACAACATGTTCCTTCATGTGATATTGATACGCTTTGCGGCATGACCTTGGAAAGAGACGGCAAGGGCACAAAAAAAAAAGAGAGAAAAATGAAAGAGAGTAACTGGCGTACAATTTATCCAGCCAAGCCCGGAATCGAGAATGTTTCCAGCTCACCAAAATGGCATAAAAAATCAGATAGACGGTCGCTTGTAGAAGCCTCCCAATCCAGCAAACTACGTCAAGCCCCCCTGAGGCATGACTGTTCTGGATTACCGCCTTGGGTCTGTAGTCCGGCTATCCCACCTCGTAAGTTGGTGTTCCCCAATCAGGCGCCTGTTTTTCTTCAAGCCCTTTATAGAACTAGACAGGGGCTATTTCGAAGTGGTGGTGAACATTGAGCACATGGTATGCACTTCTGCTGGGGTTAGGGTTGGTCTGATCCAATCAATCATTTTGTAACTCCTACGCGCTACTTGGTTGGCAAGGCTGCTTGATAGTGGACATAGACAGTAGTTGGGCATCCATCCAGTGGTTCCAGACCAGAGTCCGCAGTACAGCAATCATCAGCGATTACCTACGCAGGTGTTTGCACCGTATTCGTCGACGAAGCCGCCCCTATGTAGAACGCCATTTAACGTCAGTGGGCATGATATAATTGCTTCTTGGAGCGCGGATGTACTACTTCATATAGATCAGGCCTCCCTCAAATCTGTTGCTCCTCTCAAGTCTTGTAAAAACATTCTTGATTTCCTAGAGCTCACCACCTGTTTCTGTGCTAAGTGCCGCCAAGAACCCTGGTAGTTACATAGGTACTTGTAGGCTTCACACGCAGGCCAAGCCACTCACAGGCTTCTTACTGTACACCCAACGGTGCATGTATTGCCGTACCAGTACTCCCACCAGCGCATTTGCTGGCGGTTCTAGATGCCTCCTCCAACCCCAATTGACAGGACGCCGGTCATCGACTTTGATGTGAGTATCTATTAAGGTTGCAATGTGTTTCCTTATAACCTAGTCAACCTCACGACGCCTGAAATACTTAGGTCACTAAATGTTCCATGCATTGATAGTCCCAACAAGAATCTAAATTAATCAGCGCCTTCGGAGTAAAAAAATGGGAAGGTCTGAGGGCACGCCAGGGCCTGCAACCTTGCCACTTCATATCCGCCGAGGCCATGAAGAGAATGGGGCTCTCCGTACCACTGAACAGCGAGCAGGAGATCACTTGGTGGTCCCAAATTCAGACTGAGCAGGCCAAGAAAGTTCGTTGCACGGTGGTGCCGTCCATTCCACAGGGCATCGATCTTGCTTTTGGTACTAGCAGCGACGATAATCGGTTGGAGGCGCCGGGGGCCACTTACTCTCAAGCCGGCCCGATTCAACAGGCCGAAACTGGTGAGCAATGCTCTCTCCTAAGCGGCGTGAGCTGAACGAATGTGTTGCTGACCATGAGACAACCTAGAAATGGACGACACCCTCGATTCTAACCTTCTCTTTCGTACGAAGATTGCATGTGAAATCATTCGCTGCGCTATCCGCGAAGTAGTGGATGGTGATCCAAGTCCTACTCAGTCAAGCCTAACGGAACACGCGCGTGTTGCTGCCGAAGTAATCCGCACTCCCATGGAGATTCTATTGAATAATAAGAAAGACGACTCCCATGGCCCAGGTGTGAGCTGTTATAGTCGAACTCAACCGACTAGTGAAGATTGATTGGTGCATTCCAGGAGAGAAGATATGCTATTCGTCCCCTTCACGGGCCTGCATATCTTTGTCAAGGTCGTGGCGGCTTTCTTCTGTGGGCCTATAATAGAAATTAGATTGTGGCTACGACTCATCGTCAACTCGGCTTAGGCAAACCTTCCTTTCGACCACACCACAGATGGATTTTGCCTCTTCAATTATCATACGTTTTGCTTCCAGCCGATTGGTTGCTTTGCTACCAATACAGCTGTATTGTCCTGTCAACCCACATAGATTGATCTGAATAAATGGTTGGCGGAGTCTTGGAAAAGACACCCACGAAAAGAGTGGAAATTTTACTTTATTCAAGTTCACATCACTTGTAGCCTATCAAGAAGCACACATTGGATTTTTAACTTGCTCTATAAGTGATAGTCGATGCAATGAGCCCGCTACCTGGTTCCTGGCGCTCTAATGGTCCACAATGATCCATTGCCGCCGAGAGCAGGGTGCATTCACAGTGGCTTTATTAGGCACCATTCGAGTGAAGTGGCCGTGAGGAGGTTTTCGTTCTGCGATTTGGATGTTTCTAAAGAAGTGAGTGAGAGGTCCAAATTTTAGAAGCTGATGCCAACTACTTGTGCCGTGATAGTTCGGCAATTCGAAGACGTCAATATCATCCTTTGTATCAACTTCCTGGACTGAGAGCACCGGACTAAGCTTCTTGCGATTTAAAAGAAAGTGCAAACGCGCAGGCGTATTCAATTCATCTGCTGATGGAAACTGCGGCTCCGCTTTATGGGGAGGAGTCAACAGTTCCCAGTGAAGCTACTACAAAGCTGTCCTAGTTCCTAAGAGCTTATATTTCAGCTTATATCCCTTGTAAGACCACCAGTTCAAGTTGAGCCTTTGATGGAGAGAAAACCCGAGAGCTCAAGAGGTCACTGATATAAGCGAAGATGCTTCGCTGAGAGACTTAGGACCGTAATTCGTTGAAGGAATACCACCCACAAGACCAGATAAGTATAGGTAATTGGTTCACTAACTTGTTAATAAAGCGTTTAAAGTGTATTAAATTGTCTTTCGCTAGTTGTTGCTGCGCAAGGCTTTCGAAGAGAGATATGTTATGATAACGTTGGTTAATGGTGAAAGTCTTAAAGGAATAAGCTACGGACCAAGTCCACCCCCGAAACGCAAGAAACGATCACTTGGAAAGAGCGCATAGTCTCAGCATCTTAAATTTTACCCGCCGTAATGCGAGAAAGTGGTTCATTGCTTTTGGCGCCTCTTAGTTGCGTCTAGCAATTCATCCAGGGCCCTTTGATCCCCTTCTTCGGCAGGCTTGTGCCGGTCAAGCATTGCTTGTTCGTTTGGTTCCAAGTCACAGAAATCGATGACGCCTCCAAATTCTGTCGGGTCTACCCATCCTTCCGATTCACAAAAAGCACTGTATCGAGACCCATACAAGACCGTGGTCTGCTGCGTCGGGTTGATGTCTTCTCGAACAGAATTGCGATCTTCTCTGATATATCTTGGCCCTGGGAAAAATTCGAAGTCGGCGAGGTTGGGTAGGCTGGTACGAATTTTGTCAAATATGAACTCCCAAGTCCCTGGAAAAAGAAATAGTTCTCCGAAGTCACTGCCAAATGTATCCTCTGCAATGGGCTCCCAATCGTGCATTTCCGGATTCCAGAGATCCAGTATTGTGGCAATGGTGCAACTGTCCAGTCGCAAGCTCTCTAATGTGGTCTGATTGAGAACCCAGTCAAAATGATTATAGTGTGAAATGTTGAAGTATTTGAGTTTTAGGCTCTTGAGACGAGGGAATGCTAGGCCACGGCCATTGAATGTGCCTGGTGCTGTCCCCCAAAATTCATCAATGCATAATGACAGCGATGTTAAGTTCGCCATTGGCATCAACAAACTGTCTTGCAACCATGGCTCAAAAGTCACTAGCTCAACTTCATGAAGATCCGATTCTGGTCGAGATTCGCTGTGCTCCTGAACGATGTGGAGGTCGAGTTCCTCCAGATCTTCAGTCACAGACTTGAAGAGACTTGAGGATGTGAACGTGGGAATCGGCGCGTTCTGCATATTTTCAACCGCGAATGAGCGGATGCTCGTCCTCCCGGGCTGGTTCGATCGCGTCTGTATCGCATTGAACACGGCTTCGAAGACGCTGATCCGTTTTTCGTACGTTTCATGGCTTGTAATACCTTGCCCTATGGATTCCGGGCCACAGCACACTGGAGAGAAGTTGACTGTGATTTTCTCTATGTAGTGGAGATCGGCAATTTTTTGCAAGGCGGTGATAAACCCCGCCGGGAGTTCGTCCCAATACCCTTCATCGTCGTCAGTGATATGGCTGTAGATGAGAATCTCGCGGACTGCGTCTTTAATTCGCTCATTTTCAAGCAAGGCACCCCACGCCTTGAAACCCTCTTCCGTCGAACCCTCTTCCGTCGGTCTCAGTATTATTTTTCGGAACGCGTGTGGTACTGCCAAGGTATTCCACCGCTGGCATACCGATCGTGCCGTGAGTGCGGTAGAGGCTGGCTCCATGAGGCCAATGATGCGCCCGAGTAATTCGTTTGGAAGGTCTTGAGCGGCCATTGTGGGAAGTAGGCGAAAAGAAGTATCTCAGATACGTTTTTATGTCGGTCAAGGAGTCTTTAGTTGATAATTTGACAATCTCTGGAGTCAATTGTCTAGGTACGAAGATGTGTTTTTATGTCCAACCGCCGGATTTTAGGTAGTGGAAAGATGAACGGACTTTCAGCAAAATTGGCCGCCTTTCTGTTCAAATACTCACTTTTGCCGTGTGCCGTTATAAGTGGGCTAGCCAGCCTACTAAGTAGTAAATCTGGTGGTAAGCAAGCATCATGGATAACAGAAGTCCATACAAGCGTGCTAGTTCCAGCAAATATTGCTCCATAATGATAAGAATGGGTAATGGCCGAGAGACGACGGTGAACACGCCTGCCCAGAGAGGCAGGTCATCCGATAGTTTGACCAGGCAATTATACTGCTCGCAACTCTACTTCCAAAATCGGGTCAGCTTAGCCCAGAACTTTGCAGGAGAACAGTTACCTCACATTTGAAGAGAGGAAGCAACCCGCCAATTATTATTTTCTTGACTTATTCTTGGTATCTTCCCGAACAAAATTGTAAATTTATGTCATTATAAACTTAATTATATACTAATGATCTATGTCTTTTACTCATTCTCGAAGAGTATATTTTCAGTGACTGTGTTCGAGTTCTTGGAAGATAGAAAGCTTACATAGCTAGAGATACCCTCGAGCGTTTGTGCTATCGTGAGTCTCTCCTCAACTGCATTGTATTGATATTCTCCCATAACCTTGGTCTATCTCAACTCCCGATCCAATGGCTGCTCCAAGAAAGCTAGCTAGGTAAAGCTTAGGGAGAGGTCTGTGAATGAGCCTCTTGACTAGGCTATTCAATTGAATCATGATAGCCACTCACAGGTCTTGTGTTTACTTGAAGGTAGAACGTAGATAATCTTGCACTGGTAAGAAAATGAGCTAATCCGGGCATCACATTGCCCATGAAGATAGGTGGACTCCTTTGGATACTGAGCAATCAATGCATAGTTGAATAATACTCGAGAAGTGGATGGAGAAACGGAAAGAGTAGAAGGCGTTCATACTCTTCTCATTTTCATTAGTGTACATGTATATATTCTAGTCTGATGTGAACACTCCTAGTTGGATAGGCGGTTATCCGCTATAGTGCGTGCCGCGATGTTCAACATAGTGATTTCAAATGACATGATTTTCGATTCGGATAGTCGATCGGGATCGGCAATGTCGGCGCGTATGCACTAGAAAACCTATGGCGCAATATGCATCGGGAATGAGCCATCCGTAGTGTAACGATATTCATAGGAACACACAACCGCTAGTGGATTCTTTATCCGTTGCATTTATAATCTGTATGGGTTAATCTTTGAATGTGGTACAAGACTTATTCATCAACACTTTACACGTGATGTTCCAGATGATGACATTTTGGCTGCGTATGACGATGCTCTCAATCGTACGTCCGTCTAAAACCCCCTACAATCTCCTCACTTTCGGAATTATAAAGCTGTCCTTTGAAACAATTCGCACCACCTTGACGACATCAGTAAAGCAAGATGGGAGGAGAGAAGAAGACACGGTCGGTGGCGGTCATAGGCGCCGGGGCATCAGGTAATGAATTGAAAGCACCGAACCCCTCCCAGCACTTTTAATCCGTGGGCTGACCGGTATTCTTGGATAGGCACTACAACGGCCGCGGCGCTTCAAGCTGAGAACTACTTCACACGTATCCGAGTATTCGAGAGAAGAGAATCAGCCGGCGGCACATGGTAAGATTGCTCGCTTTGTCAATATCCTTTATCCTTCATGCTGAGTACCAACGATTCCCGACTAGGATTTACGATGAAAGCACAAAGCCACATCTACCGGTGAAGCCAGGGGATCTACCCGCGCAGAGCGATCCCCCGCTACAGATTCCCCAGGTCTTACCAGCTACAACGGCCCCGAACCACCAAAATAGATATCTGGAGACTCCTATTTATGCGGGTTTGACGTGAGTCGCGGAAATTCCAAATTGATGATGGTAAATTAAACATTTTCTCCAGAACCAACGTTCCGGCCATAGCCATGTCATTTTCAGACGCGCCTTTCGCCTATGGACCATTCGTACCACATTATGTTCCTCAACAATACTTGTCTAATTATTTCTCAACTCACAAGTTGGATTCCCTCCTCGAACTGAATACCACACTTGAGGACCTAACAGAAGTCAAGTCGGAGTCTAGAGAGAAGGACAATGGGTGGAAATTGACTCTCCGGAAGCGTGATTTGGTCCAGAATGTGGACATTTGGTGGGAGGAATATTTTGATGCTGTGGTATTGGCAAATGGCCACTACACAGTGCCATATGTGAGTGTCTTTTCGCGTGTGAATGGAATGTTACATCTGCAGAATGCTAACTAGCGAGATTTAGGTCCCTCACGTCAAGGGTCTGGATGAGTATATCAAGAAATTCCCTGGCCGTGTGATTCACTCAAAGTCATACCGTGTGCCCCATATTTGGAAGGGAAAGAAAGCAGTCGTCATCGGCAATTCGGCCTCGGGGAAAGACGTCTCGACCGAGCTGGTGAAATGGGTTAGCCTTCCGCTCTACCAGTCCAGGAGATCAAAGTCCAGATGGGACGGAAAAGAGCCACCCCCGGGGATTGAGTGGAAACCAATCATCACCGAGTATCTATCGGATGGAGGCATTGTCTTCAGCGATGGCACTATCCTCCGGGACATCGATGTGGTCGTCTACGCCACAGGATATAAACCGTCCTTTCCGTTCTGGAATCTAGAGAAGAATGGCCGCCCGCTTTATGATTATGAGCAGGGCAAGCTCATCGACAGCTATTGGCACACTTGGTTCCATCATTTCCCCACACTGGCAATTGTCGGTCTCCCTCGAGTTCTCACCTTCCGCAGCATGGAGTATCAGGCAATTGCTATTGCGCGGCTTCTGTCCGGGAGACAATGGAAATCTCTTCCTCCCATCAAGGAGCAGACACGGTGGGAAGCTGAAAGACTTGAGAAATCAAAAGCGAACCACACCAAATTCCATGACATTGTGTGGGATGAGGGGGAGACCCAAGAATACCTTGGTCTCTTCTTCCGTATTGCGGGCCTGGGTACACTTCTTGGAGAGGGACGAGTGCCTCCAGTCCTTAGTAAGGAAACCATATGGGCTATTGAGAATATTAGGAAATACCCAGAACCGGGTAAGGATGAGAATACAAAGGAAGGATTCGCTCGCGGCGAGGATGTACAATCTGAAGAACAAGATTGGGTTGTCGCCCACCGCCCAAACAGGGGTGCCCTATGGTTCATTTAGAATACATTTATAGAAATGTAGACGCCAAGACTGATCACTGCACTGGATGGTCAACGGAAATTGATGAGTATGTGCGATGATTTTGGAAGTCCTGATCTGACCTACATTCCTCGACGGTGACCTCGGCCTGGCCTATTGGCGGGTTGGTTGGCTGACCCTGACCTGACTTTGGCTGTTACAACAGCTTGGGTATTAGCTAGTAACGACGCTCTTCCGGCTTGTGAGCCAGAGTCCTCGATCCCGAGGAAAAGCCTCTGATTGCAAGTAATTTGGAAAGACGGATAACAAGCATGCAGCCCATCTTTCACCCTTCCACGGTTCTTCGATTATGCAATCAACCACCAAGTCTGGCCTCGGTGCCATGATTAATACGCCAGACGACGCGATCAGATACATAACTTATGCTGCAGAATACTTAATGACGCATAAATAACTGCATCTAAAAACGCCAAGAGAAAATGCTCCTAAAATAGGATAGCAAATCCTACAATTTGACGTAAATCTATGGATCTGTACCCGGTGAGGCTGAGTTTCCTGATGCCGTTTATCCGCGCGCACCTGGTCTGTTGAACACTTGGCAACATATCCACTTATAGTCTAATAAGAAAATGAGAAAGTGGTTACGGACTACCCATTTCACCCCTATTAAGGGGAAATTGACGAAAGACGTCCATGAGTTTTCACCTAGCGGTGACTAATAGGATACTCTTAAACCCTGCATGTGCTGCGGCCCTGACCTAGCTGTCTGCTGCGCAACGAGCGATTGCTGTAGACAAGACCTAAACGTCTGCTCCAACGATGAACAATCGAAACGGGCCAGGTCTGTTAGTGATGGGTTGTCATACTTGATTCGGCTGCTAATTTTAGGGGTAGGCAATTGCTGCTGCTATGGAACCGGCCTGGAAACAGTTGCTAGGATAGCTACTTAGAATTGGGCTGAGTTGCTTTGATCTGCAATTTGGGTGATTATTCCATTTGAATGTCACTCTCAAAACAGGCAGGGCGACGAAACAGAGACCAGCCAACCTGAATATCAACCCAAAGGAGGACATACGGGGACACAATGCACTTGCTTGAAGAACAAGGCCACAACAGGGAGCAATGCTTTCTAGTCTATCCCTAGTTAAATCAAGAAAGGTAGACTTAAGAGTCGGGTTTTACTTGAATTACAGGTTGTACTAGTCAAAAGGAAGAAAAAAGTGGCAAGTCCCAATTTCGGTGTTGTTCGAAGACCCTCTTTGACCCCAGTCCGGAGACTTGGACCCATTTTATTGCCGTCCGCCATGATTTCAATCTTCCCTATTTGGGCAGTTTCTGGCGGCAATGATCGGCATTCTAGTTCTTGCAAGCCCTTGATGACCGCGGGGTTGATTTGTCCCACCAGTGTCGTCATGGAAGCCGTTGGTTTTCTCTTTTTAGGCTATGTTCAGCGGTCTACCAAACAGTTGTACATTCTCATAGGTCAACAATCAAGATTGCTTCCAAGCCTCAACGGGGCCCATTCACTGTCCCACGGGAGACCTACGCGTGAAGCTGCGGCCACGCCATGGCTAACATAAGTATAAAGACAAGCTTGTCTCTCCTCTTCACCAGGAAAGCTGTTTCTTATCAAAACATTACGTTCGTACCATATCTTATATCTTCTTTCTCGTTTTTCTTTGTCCAACATGCATTTCAATATAGCACTTACTTCGGCCTTTGTTGTCACCGCGTCTGCCTCCATCATCGGCACAGACCATAACCCATTAATCGGTCCCTCCTTCCCAACCAACTTTGGTTATTCTACCTCGAAACACCTCGAAGATGCCAAAACCGAGTTCTCCAGCCGCCTTGAGCAGCTCTTCTCCTCTGGGAAGCTGAATCAGACTGACCTCGTGTTTGCTGTGGATGTCTTCTCTGCCAATACCAACAGTTCTATTTATAGCAACTTTCATGTTGGAGAAGGGCAAGAGAAGATATTGACAACAGGCGAGCTTAATTCCGATACAATTGGTCGATTAGGCAGCGTTTCCAAGCTCGTGACAGCCTATGGGCTCATTGCTGAGGCGGGAATTGAAGTCTTCAGCCACCCTGTCACCAAATACTTCCCGGAACTCCTCAGTAACTCGACTACCCCAAACCGAATCAACTGGGAGGAAATTACAGTCGGCGCACTTGCATCGCATCAAGCCGGTACTGGTGGCATAGGCGGTATGTTTATAATTTATCCGTGATACTTGCTCTTTTTATACTAACACCTCGATTGTAGACTATTTCCGCAAAGTTGAAAGCGGTCTCGAGATGACCGTTGATAGTAAGTCAACATGAACCTACCACACAAAGATGTAATGTTAATTCTTGTCCTCAAGCCTTTGTTGCCTTTCTCCGAGATGAGAAGCGCCCGACTATGTCAGCATATCGGAATGCCCTCTATTCAGACGCAGGATACTCTCTGCTCGGTCACCTGCTGGGGAGAATCACCGGGAAGAGTTACCCGGAAGCTATACAACAGGTTCTCTTTGATCGCCTCGGATTAAACAGTTCTACAGCATTTCCGCCAGCTCCTGGTCCTATTGTAAATGCCATGAATCGCACCCTAATCGACAACAACTCAAGCTTCAATATTGACAGCCCGATCACCGCATCGTACGTACTCCCTTTGATAGAAAACTTTTATTTGAGCTTCATTGACTGACTTGCTTAAAGGTCTGGAGGTGTATTTGGCTCCATTTCTGATCTTCGGAAAATTGGCCTCTCAATCTTAAACTCCGAAGTTCTCTCTCCTGCCACTACCCGAGCCTGGATGAAGCCCCTGAGCGCTACCGGCAGTCTGGTTGAACTTGTTGGCGCCCCCTGGGAAATCGCCCGTCTGACTATCCCAGCTACGATTGGCTCGAATCACACTCGGGTGTCCGATCTCTACACCAAGGCTGGCGGCAATGGCGACTATACCTGCATCCTAGCCCTCTCGCCTGACCATGGAATCGGCTACACCTTCCTCATCGCCGGCAGTACAGCCAGTACTGCGCGCTGGCCTCTGCGTCAAGCCCTTGGTGAGGTTTTCATCCCAGCTGCGGAGCGAGCGGCGGCCGAGAACGCGGAGAAGAACTATGCTGGAACGTTTGTGGATACGAGTTCCGGAAACACAACCACAAATATGACCATCACCTTTGACGCTGATGAGCCTGGACTGGGTGTCAAGAGCTTCTACCTTGAAGGGAATGACTCCCGCCATCTTCTCATGGGCGCGAGCAAGCCTTATCCTGCCACATATCGCATGTATCCTACTGGACCTAGCGAGACTTCCCAGTCACTGGCGGAGCTGTATAGAAGCGAGGGGACCATTCGCGTGTCGCAGCGTGTCGTTTTGTACCTCTCCCCACTGGAGCCCCGTGCGGCAGCATTGGGTGACGGAGGGCTATTTGAGAACCAGCTTGAATGGAATAACGTTGGCTTCAGGGGTGCCACAGATGAGCTTGTTTTCGAAATCACCGATGGGAAGCTCGCCAGCGTCACTGTTGTGGATGCTGAATTGTTCATCGGTAAGCCATTGGTTCTACACCGGCTGCAGTGAAGTAGCATAGGGGGCCGTGAAGGGATGACGGACGTGTTTGTGCGAGTTGTTTATGAGATAGATCGGCATCCTCGTTCATCTTTTCTGTTGTTGAACATTAGATAGACGTAATATTCTGTTTGCAAATAGTTGATTCTCAACTGCTTGCAAAAGAGAAGCTCCAACTGTAGTCCTAGACCATTAGCTGATTCTAGGTAGAGGATAGCTCTTTCTGGCGCTCTCTCTTTTATAAAATTATAGAGTTTTCTTACTATTTCTTCAATATTTCGTGTGGCTGTCCCCTTTACACTTATTGTTCCCTTATTGATTCAAATAGACTGAGCAACCTCCAGCTCATGTTGATGCCCTATAGGTGCGCTTTGGCCTGCGTCTCACACCAACTCCAAAAGGCTTCCGCGACTGATCCCCCCCCTTCTAATCCTCCTACGTATGCCGTCTCTATGTCGCTTCTTGGTCGAGAAAGCCGACCCCATGGCTTAATGTACGAACCGGTATGTTCCGGGGTGATGTCGCTCGACCAGCCGGCGTACAGCTCCGTATGAGCACCATGAATAACGTCATGCGCGAGAATCCACTGCCAAATTTATATGTAAGTTGGGAATCATGACTACCAGCGTGGATGAATCCTTACCGTTATGAATCGCTCGACCGGATGGAAATGACGAAGAAGGTTGGTCCTCAGATTCCCAGGGTTCCATGCCTATAGGAGCCAACTGGTTACTAGTCTTTCTGAATCCTAGGTCCAATCATGCTTACCACACTGACTATACCGTCTGTTTTGTATCTTCGCGCAAATTCAGACGAGATAAGGGCGTTGCCAGCCTTGGATTGACCATAATCAACCGTTCGTTTATCATGCACCTTAGGTGAACCATCGCTCCCCAACTCGACGCCAAATTTTGGAGCGGTCAAATCGGTGAACACAGATGACGCCCACGTCACTCTGACGGTGCCCTCGGGCTCAACCGCTGCCGTCGCCTGCAGGAGAGGAAGCAGCTGCATCGTAAACATAAGTGGTCCTATACAATTTGTCCCCATCTGCAACTCGTGGCCCTATATCAGGGTTAGTGAATGAAGGCGAAGGCAAACCAGAAACATAAGAGTGGAAGAAACCTGTTTGGTCTTGGAGCCAACCGGAGGCCTCATGACTCCCGCATTATTCGTCAAGACGTGCAGCCGATCCTCTTTCGACTTGAACAGATCTGCGGATACCTTGATACTACTCAAGTCGGCCAGGTCTAAAGGAAGGAATTCCAAGCGGCCGACTGAAGAGGGACAATCAGCTCGTAGTGCGAGAACCGCTTTCGCTCCCTTTTCCGGGTCTCTTCCAGCAATATAGACCGTTCCATTCTTACGAAAGAGAATTTTCGAGAGCTCGTATCCTACCCCGCTGTAACCACCAGTGACAATGAAGACCTGTAATTCGATTAGAACTTGCATGCAGACTCCTACGTGATTGGCAGCACTACCTTTCTGCTCTGGTCAGGCAGATTGGCCTCAGTCAGCGTGGCTTTCGGAATTCGGATAGACTGGTCAACCGCGGATGCGAACGCAGCGAAATTCATGGTGACTTCGCCAAGCCCCTTTTCAGTCGTGTTTCTGGCTGTTTAGAATGAAAGCGTATCTCGTCGCGAAATATGACCCTGCTGGGGGAGGAAACGGGGTTCAAAGGGAAAAACCGATCCCTCCCTCACCGATGAGTAATGTTACATCGGGGTAAGTGCACCCACCTCGGCCTCGCGTCGATCGCTTAATAATTTCAGCCAGGGTGGTAGGTCAGTTATATTATGACGTGCCTTGTTTTCAGCTCACGGGGTCAAGCTGAAAGGTAAAATTGCTGGGCGACATCGTGGTGGCTGCTGATTTGAAAGCTTGTGATATATTGTGGGGAAGAGCCATATCAAGTTAACTCGATTTCCTCCAGTATTTCTATATTAATGTTGAAGTATAGCATGGGAACATTCACAATGCCGTTCCTCAGCTTTAGCGTTCCTAAGAGTTAAGCAGAGTCGAGTTTCAATAACTGATTGTATTCCAGCTTACAATATTCTCCAACGGTCATACCACCTTCCCTCATTTATCTATTCGCTAAGGAGCTATTAGGTCCGTTCTATGATCCATATTCCATGGAAGATTGACAAAATGAAGACATGGAGAAGGCCAATTGTACAGACTTGCAAACTGGCGACAATTATTTAGTTCTTGATTACAGCTAGTCTCTTGCTCCTCATCGCTAGGGCCGCCAGGAGAACAAACCCAGTTGATGCAAGCGCTGTCCCTCCCGAATAGAGGATCGCAGGTCTGAACGGAACGATAGAGTTTGCATTTTCAGCACCCATGGCATCCATGAGAGCACCTGCAATCGGACTACCCACCAAAAGCCCAGGAAACCACCCAGTGAGTGCAATGCTGATAGCGCCGCCTCCTTTGAGATTATCTTCCGGCCAGAGCCTGCCAACGGCCGTGGGCATTGTAACGAAGAAGGCGCCGTTGGCAATGCCATTTATTACAGCAAAGACAATCAGAACGGCCAAGGTGTTAGAGACGGACCACACAGCGAAAAACGTGACGGCGTTAAGAGCCATGGTCAAGAAGAACATGTTCATGGTGCCCAGTTTATCGCAGGCCACGCCGGATATGATACGACCCACGGCCATGCAAGCATTGAAACAGGCGACGACGCCCGTGGTAGCCGCGTTGCCCAGTCCAATTGCATCGGCGACATAAGGGAGGAAGAACGGAGGCGTGTAGATGGCGAAGACCCCGAGAGCCCCCGAGATGAAAGAGAAGGTAAATGGTAATTGCTTGAAGATTGTCCAGTCCAGAGCGTAGCTTCGACTTGCAGAGGGTCGCTCCTTGATCAGAAAAACAACAGGAATGCCCGAGGCCAACGAAGCCAAGCCGAGAATGCGAAATGTCCAAGCGATGCCGACCTTCTCCGTCAGAAACCCCGTAGCAATGCTCATGACGGTGGCTCCAATGCCGCCCCCAAGTTTGATGATTCCATTAGCAGTTCCAAGCCTAGTGGTGAACCACTGAACTGGGAGCGTGTTGCACATGGCGTACATGAGGCCAGCACTGATTCCATACATCACTCCGCTGGTGAAGAAGAGAGCACCGACATTGGAAACCGCCTGAGCGCTGGCTATGCAGCCTAACCCATAGCATAGTATGCCCAGGAGGCTGGTGTATCGAGCGCCAATTATGCGGGCAAGCCATACGCAAGGGGTACCAAGCCCAGGACCCATCGCGATTCCAAGAGCCCCTACAAAGGACACTGTGCTCGAGGTTGAGTGTTGTAGCGTTTGCCTGAGTAGAGCGGCCTGGAGAATTCCCCAGCAGCCGGTCCATGCATTGATCCAAAAAGTGTGTACGAAGCAAGCAAATACGACGGCCCATCCGTACCCACCGTTTGGGACCTGATCTGGGTCTTGTGCAGGACTCGCGATCGGCGTCTCGTGGAGCTCTATCTGCTGGTTATGGTGCTCTTGGGCATTCTCAGCCCCAGCTGTCTCTGTCGATACCATCTTGGCTGTTGCAAAGGGAATGCCTCAAGTTCGAGAAAAGACGAATTTAAACAAAAAAAATAACGGAATCATATCATTTGATCAATTGACAGGTTGATCTTGAATAGTCGTATCTTCCGGTCAAGCAAAATCGAGAGGGCGACGAGCGGGGAAGGAGGTGCTTTGAAATCAAGGGCAACAAAGCACAGTACGTTAGATCGCTTTGTAGCCGATTTAGGCTGTGTACGACTCGCAATCGGGTTGTGTCCCGGTGTGCTGACTGGGTTCCGTCCTTCGCGCCGCGCATGATTGCCCTTTTGTGTCCAACTTAGAGTACATCGGTGATCAGTTCGCAACTAGCTCATGTAGGCATCTCTGAGCAGCCAGCTTGCGTAACCTCACAGGAGGAGAGAACCAAAGTTCCGTCATGGGGTGACATCCTAGTAGTTGGCATCCTTGGCAGCGAACCAACCATGTCAGCTCATATTTATCGCCTTGGCCGACTAAAATGATAAGGAATAGCCAACCGAGTTCTTGGCTTTTGCGGCTTACCTTCCCTAATTGAATATCTACGCTGTCCCTTGCCCATATCTATATATACGTAGAGCACACCGAAAGCATCCGTGAGAGCAAACAAAGAGTCTTGAACCAATTTGACGCGGGTGGTCGTTGAAGAGCGCATTTTTTTGACCGGCGCCAACATGTCGAATGTTGCGGGCTCGTGTCTGGATGTTTAGGGAAGAATTTTGAGTATTCAAGCTGAGACAGAATGCTTTTGATGGCTAGAAGTAGAACGACTTCTCTTATTGGAAAAAGCCACGCGACCTGATATTCATTAAGTGATTTCAGATTATGGAGAAATCACTAGGGTTAAGTGCAGGCATGTACAATACTTGCTTTAGGAAGCCAGTAGCCGTATATATCGAGTCCATGCAATCACGTTATTGATACAAGCTTCCATGGATCCATGTCTCAGCGCTTACCGCCATTTATCCTCTCTCTATGTATGCGATTTGACTTTCCGAGAGGGCCACGCTTGTGATGAAGCCAACGTGTTGTTGTAAATGACCGATTCCCAACCTTCAACTAAAGGAAGAGGAAGAGAAAGAGAAAATCTAGTGCCCAATGGGGATGCACTGGATAGAATTTATAGGGAGTGCTTCCTCAAATGTGATATGCTTAACCCTCAAGCGTAGAGAACACCTTCAGTTCCTCCTCAGTCCAGTTCCATAGCCTCGTCGCCAAATCTTCGTCAGTCGCTTCAGGTCGTCTTTTCCCTAGCAGGCCTAACGGGTCGTAGTATTCTCCGTTTGTCAACTCCTTTACCGTTGTTGCGGCCCAGACTTGATGTTTCGCCACAGTTTCCACAGGCTGGTAGAGAAGGAAACGATTGACAGTTGCATTCAGGATTCTTTCCATTAACCCAATGCCTGTTACACCCGCCTGTAGGTCAGTGTTGGCTGCTCCCGGGTGAACCGCGACGAAAGTGACCTCCGGATGTTCCTTGGCAAGCTGGCGGGCAAGCAGAATATTGGCTAATTTGCTTTGTGCATATCTTTGGAGGGTGGGTATTTGTTCTGCTGTAGTTTTCAGGTGTTGGAACTGAATCCCTCCTTCAGGCGCGTTCCAGTGACTATATGAGCTGAGCACAACCACACGGACTGTGTGGCCCTTACTGGCGGTCGTTTTGAGGATCGGGAGTAAAAGCTTCGTTAACAGGGCATGCCCTAAGTAGTTGACACCGAATTGAATTTCGAAGCCGTCCTCAGTTAGACCGGGTGCAATCCCCATCACCCCGGCATTCAACATGAGGATGTCAAGACGATTGATTTGACTGAGAAGAAGTTGCGCAGCGCTTTGTATAGATTTGAAGGAACCGAGGTCGAGGATTAGGGGCTTGATTGTCGCATCCGGAGCGTGCTTACGGATGTCTTTGCAGGTTTCCTCGGCTTCACTTCTTGTCCTTGAAGTAAACCAGATTTCAGAAGGCTTCTTCTGAGCCAAATAAATGAGAGATTGCTTCCCTAGCCCAGCACTACCGCCGGTAATCAGTATGACCTTTCCAACCAGAGAGGGAATGTCATTTTCGGGATAAAAAACGGCGGAATTGCTTCCAGTTATTGAGCCTAATCTAAACATGATGAACTATTGTCAAAAATAACGTACGATTTCGAGGAATTAAATGTCTTTTTACCAGATTATGAGGCTTACGGCCATTATTTATTTGGCGGCGCACACGCTTAGATCCAGTTTAAACCACGCAATGTTCGTTGCCTGCAAGTTGACGTAAGATTGGGTGCCTTGCCGATTAGTCTACGATTCTTCACTTTACTTGAACAAGAGACAACTTCTGATTCTCTAAGACTACATCGTAGCCAAATACTACAGAAGGTATAGTAATGAAATATATTTTCACCCATCTTCTGATATTTTCACTTCGAGGTCTGGGGGTTTTAGGTCTTAGCTGAATCTGCTACTAGCTAGCCACGATCTACAAGATTAATTACATCAAAGGCATCTACTTAAAATTGACTCTATCTGAGGAGTTCGCCCCTTGTGAGACAGATAAAGAATGGAAAGCTTGTGCTGGGCCTTATTTATACTGGTTTACCATTCCACCATTCCATGGTAGTACGGTCGTAGCTCCGTCTTGTGATATCAATGAGATTGTCGGCCTCCGATCCCGAAACTCCACCGAACATCACGTGTCTTAGTACCCTTCCGGAATCTCATTCCGCAGTTGAGAGACTTGAAACTCTACTCTTCCAATCATCCCGAGACACTGGATTGGACCACGTAGCAGTGATGGAGAATGAAGGCAGCACCCAGTCACCGCAATCTAACTCCATTCGATATAGAAAGAAGACCCTGAATGCGTGAGTCTTGGAGTGCATGGCCTGATAGGCTAATTCTGTCAACATGAAATTTCAGCTCGTTCTGATGCAAGGGCTTTTAGGTGTCTCGGCTGCCGGAATCGAAAGACGAGATGTTCCGGTAGAAACCCATGCGAAAGATGCATTGCTCGAAAAGAGTCCTGCATTTTTGAAGAAAAAGAAAAAAAGGCAGCTGTACCTGTAGAGTAAGGCTACCTAACCCTTGTCTTCCTGAGTCAACACATAGTTAAAGCATCTTTCGCTCACAATTAGTGAAGTTATATTGATGGTTTGCTTGACCGAATAAAATCTCTGGAATCCCAATTAGAGACTTCTCACGATCAAATTGCACCTGGTCCTGGCTCAAGTCATGATGGAGACCAACAGACGTCACAAAGGTCCACCGATAATCACGAGAACTTACGGGTCGATTTGGTTAGCCCCATTGTCTATGCAAAATACCGTGTTTTCCTAGCTTACACGACAGAAATAGAATAAGTCTCATGAGTACGATGACCTTACCAACTCTTTGGTAGCCTCAGAACCTCAAATTAAGGTGAAGCGCTACGGACAACCAAGTGAGCAAAATCTCGTCACGACTTTCTTAATCCCGCTAATCTTTTGGATAGCATATCTTGGTCACAGTTCGACCTTATCATTTAGTCGAAATGTCCGTAACCTTCTACAACGCTCTACTCCAGTGGCAGACCCGGGCAGCGTCTCAGTTGAGCGGGAAGATATCTCCTACAACACCACACTGCCAGCTATTAAATTAGACTTGACCAGCATCCCCCTTCCTCGTCTCCAATATGCGGAGTACTTGACTAGTACAGTGGTGGTGCAGCTCGGCTCACTGTACTGTCTCTTCGAACAAGATTCTTTTGTTAAAAACCTTAGACTATTCTACGAGGCACGATCAAAAAAGGTAACTCAGGCACCCAGCCTCTGGCACATCCAGATGCTTCTTGTGCTTGCCTTTGGCAAGTCTCTTCTGTCAAGAGAGCACTCAGACAGTGGCCCATCAGGAATGACGTATTTCAAATTGGCAATGGAGGCTTTTCCCGATGTTAGACAACTGTGTGAAAACCCGTTGCTGGCCATCGAGATCCTGTGTTTAGCATCCTTGTTCCTCCATGCGGCTGATATGCTGCAAGAATCATATATTCTTGTAAGATTCTTCTGGCCTGACGCGAGTCTATTATGCTGACTGGCCTTATCTAGATCGGTCAAGCTCTGAGGATATCTGTTACTCAAGGATTGAATCAAGCTTTCCCTGAGCCCCTTCGGCCCCCAAATGTCGAATACATGAGAAGATTATGGTGGTCGGTGTACTGCATTGATCGAAAAAGCGCGGCATTACTCGGAAGCCCTTCGGTCATGCGAGACGAAGACATAACTATTCCGGTGCCAAGTATTCAAGAGGGCCATGAGTCGCAGAATGTGGTTTCAATTCACGTCGCCCTCTCCTCCCATCTGGGCAAGATCTTAGACGGTATGTGCCGCAAACCACGCTTAAGATGAGAGACTAATTAAGCTAGTTATCTATGGAATGCGCGGACACAGTCGGGGCAAGTTTGTGGTCGAAGTGCAAGCCATCCTTTCACGACTTGCTGAGACCTCTTCGGTACTCAATGAACACTTGGACCTGGATACGGCACGATCAAATGAACCAATCTCAAGAGACGCGACCACGCTTCATCTTCTCTTGCATCAGGTATAGCATGTAACCTCAATCTCCAAAACCTAAAGCTAATTCCGAAAGTGCGTCATCCTCACCGTGAGGCCAGTCTTGTTCTCCCTTTTGAAACCGCTTCTCAGCCCAGAGAGCGCCTCACAGCCATCCGCGTTCTCCTTTGAGTCTCTGCTGAGAATGTGTGTGGAATCATCTATTCGTATCCTCCAAATTATGTTCACACTTCAGCAGCAATCGATGTGTGGTGAGAAAGAGCCCTAATTTGGAATCGGCGTTTTGCTAATCGTTTCTTAAAGATATATTTCTGCCTTATGATATCGACGCACTTTTCTCAGCCAGCTTCGCCCTGTTGCTGATTGATATCATCAGACCAGCCAAGGAGCTACTGTGGGACCTTCCCAAGGTCATTAATCTCTTGGATTCTTTCATTGAGCGACAAGTAGCCCCCGCGAAGACTTATAAAATTGATCTCTTACAGCTCATTGAGCTTAATAAGAAGATCCATGGTGCTAGGAGCATGGTAGAGCAAGGCCATACGAGTACTGCCGATTCCATCGACCATGCTGGACATGGAGGCGGCTACGTGCCTCAAGCTATCATGACAGACGCATCGCCTGATCCGATTTGGTCGCGGGTCCGAGATGGGGAGAAAAGTCTCATCCCAATGCACCCAGACACTATCAATTCTGTGATTGAGGATCTCAATTTTGAGGGAGTGGAGTTGCTTGATGCTACGATGCCAGATGACAGTTGGATGTGGAACTTCAATGACTTGTCTGATCCGTCTTAGTCCTTTCCTGAACAATTGAGTTCGCCAACACTGAATATTCTGACATCAGTTGCCGTTTATACTTGAGCTCGACTGCCCGAAATCCTAATCATACGTCTTAGCTGATGTAAGGTAGTCAAGGTGCCGTATTGTCACTGGAAACCTCAAAACAAGACACAATCCGTGTCTTTTGATGCAGATCCACTGGTTATCTATACTCTACCCTCACAGGAAGTCATATCTGCCTAGAGCTGTAGAATAGCCTAAGTATATAGGATTGGGGAGTATGTACGGGTATGTACGAGTCTGTGATTGAAGCGTTTGTAGGCATTAGAAGAGTATACTGAGTACATGGATTGACAATGGACACAAGCTAGCGAACAGCTGCGACTCAAAGCTTCAATTCTTAAAGCAGCAAATAGTCTAGTTGATGACCTAATTACGACAGAAATTGGTTCGTTATTCAAATGCCATTGAATGAACTATTTCATCACTAGCTGTGAAAGTGTATAACCTTGAGCTCGTTTAGTCCAGGAACTCCCGAGACCAATGCCATCTTGGTTCGACCATATTCAGCAATAACTTAGTTTGGAAGAGGCTGACGAACGGCCGCCACATACTATGGTCACTTCCATTAGTATCAGTTCCCTTTCGATACAGGAGGCCACGCACCGGAATAATTTGGGACTTTTCGAGATCCCATACGCCACTTGTAGCGTAGATGTCGTTCTCGATGATTTTACGAACTTCAGCCTCGTTCTGGGCAGCGTACACCACTACGCTACCTTTAAAAAGGGCTGGTTCTCCCTCCACAGGATGCTTTTCAAAGATGGCTCCTACTATAGTGTCAAAAAATACCACACATTTCAGGATCAGGATGTTTCAGCTCTGCTCGTACCACCAGCTGGCAATTTACCAGATGCAATGAGTGGCTTGATGCCCTCGTAATGACCTCTTTTATCTTATTAGTTTTTGATAGTGCGCTCATGGGATGATCTACTCACGCTTTCACGCTCTTCCGAAGCTCTAACACCCCTGGCTTGTCGGGCAAGATACAAAGGAACTCCTTCTTTTGGGTCGCGGTAGCCATCGAGCGGTAGCCAGAGGGAATAACACGAGTTCTGAAGCTTATGTTGCGGAGGGGTGTGCTAGCCCTCAGACGAACGACGGAAGAATTCATTATGGCGATACTGAAAAATGGTTTGGGATACGGGTGGATGAATGGAAGTCTTCTTAATGGGTCTCAGCCATTGGCGCCCTTTTATGCATCTTCTGATGGTGAATTATCCATTGACTTACCCCCATTATCGAATAAGACCAGGGCCTGATGGAGTGTGTGGTTGAAGGGGTGGAGTTCGCGGAGGGCGGGATCTGATTCCGGAAGATCGCCTTCCCCGGGATCTCATTCCTGACACCCGTCCTCGCTTTCGGGGTCATCATCCACTGTGTTACCATATAAGACACTGAATTATCTGTAGGCGAACTGAGTATTAATTTCAAACATAAGGCATTTTGACATATTACGGAGGACCAGAAAGTAAAATTTCGATTTTGCCGCCCAGAAGCTCAGACATGGCTCCCTCATTCATTCGCGTTGCCCCCTTGGCCCGAAGGTCCCTGCAGTCTATTCGTGTGACAGCTTCGCCCAGCTTCACTAAAAGTTGTCTCTTGTACAACGGAATGGATTCTCGTTCATTTTCAACTACTCTTCCCGGTCGTGCTAGCATGGCGCCGGTGTTCTCCCCAGACGGAGTCAAGCGTGCGCAATCCCCTTTCCAAATTGAATACATACTCGTGACTCACTCAATCCACAGCCATCGGTCCTTATTCACAGGCCATCAAGGCCAACGGACTCGTCTTTGTCTCGGGCCAGATTCCCGCTGAGACCACTGGAGCTCTCATCGAGGGGACTGTGGCTGAGAAGACACATAAGATGTGCCAGAACGCGCGGGCGGTTTTAGAAGCAGCGGGTTCTAGCCTTGAAAAAGTCGTTAAAATAACAGTGAGTTACCAAAAGCCATCAGAACCCAATTTCTCAACTAACATCGGCTGAGGTCTTCTTCCAAAATATGGATGACTTCAAGGAAATGAACGAAGTTTACGCTACGTACTTTCCTCACAAGCCAGCAAGGAGTTCATGCGAAGCTGTGAGGCTGCCTGCTGGAGCGAGCATTGAGATGGATATCATTGCATTAGAGTAGAGACAAATAATCTCGAATAGGATAAACATTAAAAATGACTTTCTACTTCTACTTTAAACAGTTCTAAATGTCACCCGTTGAGCTGCTTCAGTAACTACATACATCCCGGTAATTTGCATAAGAATGGATATAGAAGAGAAGATACATTAAACTCTCTGCATTGGGGAGGTCGTTCATTGTGCTAAGATGTCGGGTCTGGCATCTTCTACTATTGTTCTCAACTTTGCAGTCGAACTCTCCCTTATCGGAGGGGTCATGCCTCATATGGCCGAGCTGACGCCACGGATCCAAGTTCCACTCATGCCGCTTAATCCTTATAAACTATATGCACCGGCTAATCTTTGTGATAGGAAACGTCCTCCGGGCTGGGAACCGGTTCCGGACCGGGTCTATTTACCATTGATGATACAAATCCGTCTAGACTTGGTCACGCCCAAGCAAATGGCGGAATTGCATGCCGAACTGAACCTTTTCTTGGTTGGTCGGTATTGTGTTGACCAATGTGAATCCGTGGCAATACATGCTTTCTATAACTAGCCTCGGACCGGGTTATGATACCATCGTGGCATGTTTTGAAGCTGTATAGCGGAATGATATGGATGTTGCTTACAGTTTGTCTTTTTTAACTTCTTAGAACAATTTAGCCATACCTTTTGTTGGGATATTGATCATGACTCTCCGAAATATTGCAGCCCGGTCCATTGAGCTGCCCAACCGAGTCGCAAACAGCACTGCGGGCAAGGCACGAAATGGATTGCAGGCAAAGGGTTCAAGCTTGTCCCGAATACGCACCACAGATTTGGTAAGGTCTCTCGTCTTGACGTCCATGATGTCCAAAACATGGTTGATGAAGCCATGCCTGGCATTCTTGGATGCCGTAACAAGATCAAAATCGGCAATTATCAACGCGGACAGAAACCCCTTCCTTAACAGAGTGCTGCGTTGGACCATTTACAATCAATTCTGTGCTGGTTCCAACAGCACAGAGGTCTCTCGCTCAATGGGTGAACTTAGGCAACTTGGCTATAAAGGTGTCATCTTGGGATTCGCCAAGGAGATTGTACTTGATCCTAGTCAAGGCGCCCATGTTGCGGAGGATACCAAGTACGCGCCGGCGTGCTATCGCATGATTGATGAGTGGAAGGATGCCAATCTTGATACCATCCGCATGCTCTCACCAGGGGACTTCTTGTCTGTGAAGTAAGTTGGCATAAATTGACCCTTTCACGATATAAACGCTAAGTTACTTTACCTAGACTCACTGGCGCAGGCCCGATTTGCATTGCCGCAATGCAAGCTCGAGAGCCTATGCCGGCTGTCATCTCAGACGCACTTGACGAAATTTGCGTGGAGACAAGAAAGGCTGGCGCCCGGCTTTGGATAGATGCTGAGCAGCAGATACTTCAAATCGGGTTGGATGATTGGGTTATTGAGCTGATGAAGCGACACAACCAGAAGGGAGAGCCCCTTGTATACAACACCATCCAGGCATACCTCAAGGGAGCAAGAGAAAATGCCCGACGTCACATTCTCCAAGCTGCACGAGAAGGATGGGGGTTGGGTGTCAAACTTGTCCGAGGCGCCTACATCGAAAATGAGGTCCGGTCATTGATTCATGATACCAAGAATGACTCAGACCAATCCTACGATGATATAGCCGACATGTTTATATCACGCAAAGTGCCTCAGACTGACGGTCAGGAAGAACTGTCCTTCCCCACCACTGCCTTGATGTTAGCAACCCATAATGCCGCGAGCGCGTCCAAGGCTATGGCAACACACCGCGATAGGGCTGCTCAAGGATTGCCTCTTACAAAGCTGGAGTGTGGTCAGATCAAGGGCATGGCTGATGAGCTTAGCTGCTCCCTCATCGAAGACTGCGAGGGAACTTTCACAACCGACGATAAAACAAGGACAGAGGCACCTGGAGTCTTTAAGTATGTAGCATGGGGATCTGTCTCGGAATGTATGGGCTATCTTTATCGCCGAGCAGTAGAAAACCGCGGGGCTGTTGAACGAACGCAACATATGGTTGATGCATTAGCAAAGGAGCTTCGCCGTCGTGTCTTCGGATAATTCAATTTCCTCATTGCACTTTATAGAGCAAAGCTTTTACTTGTTTACTTGTGAGGAGTTACCAACTCGTCCTAAGCTTAACATCAAATATGATCCATTGCTTCCTTGACCATGATTTCAGCTTTTTTTACAGGGTACCACGACTGACGAACCTCGAGTCAGCTACTCGTGTTTTTTTGCTATCTAAAGATGTTCTGGGTTTAGACAAGTTAGAGTAGTAACCTAACATCCAATGTCTTCATATATTATATTAAAAAAAGGTTCCAACTCACGATTCAGCCTTGAGGCTGTTCGCGCAAAATAAAACGTACATTTCGGGCTAAAGTCCTTAGATTGATTGAAATTAACAATTATGTCTAAATGTCCTATGCTTTGTCCTTCTCGGATGACTGCCGGGGTTCTGTCTTTGGTCTCATCTTCTGCAAGTACTCTGTCCCGCGTAGAAGGGCGTCTGTAAATGTCACTCTCGCATTTTCCCGCTCTACAGAAAGCAGAGTTTGAATGGTAACTCCACGGGGAGAGGAAATGCTCTCCCTGAGCATTGCCGGATGACCACCATGTTGCAGCAGTGCGCCTAAGCCAGCGATGCCTTGCGACATCAACTCCAAAGCATCCCGCCGAGGCAGGCCCTCGATGACTGACCCATCTAGGAGCCCATCTAATGGAACGGTCAAGGTAGCCAGGCATGCAGTTACCAACACTGAGCCTACATCCATCAAATCAGGCTCCAAGATTTTCACACTGCCGACAAAGTTGAAGATGGAGGTGACCAGCTGCTCATGATGCTGAGGAAGTGGTTGTGACGATCTTTCAATCAGTGTCATGGACTGACGATAACGAGCAGCGATAGTTGGAATGGCCTTCACGATATGTGTTGCTGCACTGGCGGATTCCTTGGCCGCAGGCAAGATCAACTCATGAACCTCGTCTACTGAAACTCCCGCCATCAGACTAATGACCAGCTTCCCAGCAAGAGCTTCGCCAATCCCTGGCTTGCTCAAAATTCCTTTTGCAAGGTACGGCTTTACTCCCAGTATAATTACATCAGCTTCTGCAAGAGCGTTCTCGTTCTGCCTGTGTAGAACTTGAACCTGGCTCGCATGGTGACCGAGCTTCTCAACAAGCGCAGTCGCGGAGTTTTCGGTTTTGGTGCATGCGGTGAAGTTCCAGGCCCGACCATCACCGCTCTTGGTTTCATCCAAAGCGTCTAGCAGTCCCAATAAAACCGCTGACCCCATGTTCCCTATATACACCAGTTAGTTGCGTAATGATCATACTGGTGTTTCAACTCACCGCAGCCTAGAAAGGCAACTTTGTATGGTGATGAACTCATGATAGAAACCAAAAAGCCAGGCGTTAACTCAGAGGTTTGTTCCCAGTGAGATTGCTTGCGTCGGTATCTTTGCTCTAACAATTTGTGACAGGTCGTTTGACAAAGGCCCTCCGACGGAGATGACTTGATGGGCACACTAGGGGTGACCAGGCGGGATGTCGTTCCGAAGGCGTACACTAGCAATGATGTCGAAGTCCTGCGGAGCGACGGAATGCGAATCCGCGCCGGATTATCCCATTCTTGACTGCATTTGAACTTTCGAGATTATTGGCTGTATGTAATGAGCTCTGATCTTGGCGGGGATATCGGTAGGAGTACGGGAACTTGATCCGAATGCTGGTGCCGCAAATACCAATGACACCCTCTTAAAGGTATCGCAATTCAGTTATGATTTGATCCATTCGGTTGAAGAAAAGAAGAAATATCTTGATTAAGCTTGATATTTCTGTAGTGGTCTTGCAAAGCTCTTGTTCTCATCATGCTCCAATTATCTCGAGCATCCCGTCAGGTTCCTGCGACCGCTCGTTACAAGACGGCCAGGGCGAGCATCGGACGAAGATGCTTGACACTACTGCATCCCCCAAAGTTCGAGAACGAAAAATTCGTATGTTATAACATTATCCCTCTATTCTTGAAAGGCTCTAATCCTCTTCACATCATGACAGCTTGACTACGCAAAGGGTTCGCCGGAGCGAGCTTCCCTCCAAGATGCTCTCTCAAGACTTAAGAGCCAGATGCCAGTTCAGGTTCCCATAACTGTCAATGGCCAAAACGTAAGATTACTAGTACGTGTTGCTACATGAATGCTCACATCTCAATCAGGTACAATCGAACGAGTTCCGCTCTCAATTGAACCCATCCAAACACAGCGAGTCTGTTGCCGATTATGCATGTGCAACCCCTCAGCAGGTCAACGCAGCCATTGATGCAGCCTTGAAGGCGAAGCCTGCTTGGGAAGCTCTCGCATTTGAAGACCGTGCTGCGATATTCCTCAGAGCTTCCGAGCTTATTGCTGGAAAATACCGGTCAGACATCGTAGCCTCAACTATGCTCGGCCAAGGCAAGAACATTTGGCAAGCGGAGATTGAGGCCCCGAGTGAGACCGTCGACTTCTTCCGTTACTATGTCCAAGAAGCGTGGAAGCTCTATTCTCAACAACCCACAGAGCACCCGAATGGTAATTGGAACAAGATGGAGTACCGTCCCCTAGAGGGCTTTGTTTACTCGATCGCGCCGTTCAATTTCACTGCTCTCGGTGCAACATTGGTCGGGCCTGCAGCGCTTCTTGGTAACGTTGTCATCTGGAAGCCTTCTGATTACGCGCTTCATTCAGCCTACTTGATACACCAAATTCTGTTGGAAGCAGGCTTGCCCAAAGATGTTGTGCAGTTCCTGCCCGGAGATGCGGAGGAGATCACCAACACAGTATTGAAACGCCCAGAGTTCGCTGCCATTAGCTTCATCGGCTCAACACAAGTGTTCAAGGGCATCCAAAAGAAGATTGGCGATGGTGTGGGAGAGGGCAGATATAACTCATACCCCCGAGTTGTCGGAGAGACTGGTGGAAAGAACTGGGGTGTCGTCCATAACTCCGCCGACATCAAAAGCGCAGCTTTGCACAGCATCCGGGGTGCTTTTGAGTACCAAGGGCAGAAGTGCTCAGCTTGTTCCCGGATGTACGTTGCTGAGTCCGTCTGGCCGGAATTCAAGAAACATCTCCAAGAGGAGTTGCCAAAGCTCAAAGTCGGAAACGTCGAGCAATTTGACAACTTCATCACACCTGTTATTCACGAGCGGTCATTCGACAAGCTGAACAAGGTGATTGAGGACGCAAAGACGGACTCGGAGCTCGAGCTTGTTGCAGGAGGCGAGGCTTCAAAGGAGCACGGGTACTTCGTTAAGCCGACGGTTTACAGAACAACAAATCCCAAGCACGACATCATGTCTCGGGAGCTTTTCGGGCCTGTGTTGGGTATTTACGTCTACCCCGATGCTGAATGGGAGAAGACTCTTGAACTAGTTGATACGACCTCGCGATACGGTCTGACCGGCAGCATTTTTGCCACGGATCCGTACGCATCTCGACAGGCGCAGACCAAACTTAAACACGCCGCCGGAATGCTTTACATTAACACCAAGTGCACGGGATCTGTTGTTGCGCAACAACCATTTGGTGGAAGCAGAGACTCGGGCACGAATGACAAGACGGGGACAATGGCGCACCTCCAGCGTTTCACAAGTGTCCGATCAATCAAAGAGGAATACAATCCTCTAGATAGTATTCAGTATCCCTCTAACGAGGTCTGATACGCAGCCAGAGCTGCTAGACAACTAAATTGTTTCAATAAGAGACCCTGGGATGAAATGAGAAGTGACCATTAGTATAGGACTAAGCAGCAAGGACTCCCCGTACCTAGATTAGGTATCGATCACGTACCTGAGGGAGCTGTACAACTGCTCAAAAAAAGGGGAAATTCCCAAACACCAGTAATTTGATAACTTGACACTATATCCAGGTATTACAATTCATTAAACTTCAGCCTTGTGCCCGGCTACAAGCCCTGTACCCGGCCGTATCTAAGGTTTAATACCAAAATAGCTGTGCCCGTATTATGTAGAAGGTTCACTAATACCAAAGTTTGTGCCCGGCAGTGACTCTTTTGTCGGCATGACTCCTTTTGCGAACCTTAAGATGCTATTTTTCGTCTATTTAGAGGCTGCTGTTGCTGGCCTAGTCCTGAATGAACCGCCCAAGAGCTTAGTATAGAACAGGCTATTAAGCTGTTCAAGCTAGGCAGTGTTATCCTAGGCAGAAATAACTCCTTTGAAGAGGAGTTTTTCGCAACGGAGAGCCCTTTGGAGGATACGTACAGCCCTTAGTTGAGAGAGACAGTGGGCTTGTATTTGGCTGGCCTAGCTATCTATCCCTCTTCCTTCTTTCCTTCCTTCCTTCCTTCCTTCCTCCTCTCCTCCTCTCCTCCTCTCCTCTCCAGTTGTGTGTAAGCAACCTCAGCAGCTGTCTTCACGAAGCTGATTTCTCAGCCTTCCAGCAACTAGAGGCAGCGGTGGTTGTGATCGCCTCTCTGCAACGAATTGCATTTTTGAGGTCAGATAAGTCAACCAAGGGCTGTACTTATCCTCTAAAGGGCTCTCCGTTGCAAAATGCTCCTCTTCTAAGGAGTCATTTCGGCCTAGGATATCACTGCCTAGCTTGAACAACTTAATAGCCTGTTCTATACTAAAGGTATCTATCACAGTTGCGCATTGCTCCAACCCAAAGGTAATATTTGTGCAGACAATTCATCCGAAACATCACATGAGTCACTCATTGGGTTTTGTCCGTGAAAATCCCCAATGTCTCGCTTGCTTACCACCTTTACGAGTTGCCTTCTTTAGGATTGCTTACCATCAGCCTGCCGCTATCTCGTGTTGCTAATCACTAGTGCAGTCTCCCTACATCATTCAAATGCAGAACTGCGGGGTACCAAGTGGTGATCGATTTTGAACGGGCATCATGAGATTCGAAGCATTTGCCTCCCACTCTTCACACTCAACCTGTTTCACAGTCAACGAGTTCATCTCCAAAGTTCGCAATGGTATCGATCTTATCCGTCCCACCTGAAGTTATAATCAATATCCTCAAACTTCTCAACCCTTTCGAGATCGAGGCCGTCGCCAGGACACTGAATTCTCATCTTTACCACCATGCCATGCACTTGATAGCACCCTGCCATGGATGGGTTAAGAATGCGCGGGCTATGTGCAAGCTATTCCCTCCATCTGGAAAGCGCAGGCTGTTCCCTTCATACCCCGGGCACATTCCCGTCCTTGGTGAATGCGAACTAGATGGCGATGAGACACCGGCTAGCATATATGAAGACTACGGTTTGGACCCAAGCGGAGGTCCTTTTTTTCGAAGCTCGCCTCCCGATCTGCGCAGCTGGATGAAGCTCGATGGAAGCTTTGATTGGCTTGAACCACTTGATGGGAAGATCCCAGAGCAAAGCTTGAGGCACCACGAACTCAGGGACAGTCGCCGTCACCGGGCGGCTCCCAAGAGCCAAGTTGATAAGCTCAAAGCCAAGGTGAAAAAACTTGGCCTTGCTCTGCCTGTCGGCTTCGAGACGTTCTTCATCAGTGATCGGTTGCACTACCACATCCCGAGCATGCGATCATGGTATTTCTCTCTGGGAAACCTAGTGCACTGCCCTTCGTCAATGGACGATGGTGCAGGAGGGTATATTTTGCGCTTTCACTGTGACCAACAGTGGTGTGCGTTTGCTTACCTGTATCTCAACCCATCTGGACACCACTGTGTTTGGTACACTGGTCTCGATTTGTATGCGGAAATGGGCGTTAACGAGGGGGTCATGGATTATCACGATAGAAGCGAGCAGAACAACGATGACGTCGAGCTTAAGGAGGAGAACGGGCAGAGCGAGAATGGCGATAGCGACAGTGAGAAAGACGGTGGCGAGGAAGAGGGCGATGACGATGATCCCAACGTCTTGCCACAAATATCCAAGAAGAAGATCGATTTGGTCGCGCTGACCTTCGAAGAGTACATGGCAATGGTGTACTTTGAGGAGCTGCTGGCAGCCGGATCTATCCCTTTCAAAGGGCTGTGTGATTACGTCCAGCATGTCTATCTCTCGCCCACCAAGATAGAGCATATGAAAAAATCATGTACGTCGAAGATAACCCGATATCACTGAGATTGGAGGTGTTCTCAAAGACTAACTTCTACAGGCCCAGCTGTCAATTCGTTCCTCAGGGCCATCCGCTGGGGGAGCAAGACGCGCCGCAAGAGGGTAAAGTCCCCGGATCTCTGGCCGTAGGTGCGAAGAACTACCTGGTCGTATTGCATGTCCCTCATTGTAACTACTAGATGATGGGAGCCCTAGAAAGATCTAGCGCAAACTTCGAAAGGATGGGCAAGGAATAGGTATAGGCAAGAATCATTCTAGGCAATACTAGCCTTGTTCGTTCCATTCTATCACATCAGTGTCAGCGAACCGTCGTCATTTGTAACACGTATTTCTTGATACTCTAGGCTCTTCAAAGGATGGGTTTTGTCATGCCCAAGAGCCCACCTGACTAGTGTCGTACCTCGGCACGCAGAAACTTATTCATCGACTTCCAAGTAAACTCAATGGCACTTCCATTTCTAATAGAAGCATTTGGGACGTAGCTAGCATCGAGATTCGCGAGACGACTTGGCCCTGCGGGAGGGGCTAAGAGACAATGATGCAAGCTATAAATACATTCGACGTAGGACATGTATGTTGATTAAGGGAAACCAAACCTGCAGAGCGACGGAGCTGTTGCGCGGCGTCAGCATAACTAGTGTCGTTTGGTCCATATCGCCCCTCGATGATCTCTACCGCGGTCGATACCAATACCCTGCCAATGACCGAACCGCGAGTTGACTTCAATGCCGTGGCTGACTAGCTTGTCCTTGGGGGCCCAAACGCCGAATGTATCGTTACCAGAATACGAATTCCGTTCCGTAAAGCAAACGAGGTCGAGGTCCTGCTACCTGGCTTTGGCAACTTGCTCTTCTGGGGTTAGCCTGCCATCAGACCAGATGCTCTGGGCATGGGAGTCACCGCGAAATCAGACCTGCCGCTGGTAGCATCGACGCGAGTTTGACGACACTCGGCGAGGCCGAGATCAGTCGATTCGGGGGGAAAGCAGTTGAGAACATGTCGGCGAGAGGCTCGTAACCGAAGGTGATCGCGATGGTGTGGTCGAAGCGTTCGTTAAGCGTAGCAGCACGAGGACCAAGCACGATGTTCCAGGTTTCGGGATCGATGGGGCCTGCTAGATATTCGTGTCATTTGGTTGAGAACGATCTTGTTCAGTAAAGCGAGGAAAGGGCGACGGTGGTCAGAGGTTTACCCCTATGAGAATAGGGCGAATCCGCATGAGCTGGCCATCTCTCTCGCCAGTACCACTGCACCAGTTGTGAAGGAATTGAGAACATGAGGCCGAAAATGTCATGGTCTGGTGCCGTGATGCCAAATAAGCGTTGCATTACTCATCGGCCGTTGTGGTGTTGATTCGTGGCTGACTTGCTTGATAGAATCTAGAACACTTGGTGAGTGTTACGGCGCAGAGAATGCCTGCTCATCAACAGATCAGCTATTACTCACTTAAAGGGTAACTTCTAGTGAGAGACTGCAAAGATTACGAAAAATCTCAAATTCCTAAAGCTGAAGCCAAACTGAGTACGGATGTCGAGGGTGAAGACCTATGATAGAGTCGTCGTGCCAATATTGGAGCTTAACTAAAACCTCGTTATGATCGAGTAGGAGAGTGGTTTGGCCGCACCACAATGATCGAACCGTTCAGAGGTAGTCAATTGCTGCATAGCGCCTTCAAGTTGCCTAGCCCGGAACTACTCAAGTAAGCGGCATGAAAACACGAACCTGGATACCGTAAAGCATCGTCGGCAGCGCTTCGCTTCCAGCCCTATTCGTGTTCAAGTAGGAGAGTTCAAGAAGCTTGATTCACACAGGAGAAAACAACTATAAAAGACGCCAGGTCTGCCATGTCAACACAATGAATGCGAATGGGAAAGAATAAGCTCTGCTAGCCCAAGGCTACAGCCATGAAGAAGTAAAACTCTGCGAAACTCCATGCCGATGACTCACTTACCGTCGGGAGCACTGTTCCTGTCCATCGTACCAATAGCACTCGCACCACGAGTAAGCCAGACATCACATGCCAGACATCACATGATGTCGCTCACTGGTCGATTATCCTCAAGCTCAAGGCCGTCTTTCATACGTTTCCTCCTATCATCAAGCCATGCCTTCCACAATTTATATCTTTGCTCCCGCTCCGTGATCAATTCTGGCGTAACTCCAAAATATCCGACATCCAGGTGAGTCGCCCGTGCGTCAATGTCAAATACTCGAAATGGCTTCCCGTTCACAAGGAACTCAATACTCTCCTGTATGTTCTCGAGAAGTTGAGCCCCGTGGTTCATGGTGTGGTAATTCAGCCCCAGGAGGATACTGAGGAAGTTGCACATGAACTTGACCAGCCGCTCCTCCAGTGCGAAGGCGCTGTTGTCGTGGTTAGCGAAGTACCCAAGCCTGCTGTGCACTTTCTGGTAGTCTCTGTTATTGATGATGAGACTCTTGTGCTCCACACCATCTGTTGGGGCCTGACAGTCGACGACGATCTTCTTGTAGACGTAGTGGCCGACCGATTCTTCTCGAGAGGAGCCTACGTAGCCCGGCCCAGCGCTGAAAAGCTCTACCAACAAGTCGAAGAATGACCAGACCCCGAGTGGCGGCCCGCCGTCTCCAGCACTAAAATCCAGAGAGTTCTTGTAGCGAGGCTCGAGCTCAGCCTCAGGTTCGAAGGGCCGAAAGGTGGCGTAGACGCAGTCAATGTACTGGGTACGGGGAAGTTGGGGGATAGACCAAGTAGTCCAAAGTCCGCGATCCTTGAAATACATGATGTCGACATAGTAGATGGCCGGCGCATGTTTGAGAATGCGTTTCACTTCGAGATTGATCTGCTTATTGACGAGAAGCAGGGGCAACGCGGTGCTGGTTTGCTTTGGGAGCTGCCATATTCCACGATAGTTGTGTACGCGCTCACGCTGGCCCTCCGAAGCATTCGCTGGCGGTGTAACCGGCGACAAGACGGCCAGAGTCAGGATCTCTTGACGAAGTTCCTGAGGGAAGTCGAGGAACTTCATCTCGCGATGCTGAGACCGTTCGAATCGAGTATTGCTGGCGTCTGAGTCAAGCAGCCCTCTGGCAATGGATCTGTTCAGATGAGGTGAATGATGCAAGGCCCGAATGATCCGATCATAGGCAGGCCCTCAGGTCTTATATGTCAGCCCACAGCGTCTGCCTGGCACCCCACTGTGCCGATCTTTGAAGGTTTCTAGCCAGCCAGGCATCACCTTTTCGCCGTCCGGTCGAGCATCGGGGTTTGACTGTGGAGATCATGATAGTGCAAGAGGACCTTAGGCCCCTAAGATGCAAGGCTTTTGCCATCTTCCTTGCGCTGGGAAGACAGAGGTGGCGTCTTTGTCGAGGAGGCACTGTTATCAATCTTGGTGTCAGCATGAGTGTCACGTTTGCTATGGGGCAGCTGACAAATTCAAAGGGGTGCCAGTAGGCCTGCTTGGATGCAGACATACGCGAACAATGTAGAGAAGGGGAAACAAGCATCATCCGCGTCGCTTACCTTCCATCCTCATACAGGAGTGCAGCTGAGGCTGTCAGAGGCCATGGCGTCGCACTATTGATGGCTGCGTAGCTTATGTCTCTGGCTTTCAATATCAAGGCTCCCTCAGCCCCAATATTGGTGTTTAGTATCTCGGCATGGCGCGTAAGATAGTCACGGTGGATGTCGTCGACGACGATCGCCTTTGTATTCATGGCAGACGGAAGGCAGAGGTCAGGATGTTCGAGAGAGAGATGAGTTATTGTGTAGGTGAATTCTAGAACAGTCCTCTCGCTATGGATCGTCGGAGGCCGCCCTGAAGACCGCATGTCAGGCACTGAGAGACCGGTCTAGTGCTTGGGCCAGGGGCGGACAGCGTCTTTTCGGTGGGGCTGCTGCAGCAAAACGGCCTGGACTGATCTCGGCTCGCTGTTAGTCTGCCAGTAGCGCCGCTCAGCTCGCAGCCAAAGAGAGGACCGAGGCCATGGCACAATGGAATAAAGCAAGAGCTAATCTCAGTTGATATGGTTATTTCCTCTCATCCTTGATGCGCAGTACACAGAACCTAGGCAGCATGAATCTGTTGAATATCTTCATCGCCCTGGTGGCTGTCGGCACTAGAGCGGCGGCAACTGATCTCACTGCAACATGTGGTGATGCCCCTCGGCACTGCACCGCCCTCAACAGCCGTGATGGCTTTGAATGCCGCAGACAAATTTGTAAGCCTTTCTGCCCCATCGCCTTCTACCTGACACACGGTGTTTTGAATTAAGTCACGTGCTAATATGGCAAACTATCCAGCTCAGCGAAAGTTGGATATCGCAACATGCCAGCCTGCCCCTCAAACCATCACGTCCACGCTCACAATTCGGCCGACGACCACGGTGACGGAAACCATTCGCCCTCTTGCCGTCACCACCAAAGAGACGTCCACCGTCACGCTACTAGGGAATCCGTATGTACTATTGGTTGTATGCTTCACGGGGATTGCTTGACTGACATGCTGCTGGAAACAGTGCGGCAGAATCCACCACCACTCTTACCGCCACAACCACAGTTCTCCTTGGTGCCACCACCATCATCGATACAACATCGTCTACCCAATATGAAGTCTCCATTAAGACACAAACCCGGATGGAAACCGATACCGTGGTCTCAACGACGTGAGTTTACCGACTTCCTACTACAAACTTATCCTCTAACTCAGCATTGCCAGGACGTTGACGACCACGACGACAGTTCCATGGGCGGTCCAGACTTGTGCCCCTCGAACTCAACGACGCGTTTTCAAATTTGGGCGTGGTGATAGCCTTTTCCCTAACAAGTGTTGTATGTAGATTGAGTGCAATATTCCAAATATCAATGATCCTTGGCTAACGAAGTCTCTTCCAGCTTGCTATCTTACCGCCACGAGTGGCGCTCCGTCTCTGCAGACGGTCACGGAAACCACCACCGAGGGCCTCGCTACGCAAACTATCTTGGAACAAGGCTCACAGACTCCCACCATTACCCGGACGGTCACCATCACCGCGTATCTGAATGCTGCTACAGTGTCGGCCGCCGAGGTGACAGAGACGGTTACCGAGGCACGCACGGAAACCAGGCACAGTCTCACCACCGTCGTCGGCACAGAAACGAAGACAGTCACCTCAGCCGAAACGAGAATAACCACAGAGACATCCGTAACCAGTACCACTGCTATTTCCACCGCAACTGCCGATCCATGCGCCGATGCCCATCGTCTAAGCGTTCCCGCCGGAACAGGCCTCTCAGGGCCAGACATTGCGTTGTCGTTCAGCAACGAGGGAGGCAAAAGTGAAGAGCAGATCCTGTCATGCTGCAGGAGTTGTTTTGGTAATCCCGGGTGCGTCTTCTTCAGAGTAAGTGACCAACTCTGTGAAGGCTTCGGCGTCCAGGAGAATGCCACCAACCCCTGCGCCTCAAGTCGATGTCCTCGGGGTCAACCGGCTCTGCTACATCAAAGAGTCCAAGATGGCTACGACTACTTCCTAGGCGAGTGTGGCGTACTGGTATAATTTTTTCTTGAAAATCGAGGCGTTATATCGACAGCACTTCTGGTGTTCATGGAACTGGTTGGGATCCGAGTTCTCACTCCCGGCTTTTGTATTTACTTGGAGATAGCGACAGCATCTAATGATATGTAGAAATGTGATTACGAACCTTAATTGATTGTATAAATATACTTTCTTTCAGGGATCAAACTTCAAGCCGAGTGTGATAGGCTTATATGTGCTCAAAGTCGTCAAGTTTCAATGTGAACTCAAGACCAGCATTTAGCACCCACTGACTTGTGCATGGTCTTCTAAGCCCATTTCCATTTATCAACTACTACTGCGAAGTCCCCAAAATCTGTCAACAATATGCAATAGCGTTTAATGCCAGGCACTTGCCGCGGAAGACAACTTCCGAAGAGCCTGCCCTGATACATCTTATCGATTGTCACTTCGGAAGCCCGCGCACAGGAACCTAACCTTTCTCTCACCAAAGAAATCGAGTTCCTCCCCAATCCAAAAGCAACGCCTACGCGGAACAGTTCCGCTCACGAAAACTACCTAACTTTCGGACCCCATTCTACCTAGAGGCCCAACTCGACGAAATCCGGCCATCCGGTCAGGGTTATTCTGCCTACATGTAATTAGGCACGCGCGGCATGAGGGACAGATACATCGTAGGATCATAAGGTTTTCCGGCCCTCAGCTCGCTGTGGCCTCCGTCGATACGCGGACGCCGAAACCAATGTGGCGGCGGTGGGAGCTCATCTGGTGACAAGGTAGGCACGGCACGCTCCCAGAGAAACGGGCAGTATCTAGGGTTGAAGTTTCCTGAGAGAAAGGGCGACATAAAGACTCGTCTCCAGTTGGCGGGGAACTGCTGGATGGGTGAGATTTCGATGGGGAGGTAGCCTCCGAGAGCTGAGAAGCCGCTGGATATTGTGTACATGGCTGCGGGGCTGCCGAACAGGTGGAAGCAGAAGCGGGAGGCCCCGTGGATGGGGGCCTCGGGTCCGGCGACGAGCCGGATCTTCCCGTTCCTGATGCCTAGCTCATTGCAGCAGATCGCGGCCAACAGAGCACGTGCCTGGCTAAGTGACTTCTCCCGGGAGCTCCAGAGGTGCCAGTCTGGGGCGAGGAGTCCTATGGCGCTGTCGAACATCGCTAGGGGGATAGCCGGGTATGGGTAGACAGGGAGCACTTGTGTGAGGTCCATAGCACGGATATCACGTCCGACCAAACCTCTGATCATCACCCAAAGTGTGAAGATCGCCAGTACTCCCGATGAACCCGGCATTTCGTGGGAAGTGAGGTTGAGACAGATAGCGGTGAAAGTAAACGGGTGGCCTTGTTCGGTCCAGAAACTGCGAACTGAGTAACAGGCGGCTCTACATCTTTCCTCTCTACCAAACGCGAGTGTATCAATGTAGTAAAGAGTAGCAGTCTGACGATCGAAGATGATCGTTGCCCAATGGATTCCACTGTTGGTTGCGCCGTCAAAGAACTGAACAGCTCCGACAAGGAACCGTCTTCCTGCCATGTTGAACCAGGTCCAGTTCGGGTAGGGGAGACCTCCGCTATGGTTGCCGCGGACAAGTCGCGTTCCAGGAACGTACTGATAATCAGTAGGAGGAGATCGATAAAACGCCGGAACGTAGACGTTTCCCTGCTTGTACAGACAGATCCGTAGCGGCGAGGAGATCTTGCCGATGATGCCTTCCAGGCCGTAGAGCATGATCGTCAAGAGGCTGTTCACTCCCGCCTGGGAGAGAAATCTCTTGTTCTGAATCTCGACCAGGACATTACGAATGTCCGTTAGGTGCTGCTGCCAATTGGGGGCTCTTGATAACACTTGGTTCTGCATCCACACGCGATCCTGCCATGGAGGCATGGGCGCGATGAGTCCGATCTCATCAACCGCGTCATCGCTTGACACGTTCAACGCGTTGGTGAGTTGCGACGAGTCAACGTTCGGCCACTCAAATCTTGGCAGGAAGAATGAAGGCTGAGAAGCACATCTTCCTTGCTCCATATACTGCTCCTTCAAGGTTCTAGCGTGGAGGAGCTTGGCTGCTTCGAAAGTGCTCAGGAAAGGCCAAGCAGTTGGAGAGTCTAACTCCCCACGGATCCGAGCATAGGTGAAGGGCGGCGGTACAGTAGGTCCTACAAGTGCCATTTTGATGAGCAGCTTTGCCTTCTCTGTGTGCGTAAGAAGGTAGGCGAAGAGAAGCGTAAGAAGATGTGCAAAGAGAAGCGTGAGAAAATGAGAAAGAGAGCTTGCCACGATCGAAAAGAGAACCTTGTCACGATGGAAAAGAGAAGCTTGAGATGACGGACAAGAGAAGCTTGAGAGGACGGAAAAGAGAAAAGTGAGAGGATGGGAAAAGACAAAGTTAGAGGATGGGGAAGGGGAAAAGGTGAGAAAAGTGGGAAGGGAAAAGGGCCAGAAAGAGATGACCCCAACCGATTATTGTTGATAGGTGCAAGTAGACAGTACCGTTGGGCAGTGTGACCAACTGGTGAGGGGAGGTGACTTATGCACCTCGCGCCCTAATCTCGCTGCACACCGCTGCCGTTCAGGTACGTCACTTCTACCTTTCCAAGCAGAATGCTTCGAATATTGAAAGAAATCGTTGGCAAGTGGTGCAGATTCCTGCTAGTCTTCTTCCAGGCCATCATACGATATGTATACTGGAGATTTCTCCTTCCTTCATCCCTCCAGGCTCTATTTTGAGCAGTCCAACTCGTTGATACCTCTGGGCACTACCTTCAACAAGTCTCAGTACGATCCATATCTCCTCGTCTCTTTCACTTTCATAAACTCCCCTCCGAAGCACTGCTTGGATGGCAGCCAGGCCAGGCCCAGAGTGTTGGATGCCTTCAGTATCAGGGATGTACTTCAAATATGTCTCCCTCGGAATCTGTAGTTCCTCCGTGTTCATCAGAGAGATCATTACCTCTCCATGAACGGAGTAACTAATCGAGATGTGAGTCAATACCCCAGACAAGGTGAGAATACCTCCACTGACTTCCCCGAACTCGCCTGCTCCCATCACTAGACTACACTCAGCGTCGAGAACCACGGCAAGGTCATACGTCGCCATGGCTTCGTCGACGACGACTTGTGCCCCTATGATCGACGCCCAGGACCAGGTAGGTATGTACGTTAATCTCTTCGACCCAGTTATTGCACTTCTCCTCTCCCAAATCAAATCTCGTAACAGCCCCGTCCGCCACATGCCTGCTAGATACTGACATTGGAAGAAACCAGAAAACTTTCGAGCCGCTCCCGAAACCGCCGGCAGCCGGTCCGTATGAAACGTCAACTCGAGTCGAGAATACTCCATAATCAATCGATGCCACTGCGCCCTGACCTCCGCAAGCGAAAGTTTAGACAGCACCATCTCGTGCAACAGATCTTTGAGAAACGGCTCGTGTCCCGGGGACCAGAGAGAGCGAATGCAACCACACTCGCACGACGTCCTTTCCATGCATTCCCACACGAGCTCTTCGGGGAGGAAGTGTATGACTCTCGGGGACAGGAGTCTTTCTTGCAGGACCCAAGCGCGGCGCATGAGGGGGAGAGGACTCGGGCCGTGGCCATGTGTGAGCGTCCTTCGGACCTGCATTATGCACACTTGGGACCCAGGCTTCGCTCTTGTCTCGATTATCTGAGATCTGTGGGATTTAGGAGACTTGCTAAAAAGTCCTTTATCATCTGCCGCGGCGAGAGATGCCGCAACTGTGAGGAGGCTGTTTGCGTAGATGGACGCCATCTTGGCCGACTCTTTCTGCCAGTCTTCCTTGGAATCTTGTATGATACATAGAGAGTCTATCCAAAGATAAGGTATTCCCACAGAAACCGCAACCTGTGCAGCTTCCCGGAAGGTTTGGGGCATTTCTTGCCAAGGGATATCATCACGGTGTAGTGTGAGATTAGCAGAGGTAGTTTTCATGGTCTGCTCTGTTCCCCAGCAGTGACTGAGACAAGCATATTGCCCTTCTTCACCAGGCTCAGCACAATGAAGATAGATATGGCTGAGGTTTCTCACGTCGAGGACACGGGTAGGAAGAAGGACAGGGGTAGTTTTGCGGCATTGATGCCTTGATGTACAACTCTCCAACCATTCTTTGATCGCCAAACGCGCCGCCTCGGAGCTTGTGTCCCCTGATATCTCTACCGGTTTCTCGCCAGCTTTTGGCCGTGTCCATGGTACTCGATGTTCGTGCCCTAAATTTTAACAAATAGAGGTTAGAATTGAACTTCTTGAAAGTAGTCTCAGGTCCGCTACACGCGAGGTGGGTTGAGGCATATTATCATCACCTTTATACGGAGACATGTCGATGCTGTACAAAAACTGGCCCGTGTCATGCCTTCCGACAACAACGCGTAGACCCTGAATTCTGTTTGTGTCCCAGCCCAGCCTCAAGCTTACTTCTTCAGCCTCCCCCTCGCCAATGGCCTCGATAGAGCGACATAATAGGTCACATGTCTCGCAGCCCTCAGCCGCGACTGAAGAGAGCTCTCGGAGCGATATGCCTTGGCTGAGTGGAAGGCTTTCATCCAGGCCTTTGCAAGCATGGCACGTCTGCATTTACGCGGAGTCGGATGGTGGATAGCTGGCAGGTGACAGAATTATTGGGCAGTCGATCAGCTAATTATGCAGCACGCTGCTCAGTCCAGGGTCCATGTCGCTCGACCTCCACCTCGGTAATTTTGGTGGCCTTTCGCATTCTCGAACAGCATGACTACCCTAGAGCAAGTCTCCGGCACTCTTCGCCTGGTCTCACTCAACACGTCAGTTAGGGCAAGTAAACAAAGCGGAGGTAGAATATTATTAAAGAATAGAAATTTGAGTCTCTCGAATCTAATTGAGTACGGATGTTGTGACACTTCCATCAGAGGCCGACGAAGCAAGTGCATTCAGACTGGCGTAGGTAGGTCATGAAACGCTAACAAGAGTATGCTTCCTGCCTCGCAATGCCAAAGACATTTCCAAGCCATTGACAGTGAGCGGGCCTTGGAAAATTCCGTACATTAGATTCGATACACATACCAGAGATGATTTCTAACAATTAGGCCGTCTGGAGGTTGGAGTTTTGTGTCTAGATACGTACTCAACCAGGGCGGTGCGCCGAAATGCAACTCAATTCCATGACAATATCGCTGATGAGAGGGGCATTGTTTTGATTGGGAGTGGGTCTCACATTGATGCATTGAACCTATCAAAAGGCCCGCTTGTGCACACCTTGGGAGCTGAAATTGATTGGTGGGTCAATGCACGTGATGCTGATCCGAGGTTTTGCCTTAGATCACGTGGAAAAGGGGACACAATGAATGGTCGTGGGTCCTTTTCCCTCCCTCGCTCGCAGTCCGGAGAAGTCACGTGCACCTGGCAAAACCAGCTGTAACGCCACCCACCAAAACATACCTACATACGTCATTGATGCTAGAGGAGTACCTATGGATCACAACACAAGATGGTCATGATTCAAGGTTGGATTTGATGCACATGTCGGAAGCCACACAACACGACAAAATTATCGAAGTTTTCAAATCATCCGAATTCCACGCCTCTAATTATCCTCCCATCAATTCATGTGTGAAGAATCCTTCTCCCTCCGACGGGATAGAACACAGGAAGCTATGTACTCTCATATGCGGACCCCTCCTTATGGCTATTGGTAATGGAATTGGTTAGGAAATCTTGAGATTTGTGCGATGATGAATACACAGCGTAGTATTGGCATAAGGCGTATCTTGTATCAAAACTCCATTCCAGACATACCAGAAGCAAAAGAAGCAAGAAGATCATCTACATTCATCTCCTCAATGGCATATGGGTCAAAGAAACCCCAAGAATCTGTGCGAATATTTGCGTTCAAAATTGGCTCATCCGGTTGTGATTCCGTTAATGGATGTGTTAGATGTGTAGTGATCCGGATCCTCGCATCTGGCATTCCTCTTGAGTTGCTTATTTGTTGGCCACCTTGAGAGTTTTGGGACTGTTTCATAAGGCATATTTCAGGACTGAGCAACTCCCAGAGTAAAGAAGGTGGAAACGTGACACCTCCAAGCTTCTCAGACGGTGATTTATGGTAGTGGTCTGTAATGAGATCTAGGCGCTGAAGGCTATCCAGCTTGATTTGATTGTTAGCTATGGCTGCTTAAGGACAACTAGGAGGAAGATTGTAGTATGAAAAAAACCAAAAACGGAGATCTACAAAATATCACGTATAACACAAATACCTTTTGTGATATGTGTGGCCATACTGTAGTTGAGCGACGAAGATATTCCTTGCACCAGGAAAGATCCCTTGAAACTTCCTGTGAAAGCTTCTCGTCCTCTACAAATTGTAGTAGCCATGGAATAGTCGCCACAGCCGCGACGAGATGGGCTATGAGAGGATCGTACAATTCAAGTTGAAGATCATCACAGAGCCGGAGGAAGCGAAAAACCCAGCGTGAGTTAAAAATAGCCGAGTCCATTGTGTTTTGGAGGAAGAGTCCAGATTGGGAACCCTTTGAGCCGTTGCGAACCGCAACTAGGTGAATGAAGGGGTGGTTTAGGAGTGACAGGCTCGCATGGCATACAACTTGCATGAGGATCCAAGGAATCCAATACTCCCTATGTCGAGAGATGTCGTCCGGGCTACGTTTGGAAAAGGCGACATTCCTGAGCAGGTGGCACGCAGGAAGCTGGGCATCACATTCATAGGCCTTCGCAACTAGCCTAGCATATCTGGATTCGGGTGACCATGGAATCTCGTGCTTTCCGAGTCGAATTAGCCGCAACCATGATGTTACCTGTCCAGACAAGGAGATCATTTTGATGTAATATGCCGTAATTCCACAGTCTTCCTTGCAGTTGTAGGCATTATATAGATCTGGTGGATAGTCTTCATGCTGAGCAGGTGGTAAAATGGGTGGCACTTGAGCGCTTGTCGGAAATGCCAGGTCTTGAATATCTTCGTTATAGGCACAGAGGTGTGGCGTGAAGATCTTTTCCAAGACGAAGACACTCCAACGGCATCTTATACTTAGGTCATGATCGCCTGAAGAACCAGAAACTGAGGCACTTGTTGAGATCCTAGAGGCTTCTAACCGGGATGCTAAACCGATTGTTACCTGGGCTTGCTTTGGCTTACATCCTGGAGTATAGATGTCAGAACTCAAAGCCTAAAAAGGGGGTTTGATAGGCGATAGTAATCACCAAGGATGTCTCTCATTGTAAGAAGACATAGTGACTGAATAAGTTCCAAATCAGCTGACCCCTCTAAAGCTCGTTTCATCACCACGTCACGCGCGGAATTTTCATAGCGCTGGGCGATTTCGGTTTGCTTTTCTTGGTAAATAGGAACAGTGTTGACACCAAGGGTGAGTGACAAGAAACTGTGACGAAGAAAGTCCGAGGAGGAGGCGAGGTAATGCATCAAATCCGGCAGTCTAAAAAGGGGTAGAGGCTGGAGATGCATTGTTGTTCGATACACCCCAATGGCATGTTCCAAAATATCTGGTGATGGATCTGGACTTTGTATAAAGTTCTTAGTATTTATCAATGGATATGCTCGAGGCCTAGATCCCTTAAAAGACTGGAGACATAAAGACTTACTTCGACGTAGATAGGGTGCATTCAATTGAGGTACTCTGGTCTGAGGCACCCGCGCGGTCCATTGCAGGGTGAGATGGGGAATTTTTTGATGCGGACCTTCCTAGTCAGCACCAGGTAGATGAAGTTCCCATCGTAGGGGTCCCACGGACATACTGCAGCAATTCATGCATAACATGCACTTGTGACTCTAAATCCTTGACTTTATCCCTAAGAGACGACGGTTGTTTTGGGCTGCAATTTCGTTAGGGAACCCATAAGTTTGTTTTAGTAGAGCCTATGAATGCTTGCCTTACCTTTTCAATGATTTCGATGATCGGGTAGATCTTGTGCCATATGCACATGCCTGGCCAAGCCGTTGACAGCATGAGCATGCAGGCCTTTCAGCTGTGCACCTAATCTTCTTACGGCTGGGAATTGTACTCAAATTAGCAATTATTCTTGGTGATATCTGCATTCAGCCAAACGAAGACTCACCGGCATGGCTCACATGCATGATGTGTAGGTGGGTCGCGGGCCCCAGAGGATCGTTGCATATTCGTTGCAATGAGCAGAATACGTTTGTCAACACGGACGAACATGAATAATCCGGAGATCCGACTCTAGGGGGCGGACGGAGCTATTCTTAAACGCGGAATTTTTTGATCACAGTCAGGGGCGGCATGGAGAGGGGTGATGGCTGAAGGGGAGATGTTTCGTTGTTCACGTGAGCGGACCTATTCATCAATCCCGGAAGAGCCGATTCGTCGTCAAAGTTAACACAACGGCGTTGAACGGCCCGTGATCATATCAAGAAATGAATTTTCTCCACATATTTTACTCTCGCGAGCATTCCCCTTATCGCCGAGCCAGGGCTAGACGCATTTCAATGCCTAGATACACTTGGGGGAGAGACAAAAACGACAACTCAAGTTTCAGAGCCTGCGTCCTTGGCGGTGAAATCGATAAATGGTCTGTGAATAAGTTCGGTACTTTGGGGCCTGGCTCTATAGTTTAGACGGAATATGATCAAGAGTCATTAGACGTCGGTAGAGAACCGGTACTGGCACTGTATCATTCATAGCTATGCTAGCAAGCTTTCCTCGAAAGGAAATTGAGATAAGAGTTCAATGCCTGATTCCGTGATCAATACTTGTTGTTCGAGCTTTACACCTTGTGAGCCCCCTTCTTCGCCAATATAGCTCTCGACGCAGATGACCATTCCTGGTTCAATGACCCCATCATACCCAGCGTCGGGAAAATCTCCATGGTGATAAAGATAGGGGTACTCTCCTGTCATGCCGCAGCCGTGTGCAGAGAGATAATACCGATTGGCGTAATATTTCTCTGGGATGTCCCAGGCCTGTTGAGAATATTCACGGAAGGTCATTCCGGGCTTTAGAATGCCCATGTTGTGGTTCACCTGCTCATACGCAATCCTGTAGAGTTCCCTCTGCTCCGGAGTCGGAGAAGCAGGCCCAGAGTGGAATGTTCGTGAGAAGTCGGAGTAATATCCATGGCAGCCAACCACATCTGTATCCAATGCGACGAGCTCGTTTTCCTTGATAACATAGCTAGCCGTTTCCTGGAACCAAGGATTCGTGCGTGGGCCGGCACTGAGCAGGCGGGTCTCGCAATAATCGCCGTTCTGATCGATGACCGATTTATGTAAAACTGACCAAAGCTCATTCTCGGTGAGCCCAGGCCGTACGGCATCTCGCAGCTTGCCAACTGCGACCTCGGTTGCCCGTAACGAAGCAACAACACATTTGACCTCTTCCGGCGACTTAATACATCGGGCCATTTCCACCGGTCGTTGGGCATCGACAATGTTAAGGCCAAGTTCCTTGAGTGCGATGGAGGAACCAGCGTTTAGCCGCTCCAAGCCAACCGTTGCATCTTCCTTGTCGACAAGTTGCCGTACCAAATCGGCGATCTCCAGAGCCCAAATCTTTTCAGTGCTCTCAATGTGCGGGCCAGCAGCCACGAAGCTGGCTGTTTTGGCTGGCCGTACTTCATCGATAGTCTCGTAACCTTGGGCTAGGTGCAGGCACCCCGTGAATTCGAAGAGGATTGACCGTTTCTGAGTGAGCAGCAGATATCGCGAGGGCGCGTTGCGCATACTGAAAATTTGCATGTTTCGTGAACCAGTTGCGTAGCGGATGTTAATGGGATCGGAAAGAATGACAGCGTCGATGCCATACTTTGCCATCTGGCTACGGACTCGAGCCTGGCGGTACAGACGCACAGCTTTCAAGTCGATGCCTTCACTTTCAGGAGCGCGGTCTAGGAGCATGAGGCCTGAGAGATCTGTTCTCTCGGCATGCCAGTCGAAATTTGCCATGATACCGTAATTCGTACACAATAATACCTGAGTGAGGTCTATGTAATAACTATAAGAGACCAGTGCCCGAGTGAAGAAGTAAAGCGCGCACTATTCATTGACAGGGATTCCTTATTCCTTATATGAACTTATATAGAGCCGATCAGAAGGAAATAGATCTTAACTATCTTTCTTCATTCCCAGTGCTTTCCTTTTCGGTCCAGAGGCCCGAAAATGGGAGCCATCGGAAATCACCAGATTATCGGAGATTCTAGATCAGATGACTCCGCTCACGTGAACGGAGCTCAGCATACCTCGACGTGTCCCCGGGGGCAATGCAACGGATTCTTGACTGACAGGGCTTATTGCCGATATCATTGGACTTGTAAGCCGTTAGTTTCCACTCGGTTCGCAAACATGGATGTCCTTATCACCACATTAACCCAATGAGGTTATTCCAGTATGTAATGACGGCCTCGTGGCTGGCTAGGGTTGCCATCATATCTATACCTGAAAGGCGCGGCCGCTATTAGATGACTGGGGTTCGGGAGTATGGGGTATATGGGGTAGTAGCATGGGAGACAACATAGCTTCGGCCAGGGGGCTACTCAGAGTCTGGAAGTACTTAAGCAGGCTCTAACCACCTTCTTTCTCCGTCACCCTTGAGATTCATTAGGATTTTACTAAGCCCATGCCTTCACCATTCCCCGAGTTGTTCATCCCCGTTGTCTGCTTTGTGTCGATACAAGCGAAGACAAGTTGATTCGTCTTAGAGAGCCACCATGTCGACAGTCGAGAAAAAAGCTGTGCCAACCAGCTCGGCAACTGCTGGAAGTATTACCAGTGAGCGCCATTCTGAGTTAGGCCATTTAAACCGACGCCTAGGTAATCGACAAATACAACTGATCGCTGCTGGCGGTTCCATTGGGACCGCCCTTTTTATCAATATCGGCAGCGCATTAGCTAAAGGCGGCCCAGGCAGTCTTCTACTCGCCTTTACTCTTTACACCATGATTCTTGCTCTTGTCAATAACTCGGCCGCCGAAATGAATACATATATGCCTGTTGCGGGTGGGTTTATCCGCCACGCTGGCTATTGGGTTGATGATGCGTTGGGATTCGTGGCTGGCTGGAACTTCTTCCTGTTCGAGGCTTTCCTGATCCCCTTCGAGATCAGCGCCTTGACATTTGTGATGTCGTTCTGGACTGAAGCTGCCACTCAGACAGGGCCAACTGCTGGCATATGTGCCACGGTAATTCTCATATACGGGTAAGCCAACTTGAGTATTCAATTCTGTAACAGCCCTATCGTGTATTCTGCCTGGTCATATCCTGCATCCTCGATGCTAAACCGTCTACGTCTATTTTGACTTCTCTTGACAAAAGACACTTGAGTGCTGATTTATCTGGAGCAGAGTCTTAAACTGTCTTGCCGTGAGATTTTATGGCGAAGTTGAATTCTGGCTATCCAGTGGAAAGATTATTTTGATCTTGATTCTTTTCTCTTTCACTTTCATCACAATGGTTGGCGGCAATCCTCATCACGACGCTTATGGCTTTCGATACTTCTCGAACCCAGGATCTTTCGCTCAATATCTATCTAGCGGCGATTTGGGTCGGTTCGAGGGGTTTCTTTCATGCCTCTGGACTGCTGCGCTCACTATTGTCGGTCCTGAATATATTTCAATGGTGGCCGCAGAGGCTAAACATCCAAGTGTTTATCTCAAGACAGCCTTCATCACAGTGTACTACCGGTTTGGTGCCTTCTTCATCCTCGGTGCCTTGGCAGTCGGGATTGTCGTTCCATATAACGACGACGTCCTCCAGGCTGTCTGGCTTGGTACTGGTAGCGGCAAGGGTACTGCAGCGGCATCTCCGTATGTTATCGCGATGGAGAATCTCGGAATTAGCGTTTTGCCGCATATTGTCAACGCTTTGATTTTGACATCTATCTTCTCGGCCGGAAACACTTATGTGTATTGTGCAAGCCGAGCCCTTTATTCGCTATCCTTGGATGGCCGCGCACCTCGGGTACTGAGTTACTGCACCTCCAAGGGCGTTCCGATTTACTGCTTCGGTATCGTCATGTTATTCTCTTTTCTTTCCTTCCTTCAGGCTCACAGTGGCTCCGCTGTGGTCCTAACCTGGCTAGCAAGCATCATCACTGGCGGCATTCTCATCAGCTACATCATCATATCCCTCACATTCCTGAATTATTATAGAGCCTGCCAGGTTCAAGGGGTAGACCGAAGAGAAAGGCCATATTATGGATATTTCCAACCATATGGAACCTACATTGCTCTGTTATTCCTCACCCTGGTACTCTTTGGCTATGGGTATTATGCGTTCAGGCCTTCATGGAACGTGGAGACCTTTTTCCAGAGCTACAGCATGCAGATTTTGAGCGTGGTTCTCTTCGTCGGATGGAAAATTGTTAACAAAACAGAATATGTCACACCTGATAAGGTTGATCTCGTCTGGGAGCGACCTGGAATTGACAGGTACGAAGATGCCATTACTGAGCCCCCGCTGGGGTTCTGGGAGGAAATGATACATATCCTTGGAGTTTCAAAGAAAAGGGGGATATCGGAAGCTTGAATATATAGTAAAGATAAGGGACTTTGTGGGTATGCTATTTCTAGAGCACATGCGCTGACAGACACGTCCTTGCCGCCGAAATTCACCGAAAACCGCGGCACCAGTGGACTTGGGCAGATTCTAAACTTGTCTGAGACTAGATTTAGGTAGAAAGAAACTGCTCAAAGGAGTAACAGATTATTTCATCAAACTTGTCCAAATTCATTACAACGGTAATTAAGATTTCTTCCAAGACATGAAAGAGGGCACTGATGGGATGCCCTCCGAATTATCTCAAGACGCTGAGGATTCGTAATAAAGAGGTCTACAAGGCGATCGAGTACCGACATGATTGAACACAGAGTTCTTTATAATCTCACTTAACGACCTACTTACTTTACCCGGTCCTCTTTCATGTTGTTCAATGCACGCCTGACAGGCTCCTCTGTGTATTAATTAGAAAGACCGCAGCTGAGCTTCGTGTTGATCTATTGAGGGATGTCTCTGTGGAATTAATAAGTGTACCAGACGTTGGTCACTTTGGCTCTCAATCTGTGGCCTCAGGGAGTTTCACTCCACTTGGACTTTTGAGGAGAAAGCGTAGATACTGTTACGGCTGTAACAACATCCCTATCACGCTCAAGCTCCACATATCAACTGTCCAAGGGTTTGCTCCTTCAAAGGTAGCATTGAGATGGGGGCCTTACATAAAATTTAGGTTGCATAGGCCCGCTTACATAGACTTTGGAACAGATTGACATGGCTTGTAGATGGGAGCCTTGACGGAAAGTTTTCTACGTTAGCGGAGACTACGGTCAAAGTTCCCTGTCCAAAACTGACTCACCGCCGCAAAGGCAACGGCTAAGCCGCCAAGACCGGAAGACTTGAGGGATCAGTTAATAAAGAATACGCCGGGACCAGTCGGCTTGGTGCATGAAAGTTTATCCACTCGCCACCGGTAGGAATCGATCCACGCCATCCTCATCAGGTAGGTGCTCGGGAACGGTCCAATTATATAAGCAACGAAGAGAGTAACTTCCATTGAAAATGCGGTAACGAGAATTTGTTACAGAATCCTTGAGTTAAGCCCTAGCTAGTTTCGTTAACCGCGATGAGATGTTCTGAAAAGAATGCCCAACATGTAGATATATAAGAGTCCCTCTGACCCCGAGAGAAACTTCACTGCTCCTGTAGCATCGTCATCCATCTTCTCTCCATCCTATACTTGTCATCAAGCTCGCTCGCCCAACATGCGTTTCATTGCTGCTACACTTTCTCTCTTCACAGCACTCGCTGCGGCGAATACCCAGACCGTCGAAGTCTCCGCGCTGCACATGGCCGGACGGGGTAATCTCGCTACATCAAGCGTCCATTTCGATACCACATCATTTACTCTGGACAAGGGATCTGCTTATGAGGTCTCATGTAAGGCAGACTACGTCACAGCTATACCATCGGGCAGATTCACGGGCGAATGTCTTTACCCTGGTGGTGACCGTGCTCCGTGGGCTTTCTCCTACGACAAGATCACGGAGAGTTCTAAGTTCCTCTTGACTCTTTATAACAGTGATGGGTGAGATTATCTATATGACCCGAACTTAGTCGTGAATCGAAACTGACCCAATTAAAGTGCGGCGCGAACCGGACGAGGAACGGTGCCTACCTCTTGCAATGTGAACGGAGAGGAGTTTACCTGCGACCAGTCTGAGTTGATCTCCATTACCGTGTCGGCTTAATTATCTCTGCCAAATAACTTTGCAGATGATTGAGCTGCTACAGTTTACTTAGCCGGCCGCTCTTGAACCAATCCCAGAATAGTCTGACCGCTGTTATCTCGGAGATGTTTGTTTCTCGGGATGGCTAGCAGTTCGACTACACATGATTGATTTGTTGCGGTACATAGATTCTCAATGATTTTTATAAGGCTGGGAGTTACCAAATCAATATTCATAATATTTTAGGTCGAGAATGATGAAGTAGTCAAGAGGTATCGCCAATAATGACTGTCATATGCCTTGTTATGGTCCAACAACTCGACAGCTCCTCCAACCTTCTGACTCATAATGGGGGATTTGTCGTCAGACAGCCAACTGCAATTATCGCTGTAGTTTTCGACATTGATCATATTTTGGCCCGTATGAGTGGTTGACTAAAGTATGGCGAAGTGCCCAACCAGAGAGATAACCTACTGTTTTGCGTGAATTGTATCGCAAAAGTATTTCCATTCGACCTGAGCAATGACGCTCGATCTTTCGTTCTCAGGTTTGGAAGACCAGTCTCCCGTTTCATCTCACCATGCTGGTACGCTCCGGATTCAATAAAACCGCTCAAATATGTGCCCCCATCCGAGCTTTTCCGATCAACAACCCCGCCCAGAGTGAACGAAAAGGGGGCCTGGGGTGATGTTAAAGGCGCCTGTCGTTTTGTTGTTCATGCTTGATTCTGGTAGTGGATTGCGTGAGTTGGCTCTTCGAGTGACCATCATGACGCGATTGGAGGCCCCTATATAATTATTCCGGTATCCAATAGACTTTCCGTGATTCCACGAGTCAAGCTTTACGAATACCGATGTAATCATATTCTGTTGCCCATGATTGGCGACGCTGAACACCTTAATTTGAATGCTACCCTCATTCCCAGAACGGCCATGGGAGATGGCTTCCGTTGTTGCAGCAGCTTGAAACACGTGCGCGTCTGTGGAGAAATAACTCTATTTTGGTAATCTTGGCACCCCTTAAAGCTATAGAGAAAGCCAATCGAAATCATCTAATGGAATACCCTTCACATAGATCAGGGCACGGATGATCACTGTCCGTTTTGGGTCGCTTTTTCGGTTCGAATTGCCGCCTCGCTTGCTGAAAGCATGCAACTGCTGACGAAACACCAACACCATTATGGGTTTCACCATCCATCTGACTTTATGCGAATCTTGGGAAAGCTATGGGGTAGGCATGCCTATAAATATCAAGCGAGATCTTCAATACGAGGGTTCTTCTGTCTAAATCGACATCACACAAACAACATACCTCATCTGAAAGCATAAAAAATACAGTATTGAAGATGAGACCATTTTCAGCAATCCTTAGCCTCGGGGCTTGTATCGCCCCGCTAGTATCTGCCCATGGCTTCGTTTCTGGCGTTACAGTTAACGGAGTCTGGACTGCTGGTGCTGATCCCGTCTGGTATTACTATCCCAGCGGAACCTCCCCAGCAACCGCTGGCTGGAACTCATTGAACCAAGATCTAGGCTTTGTTGAGCCTGCCAACTTTGGCACTGCCGACATTGCATGCCATAAGAGCGCCACTGCTGGCAAGAACTTTATCAACATCAACGCCGGTGATACGATCAAACTCTACTGGAACACTTGGCCCGATAGCCACAAGGGCCCCATCATCAACTATCTTGCTCCCTATAATGGTAAGGCTTCTCGAGACAGATTAGTGTATGGGTCTTAAGACGATTAACCAATAAACGCAGGCGAGACAACCGCTGGTAGCTTGAGTTGGTCCAAGTTCAGCCAGAGTGCCATTGTGAGCGGCACGACCTGGGTTACCGATACCCTGATTGCCAACAACTTCACCACATCGACGGTGATTCCCCGAAATCTCAAGGCGGGCAACTACGTCCTCCGACATGAAATCATTGCCTTGCACGGCGCCGGGAGCGACAATGGCGCTCAAAACTACCCACAGTGCCTGAACCTCAAGGTCGGTGGTAGTGGTACCGTTTCGCCTTCCGGGGGCACCGTAGGATCCAGCCTGTACAAGCGAACCGACGCTGGAATTCTCTTCAACTTGTACACCTCTTACACAAGCTACCCATACCCTGGTCCAGGTCTTTGGACTGCCGCCAACTAAGCCCGTGGTGCGATACGGAGGGCCGTATTGGGCACAGCCACTTCATTACTATTCCATTTAACCACCTGAGATCGTTATTTGGTGGGTTTGTGGCAACTGATGACTACTGCCATCACCGAAGTAGTTGGAATGGGATACACTTACATGCCCGAACTGTCTGCCTAAAACGATTCTACACTTAGCAATCTGGTTCCTGTACACATATGCATGTGTTTTAGTGTCAAGAAATTATATGGCAATTCTCCACATCGACAAGATATCTGTATAAGCGTGAACTTTGATCTGGCCGACTAGCGTGGCTATAATCGTTACATGTCCCGCTCTCTTTCACCTTCTTTCTGAGCGGTTGTATCTCCCGCTTTTATATCCACATTCATTAACGAGTGCGCTTCTTCTATGTAATATGTAAGGGGATAGAACGATTGTTATTTTGAATTTCATGCCACTAGAGTTCATCTTTCTCAATAGACTTTTCGTATTGCGTTGTCTTGGCCATTCCAGCCAGAATATCCACAATCAAATCTGCTGCGACGACCGAGGTGGTCTCGGCCACCGAGTCATAAGGAGGACTGACTTCCACCACGTCGGCGCCAACTAAATTGATCCCTTCAAGTCCCTTGAGGAACCTTTTTAGTTCCCGAGATGTCCATCCGCCGGACTCAGGAGTGCCGGTTGCAGGAGCAATGCTCGGGTCGAGAACTGAACAAGACCTTGTTAGAAAGGAGAAACATGAATAATGGGCGGAATGAGTACGTACCATCAATGTCAATCGACAGGTAGGTAGGGGTGCTTCCAACAGCTTTCCTGACCTTGGATATGATACCTCCCATACCAATCTCGTCAATTTCCTGTGCCTCAATTAAAGTGAAACCGACCACATCTCTGTCGATCTCATAGTCTTTGGGGCTCTTTAAATAGTATGTTAGCGGGCCAAGGTGTGACTTTCAGCAGACTCCTTGCCAAGCTTACGAATAGTTTTGTTCTCAGTCCGCCATGGACGCTCGTGCCTTTGCTGATGCATCCTTCACGGCTAGCATGCCAGAAGAAGGTGCCGTGAGTAATGGCAGATTGATTAGATACAATACCAGTATAACCCTCGTAAGGATCCCATCTGAATTGAACAGTGTCAACAAGAATGTTGCTGGTGGCTTAGGTTACGTAGTGTCGACTCACGTGTCAAGGTGAGAATCAAGATGGATTACAGAAATAGGTCCATAAACCGTTTTGAGACTTCGGAGAATTGGTAAGACGATAGAATGGTCACCGCCAAGACTGATGATGCGTGGATGCTTCCACTCATCTGGGAATAAATCGTTAGTTCCATCAGGGGCGTGATAAGAGTTATTCGTTGACTCACTTTCTTTAGAAGTCGGATGATATAAGACCTGACGGTAAGCCTGCTCCATCTGCTTAAAAGCATGGCTCGCATCGAAGGGTGTAATTGGAACATCTCCGCAGTCGATCTGAACGGGCTGTGAATAATGCAAGCCGTGCAATGGAAGGGTAACTCAAACGCACAATCTCCAAACCTTGCTCGTAAGGGTCAATTCCCCACACGGTGTTGTAACTGCGACCCTTTTTCTCTCGAGACGAACCGGCGCGAATACCGCGGGGCCCAAAACGAGCACCAGGCCGATACGAAGTTGAAGTGTCGTAGGGAAACCCCAGAATTGCTATATCTAATGGCTATTCATGCATGTTAGCCTGGGGGTCCTTGTTAGACGATTATACCTCCTAGCATATGTAGCGAAGAGTCCGTTATACTCACATTCTTATGAGACTGTGCGAGACATCGTTGCCATTCCAAGTGGGCGAACGTGACAGGTTGAGAAAAAGGAAGGTCCTTGTCAAGGTCTAAACGGCTAGGTTAGACTGCGACTGACGATACCCCTGTGCTAGTGGCTCTCAACACTCACCCTCAATTGGATGATCATACCCAGGACCCAATTCGAGACTGAGGCCGGCCTGGAAGGAGGCCAATAATAGTGCGAATCTAAACAACATGGCCTCAGTGAGACTGGGAGGGCAGTAATCTTGAATACTTGCTTATAGCGGTCGCGGATAATCCGCTGCTCCATCCTATTATTTAAGTTCTTCCTCAGTCTTGTCGGCCCTCCCGACAGTATCATGATCCCAGATCATAAGAGACCAATCGGAGACGTCGTTTTATGTTATGGCAATTAATTCCGACGAGTATAGATCCACAACCAGTGCCTCCCACCATGAGTTTCTCCACTTCGTCCAGTTTGGCTTATCGCGAATGTTCAAGCCCAGCGTTAGTTTATTAGCCTACAGTTTTGCTTATCTAGAATGCTTGAGAAACAATAGACCGGCAGCTATGCTATCGCGAGGCACCGAGACGTAGCAAGTCATGGCCAAAAGATAAGCAAATCTATAATATAAAAAGAGAATGGAATAAGAACGTTCAATAAGAAGAATCTCCATTGCTTTAAATATCCACCATCTAATACATCCTTTTCTGTGTCCAATTCGTCGCTTGTTGCTGAAATAAATATGCCCTTAATGATGCCTCCTTCGGCTATACTCATGGAGGAATATGGCCAGCCGGAATCGCCAACGACCAAGGCCGAGTTGCAGGATGGAAAACCGCCAAAGCCTAGTAGCGCTTCAACCAAAGCCGAAGAATCCTCCGAATTCGATCAAGCAGCGCCCCATACCACGAAGCGAGGCCTTTCATCTCGTCATGCCCAGTTCATTGCCCTGGGTGGCGCCATTGGTACCGGCCTGTTCGTCAGCTCTGGCAAGACACTCGCAACGGGTGGTCCAGCCTTCCTCGTTGGTAGCTATGCGTTATTGGCAGCCCTGGTTTACTGTGTTCTGACGGGTCTTACGGAGATTTCGACATACCTCCCGTTGCCTGGAGGAACAGTGAACTACTATGGCCGACGCTACGTTTCGCCTAGCTTGGGCTTCATGATGGGATGGCTTTATTTCTACTCATTCGCCATCTTTGTCCCGTTTGAGCTCACAGCCTCAGCACTGGTCATCAATTACTGGGGACCCAATGTCAACAATGCTGTCTGGATTACCATTATGCTAGTATTAGTCGTTCTCCTGAATCTTCTTCCGGTCAAGTTCTACGGTGAAACAGAGTTCTGGTTCGCCAGTCTTAAAGTGATCACCATCATCGGCCTTATGATCTTATCTTTTGTACTATTTTGGGGCGGTGGCCCCAACCATCAGCGTCTGGGATTTTGGTACTGGCAAAATCCAGGTGCTGTGAAGACCTATATAGTTGGAGGCGACGCGGGAAGATTCGTGGCCGGCTTGGCCACACTCATCAGCTCAGTCTTGCCCTTCACTTTCACCCCGGAGATGGTCGTTGTCACAGCCGGAGAGATGGTGAACCCCCGACGAAATATCCCAAGAGTAGCCAGAAACTTCTTTTGGCGTCTCATAGTATTCTACATCGGCGGGATGATTGCCATCTCCGTTATTTGCCCATCCGATGCGTCTGCTCTTACCACCGGCGGCAAGGGGGCAGGATCCTCACCATGGGTCTATGGCATCCGCAACGCAGGGATTCATGGCCTTGATAGTGTCATCAACGCTGTTATCATCACGGCCGCTTGGTCCTCTGGTAATTCATTTCTTTACCTTGCGAGCAGATCTCTGTATTCGATGGCCTTGGAGGGAGATGCGCCTGCTATTTTTGGCAGATGCACCAAATCTGGCGTCCCTGTTTACGCAGTGGGTGCAAGCTCGCTGTTTACCTTGCTGGCGTATATGAACGTCAACTCTTCCGCGGCTGATGTCTTCAATTGGCTCTTAAACCTTGTAAACACGGGCGGATTCATATCCTGGATCTGTTGCTCCATCATTTACATTCGGTTCCGGAAGGCTTGTGATCTACAGGGGATGCCAGAACACAGATTCAAAAATTCTCGATCTGTCTTGCAGCCGTACGCCTCTTGGTTCACCCTCTTCATGTTCTCGCTACTGTGTCTCCTCAACGGCTTCACTGTCTTCTTCCCATCACAATGGTCGGTGGCGGATTTCATGTCAGCCTATATTGGGTTACCGCTATTTGTGGTGATCTATTTCGTACATCGGGGTTTCCACATGGCAGACCCCTGGGTGATTCCTGGCGAGTTGGTAGATTTGCAAACTGGACTGGCAGAAATGGATGCTGAAGAGGAGGCTTTTGAGAAAATTCCGCGAGTAGGGTGGATCAAGCGGCTCAGAAATCTTGTACGTCGTCAGTAGTAGTTCGTCGGAATCAACTTCCTGATGAGGGGATGAGCCACTTCAGTCTTATCAGCTCAATTGGCGATAGCTCAAAATCTCTATCACTTTGATTACTTCTATGGTATCTTATTATCTTTCATACTAAGATATTTTGCTGGAAGGTTCTGGTGATCATATAGTTTTACCTTGGCCAAAGATCCTTCAACGCTTAGAGACTTTAGAAATCAATACATACACCCAAGCATCTTTGAAAATGAGCCAAGTCCCTAGAATCCTAGTTGTAGGATGCGGCCCTGTGGGCACAATGTGCTCTTACAGTCTGCAAAACTCTGGCCGCACGACTGTCACAGCCATTCTCCGATCCACCTACGATGATGTAAAAGCAAATGGCTTCCGCATTAAGAGCATTGATCACGGCGAAGTTGATGGATGGAGGCCGCATAATAGTAAGAACTCTTCTAAACCATTTCATCATTAACCTTTCGATTCTCAAATTACACGCAGTCTCGCGCACCTTAGATGACGCACTTCAGTACGGACCATTCGACTATGTGGTTGTCGCCCTCAAAAATCTGCCGGATGTATATTCTATTCCAGATATCATCCGGCTAGCTGTCGCGTCTGAGAAGACTGCCATAGTACTGGTCCAGAATGGCATTGATATCGAACAGCCTCTCATCGATGCGTTTCCCGATAACGTTGTCATCTCTGGCGTTCCACTGATTGGCTGCGAGCAAAATGGCCGCGAGATCTTGCACAACGATCCAGACATCCTTCTCGTCGGAGGTTTTACTAAGAATCCTGACAGAATGGATCAAGGCAAACTCATGTGCTCCGAATTCGCCGAACTATATACCGCTGGAGGTGCCAAGTGTGAGGTCAAGGAAAATCTAACCTGGTTCAGGTGGCGGAAGCTCTGCTGGAATGCTTCTTTCAATGCGATCTGCGCCCTTACGAATTTGGATTCCGGCCTTATCCAGGACGCAGGAGCCCTTGAGACCCTGATCAAGCCCGCAATGGGCGAGGTCGCTGCCATTGCGAGCGCAGCAGGCTACCAGCTACCAGAGGACATCAAAGAGCAAATGGTCGCCTTCACGCCCAGGGAGCTTTACTTGAAGCCGAGCATGCAGGTGGACGCAATTAGGCAGAGGCCAATGGAGATTGAAGTTATTTTGGGGAATGCATTGCGAATAGCAGAGAAGGTAGGCGTCGATGCGAGACTGCTGGGGACATTATATCAACTACTTAAGGCCAAGCAACAGGCGTTGCTTTCTGTCAAATAGATCTCATACTGATTTAAGCTTCGAATTTACCTTCATTAGGCCTGGTGTAGTATTTACACTTGTTTTAACCTGGTTGTTGACAATGACTAAGGTCTAAGATATGATAGCAAGAGACTTTTACATACTTAAGGGATTTCGAGAACATCATTTTGGCAATGATTTAAAACAGTACTTGGTCTATCTACTGTAGGAAGTCTCCCCCTGAAGCGTGCAACTCATACTGATAATCAGGCTGAAATTCAAGCCACATAGCCTCAGGCGTGGTCAGCCTGTACGTGTACTCTGCTTCCTCGTGAGGGCATATATGCTTGGGAATCCCACTAGCAGCAGCAGCCTCCGCTAAAATCTGGATGCGGCAGGAGTTCTCCATAAGTGTATACAGGAAAGCTGCCTCATCCACGGTCTTACCCGTGGTCAGAAGCCCGTGGTTCTTAAGAATAGAACACCGCTTGTTTCCCAAAGCGGCAGCAATGCGCTCTCCTTCGGATGCCTCAAATGCAATTCCGCCAAACATATCGTGAACAGTGTGATCATTATAGAACGTACAGGCATCCTGATTGAGCATCTCAAGAGGCCGCCCAAAACACGACCATGCTTTTCCATGCACGCTATGGAAGTGGCATGCGGCATTAACATCTGGGCGAGCTTCATGGAGAGCAGAATGAATATTGAACCCGGCATTGTTGATGCAAGCCTACATGTATTAGTATTAATGTATTGAACTGTGAAAAGAATCGAAGTGTACATACCCTGTTACCTCCAATTATTTCGCCCTTCATGTTGACGTGAACAAGGTCACTCACTTTTATCATCCCAAAGTGATATGCCAGTCTATCATCCACTTTCAGCATTTCCGTACTATTCATATCAGACAAGATGTTGCGAGATACTTACGGGTTGATCCAGAAAGTATCGGGATCAACTGGATCCCGGACAGAAATATGGCCGGCAGTTCCCTCAAGGTAGCCTTTTCGAGCGATCACTCTGAAGGCGCCTGCCATTCTCTCCAGCGCCCATTTTCGTTCCTCATAAGGGTCCGTGAATTCCGGGATGCCAGCGATGGGAGCACTTCGACCAATCGTAGCACCAGTCCCGTCAATGGTCGATAGTCCATCCATGAATGTTTCCTCTACACGAGGACGAGGACGGGGCTCTTGTTCCTCGGGAGAGTGGATGGGCAGTACAGTTGCAGCCTTCGTGGCTGTCATCATCGTGGTTGTTGTGGACATTTTGGACAGATTTCCGGATATCGATTTCGCTTTAGGCTGGAAAGATGCAGAAGCCCTCAAGACTGAGTTATTCCAGACCAAAGTCCTGCTCTAGGATTGTGTGTTACTTAGGAAGTAGGAAATGATGCGAGCCCTCGACATGGTAAATGGCAAGAAGTTTTGCATGGAAGAGTCATGTTACGGGAATTTAGATTTGCATTGGGCAAAAACCTCCGACTGCCCATTGGAGTTTTGATTTCAATCAATAACATGCCTAGGTGAGTCATTAACGTCCTGCCCACTGCTTTGGCAGGCAGAGGGAGTTGGCTGGACTCTACCAACCGCAACGGACTGTAAGCTCCTCCAGATACGGCTTCTTTCATCAATCCCTACGATCGGCGGCAGTAATCATTTCATCACATTCGATGTCGGAACTTCCGACATAAACATGTATTTTGGGAATAGCCTCAGTTGTGGGACTGATCTCGTCGGAATTACATGCCCAAACCAGCCCTGGCCAATCGCACAGCACCATTGAATAGTTGTCCCGCTTTTTTCTTCATGCCTATGTAGTACAGGGATTCTTATCTCTCCAGACTCTGAGAGCCTGACCCTGGCAAGCCTGGCTCTAATTTGAACACTACTAACCTGGTGCTCTAAGCTCATACCCATACGGTAAGAGATAGCGACGAGATCAGGCCCAGGAGCCTTTGGTGATGCTAAACATGATACGGCGATCGAATGCTCACTTCCGCAACAACTACAAATGTGAAGATTGATTCCGGGTGCTGGAACAATGGTTTATCAAAAAATCAACAAATTGAAGAATTGTGTTTAATACTAACTACCAGTGACAGCGCCAAGCCTACATCCAAATCATCTTATTCGTCCGTTATTCATCTCGATCGTGCTATATGCACAATGGCAACTACATTGACAGAGGCCCCTACAATGGGAATCGCAAAAATTACGAGCCCAGTGTCCTGGGGTCGGGGATTGGGTCTAAGCTCCGGACAACGCGAACCAGAGTACCACCTCCTGGCGCCTTTCGAGGCTATGCCTGAGCAGATAACCGGACGCACAGTTTGGACCAAGGAAGATTTGGAATCCGAGCCTAACCGCTGGCTGCGAGCTTTCTCCGAGGATGAGATCCGACAGGTTGAAAAAGCGATAAAGCATGTTGAATCGCGAAATCTGCAGCTTTCAGAGGTTCATCGAGATACTTTCCCCTTGTCTGCCGAATTCACGGCAGAATTGGAGAAGGCACGCGATGAGCTGATTAATGGTATCGGTTTCGTTCTGCTCCGTGGACTTCCTGTTCAGAAATGGACAACTCGGCAATCTTCCATTGCGTATCTCGGCCTGGGTTCCTACATCGGTCGTCGCTTGAGCCAGAACCGTCAGGGCCACATGTTGGGCCACATCAAGGACCTCGCAGAAGGGAAAGAAGTCAACGGTGAAGGCCGAATCTACCGCACGCAAAAGGCACAGACTTATCACACCGATGAGAGTGACATTGTCGGCTTGCTTTGCCTACACCAAGCCATGGAAGGGGGAGAATCACAAGTCGTTTCCAGCCATCACATTTACAACGTTTTGCGCAAGGAGCGTCCCGACGTGCTGGAACAACTGTGCATGCTACATTGGTTTTATGATCGAAAGGGCGAAACCAGCGACGGAGAGAATGAGTGGATGAGAACGCCGGGCTACTACTACTATAAGGGCAAGCTCAGCATGAAATGGGACTCGTACTATGTTGGCGCATTGCAGAGGTTCTGGGAGGCTGGACTTCTGCCCAGGTACACCAAGTCTCAGGATGAAGCGATGGCCGTCATGGAGGACATGTGCCACCGTCTGTGTCTTGAGATGACTCTACAGCAAGGCGACGTCCAGTTTGTGACTAACACCCATAACTTGCACGCACGATCGGCCTATAAAGATGACAACGATCCGAGCAAGAAACGCTGGCTGCAACGTCTCTGGCTGGCAACGTCGGATGTTGAGGGAGGTTGGCCATTGCCATTTGCCGATTCTGACTACGTGAAGCGTGGAGGTGTCCAAGTCAACAACACACCCGAATCTTACCCCCTTGAAGCAGAATAGGGTGAACATGCAACGGAAAGACCTTGGATACATGTCATTAGTAGTCTACCATCGCCAGCATATGTAACATCGTATTTAATTTAAGGTAGATATCCCCATATCACACTTGCTAGAATCGCCCAATATACAAGATGAGCCAAATCCGACTTCGAAATACTTGGTTGCCGAGTCAGTACCGGGTAGGGTTCTTATCAGCCTTTCCAGGTTTCTGATTCGTGGATCCGGTCATCGGCGCTAAGAATGTTCTTATCTCGACTGGTGTTGCGTTTAGGTAATGGTTTATTACAGGGATCCAACCCCCTCGACCGGCCACCGGTGAGATCGTCTCCTGCTCGTCAATCATATGATTCTCTTTGAAATCATAATTGAGTCACCATGCCCAGAAGATCAAGTAACAAACGTTCAATGACATACAAAGGGTGGGTTCAGTCCTTCTTGGCTCTGTGTCCTCAGTTTCTAACACACCTGTATGGTTAGATGCTGGACATGCAAAAGACGCAAGGTCAAGTGCGATGAGAAACCTACGAGATGTGGCAATTGTACCCGGCTTCGACTCGAATGTGAGGGCTATGGGGTCAGACTTCATTGGACCACGGACTCATTCTCAACGAAATCCGAATCATCCAGTTTACAGAATCGAGGACGGATGAACATTGGTACGGACTGATTCCAGAACGTCTCAAGCGTGTATTGAAGTGCTAAGAACAGAATTGGCTTGTACAGACCCAGAAAGTTATCCTGTGTATCCCATGAATGACATTGATCGCTTCATAGCTTCCATTGATCGCGATTCTCATGCCAAGAAAGCCTCTCAGCATGGACCATTCAATCTACTACTCCTGCCACTTATCCAGAAGGAGTTACATAATGATTCGGATACTATAATAGAGGTCGAACATCACATAGAAGGGTCCCATTGCACAAGTTTATCAGTGTCGTCCACATCGTCCTCTTCTACCCCTGATCACGAACTAGAAGCAACATTCCAGGCAGTGGTAGCCGACACAGGACATGCCCCAGAAGTATTTCCCCCAGATTCACCCGTACATAACTTATCAGATGGGGACCTCAACCTTGTTCAAGTGGTCACTGAGGACTATCAGGAAGAGGAGAACGACACAGCCGAAAACGGGGAAGAAGTTCAAGAACATGTGGATATTGAGAATGCAGCCTCTCCTCAGAAATCAACCTCAACAACACTTTGCAGTGGAGGACTTTCCGCGTTCTGCTTGCAACGATATGTCGCCAGCAGCCTATCTGGCGATCCCGAAATCGATATGCTGCTTCACCATTACATCATCAACCTGGCCGACCTTTTGCAAGCAGTCCACCATCCGCAAAACCCATACCGTCAACTCTACGCCCCCGCTGCGCTCGAGTCCGTATCTGGTACAGCACTGTCCACACCGGCTTCTTTTAGCCCCAAATCAATCATCAACACGGCTATATATCATTCTATTCTAGCTGCATCAGCATTCCATATGTGGCAGAGCAACCCGCTACAGCGAGCGTTCCATCATGTCGCCTCGCAGCACAGGCAGAAGGCCCTCTTTTTCCTCCAAACAGCTCTGGATACCATGAGACCCGGGGCTGAATACAGGCTTCTACTTATCGCGATGTTGTCTCTTGTAACTGTTGATGTAAGTGCTGTCCATGATCTACCAATCTCCAACGGTCGGCTACAAACGGGACCCAAAATAGAAAGAACCTCTTTAACGGTCTGAATCACTGATTCTTTCTAGGTCATGTCAGGTGCAGAGGCAGATTTCACAGTCCACCTCCATGCAACACTTCAACTGCGCAGGTCACGGCGGCACTGGAAGGTGGTGAGCCCGGCCACCCAGCAGTTGAACGAAATTAGCGAGTTCCTGACCTTGCTTGCTCGAACATTATCTTTTCATCCATCCTCGCCACTATGGTGCGCGGACCACGGCGATGGCAAGGGCAATGGTAATGATGACGTCCCGCTCGCTCAGGGCTCTAATCAGTGTCTGGGATACATGTATGGAATTACTATCACAATAGCAAATGCTATTAAGGAAACTTGCAGGCTAGCGGAAACTATTACTTGCATCGAAGAAAGGCAAAACGAGGCTTTGCCCGAATGGCTTCGTCAAGCTTGCGAGGACCTAGGTGATCTACTACTATCGTGGACACTAGACGAGGCAGAGGTCAATTCGATAGCCAACGAGGAAATGAGGGCAGTGTTTAAGCATCACGCGCATGCTTGGCATCATGCGGCACTCATTTATTATTGTCGTCGAGTGCAGAAAGTGCCAAGTAGCGAGTTGAGTGAAGAAGCAAGCATTGTTGCGGAACACATGCATGCTGTCGAAACTCTCAAAGCCACCTCACGGTCAGAGCAGGCAAGCCGCATGGCGCCTATTACATGGCCCGCCTTTATAGCGTCTTGTGATGCCATAGATAGGGACGTGTGGATGGACTGGTGGGAGAGGGTGAAGCATTATAAAATTGCAAACATTCCACGCCAGTATGACGTGGTAAGGGAACTATGGGAAATAATTGATGAAAAGACGCAGTCGGGTGATTGTTCCATCGACTGGATTACAGTGTATAAGGAGTTGGACATTACTCTGTTGCCAATATAACTAGATGAAGTTGAACAGAAATAGAAGGAATTGAACTTAATACCATGTGTTGAACCGAATGACTAGAACTTCTTAGTACATGCTTCACTAACATTACTTTTTCTTTCCCGGATGTCCCAACTTCAAAGGTCCTAAATATCGAAGCCTGATATACTTAACTTCAAAGCGATGTCCATTATAATTCAATATCAACACGCGTCAACTACTCTCAGGAGACATAGAGAGGCTAATATGCATTAATATACTTGTCCGTTTAGAACCTATGTATTAATGCTCGTCTGTTCGTTACACCTTGACTTTAGGGTAGGGTAATTACGTAGAGGAACAACAGTATATTCTAGCTTTCGGCGTAGATGAGCACCGCCATTTCGAAAAATAGCTTCCAACAGCATCATGGTGTTTGGAAGTACAGGCCTATTCAACGGCAATGTCTGGATGCCCCTTGAGCGACTTTAATAGCTTCCTGGAGACATTTGAAATCACCAGTATGTTTATACTTCATGGTAAGCTATCTCGCTAGAGCATCGATTTGGGATGCTTGACTGGTGGGTTGCTTTGACTTATCTCTTGCTTTTGGCTCAGCAAGATTGCTTCACCCAGATCAGGCAATCTTCTCGGTAGAGAAGAATATATCAGCTCTAGCTGTGACGCAAGGCCAGCCAACGATCAAATGTAGCAAAAATGAGTTTCTAGAGTAATTCATACTCATGGGAATCTTGAATAACACTGTGGATTTCACACATAGATCTAGTGCTGGCATAACGAGATTGAGGAAGCTTGCTCAAATTATGTAGATTTTTTGCCCTTTTCGGATGACTCGGTGAGTTTAGAATCATAGCTTCACGGCTATGTTATAGATTTTTCAAAATCTTTATGTGGTGGCCTTGATAGAATTGAATATTTAGACAGCTGCAAAGGGTATTGAACCGATAGAGACGGTCTTTGTGATCGTCCGTCGTTACGGTGATGGCCTTACGTAGAAGATCGACGGCCATGTCAATGTCAGATCCAAGCGCCGGGGAGTGCTCCGATGGGGGTGCTGCAACTTCAACGACAAATCCTGCGTAGCATCATGATGGTAGCTCAAGACGCTCTTTTGAAAGAGCCACGGCCGCTTTGATACCATGTTCGAGCCCCGGCGCCGAATGCTGACCATTCAAGCATTGTTTTCTCCTTACGCAATCACAAAATGACTCGAGATCGTTCATGAGATTGTGTAAAGATAGGAAGGTTAAAACCTTTTACAAATTATATGTCAACAACTATTTCTAAATCTCACGGACTACCGTTCGACTTTCTGATAAATGACAGAAAACACTATTATAATCTAACTAATTCTGACACATTCAAAGTGTCTTGCGATCCCCCTTTGAGACTGAAACTTCATCTACTATGACTATATCGTTCTGAGAAATAGGGAGGGTCTTCCACTATTTCGAGTCCATTTAGACAATCTATCATTGACTCAAGCCCCTGAGCCACTGCCATTTTCATTGCTTGATTATGTCGTCGCAAGGTGACCTTATACCCCTGTTCCAGAATGAATTGGAGCATAGGTACATCCTCTCTCTTGGTAATTTCTGTCAGAAGCTCACGAGGGGCGAAGTCTGTTTCAAATGTTATTTCGCGCTTAAGAACCTTCCTCATGATCTCTACACATCCAGCCCGGGTGCAAGCGGTAAGCACCTCGTCATCGTGATCCACATCCCGATCGAGTAGAAAATCGACAATGTCTTCATAGCATCCTCGACAGGCTCGATAGAGAGGATTCCCAAATCTGCCATGAGTACCAGCTCTGATCTTGGAACTGGAGCCGGCAACGTGACGTACCATGGCTAGATTGCCGTATCGAGCATATTGTGCGATCTGATTGCGTTGCCTCTTCTGCCTGTCAGGCTCTGTGTCGGTAGGATTAGCGAAACTATCGGTGATAAAATCGTATATGGCTGGCGTGCGAGAGAAGTATTGGTTGGAGAACATAACCCCAGACACGATGGGCTTGGAAATAGCTGGCGGATAAGGCCGTATACTTGGCGGAAAAAGCACATCGATGAATAAATGTAAGTTTCCATTAACCATAGCACCCCAGATGGCATCTTGCATGTTCTCATGGGCCCAGTCAAAATAGCTTTGGTCATCCGAAAATTCGAAGGGGGCTCTAGAGAGGATATGCCTTTGGAATAAATCTAGGATAGCGGAATTCCCGCGGAAAGCGGCGATCCATATTGGCGAAGGGAATAAGTCGCAGCGGTCGGTTGGACTGTTTCTGATTAGAATCCATTTATGTATATATAAAGGCTCAAAGAACTGGAATGCTGACCTGCAACCACTATCAGGCTGCTCTAGTAGGCTTTCGACAACTGTAGCCTGATCGAAATATGCAGCAGCGCATAGCAAATTGAGTTGGGGGTTTGATGGCGGCTCACGAGGTGGCTCAGGTACGTCCTCCACGGTGGAGGGGTGAATGCGCCAGAGATCAGTCTCTGGTTTTAACCACAGCCGTTTTTCACCAGGACGGTTTGTACCACGTTCCACCCCTAACCAGCATAGACCATTGACAATTTCCTCAAATGAAACTGGGCCGTCAATGCGATCGTATAAAGTCTCGGCAGCTTTGCGGATTTCAACAAAGCGTCCCACATCTGGATCTGCTTCGCTCAGGACGCGGGCGACAAGATACTGCTGCCAGAGCCTGCTGGATCCATACCGATCATTACGCATCCACCAGTGGCGACCTATGTGAGGGGCAGAGAGGTCATCGAGGATACGTGAGTCGTGGAGAGCCGGGGTAAAGCACTCGTTAAATCGCTCTGTAAATACAATTAGCTGGGTGATGAATCTAAGTTGGTTGATCCTCTTTGCTAAAGCTACTTACTACAGACCAGCCTCAATCTGAGGCCGCGCACCACGCCTCGGACAAGGATGCAATTGATAAGTAGAAGATGGATGAGTTCATTGGGTAGGCTTAAGATAGACATTTTGTCGGCAACAATCAGGGAGTAGCTGTTCATATGCGCTGGAGGAGGGGAAGAGTTGTTTGGCCGTAAAGAACTATGAGGTTGGGGGTGATTTCCTTTCGTTCATGGTACGGAACCGGGCCTTAAGACTGGTATTAATAGCTTCAGCCAACGGACTCCCGGTTAAATTCACCAGCCAGGTATAGTAGGATTCTCATCCCTGCATTGATTATGCTGAGCCCCACACCCTCCAAACCCTGACTACCTAACATGTCGTAGGTAGTTAGCGGCGAGAATCGCCAGGCAGGCAGCAGCGGCGGTGGATAAATCATCGCCCAGACAAAAGCATAGGGCCAATCATCCGCGTATCGTGAGACTCCTGATATGATGAAATCCAAGAAAGTGTATTCAAGCTCATTTGCTAACTATCATTTACCCAGTTTCGCCTCCATGATTACCTGACCATATTCGTTATAAGAAACAGAGACCTCAGTAACCTTCTTGCCGTCCATGTCATATTCTCTGAGTATTTTTTGAAGGCTACCCGTCAGCTCGTTTCCCATGAGAGTACCTTTTGTATTGACAGATGCCAGATCTTTGAAAACCTCTTTCTTACCGGCCTGGTCAGATGCTTTCACACCAAAAGGAATATCCAGCTTATGGTCTTTGTATGCATATTTGATGCCAGCCTTTGCTGCGCTATTCGTCACATCGTCATATCGTACCATCTCCAAATTTTTGGGGAGTTTGCCCTCTTTCTTCCAGACACTCATCATTAACTCGGACAACGACAATTTCCCAGGAGTATTATCATTGTTGTTTTGAGCATTTAAGACCGTAAATATGTTCTTTGCTGGGTCAACTTCAAAGTTATCGATCGGTTCTGGATTGTTGCCCTTGGCAGTGATTGTGTATATTTTTTTCCCCCCATCCATCACTGTTGAATAGGTGTATGGGATCTTGTCTAATTCCGGGATCGCCTTCTTTGTACCCCAGTACCCCAGTGTGCAAGTCAGCCATGGAAATCTAGAGAATGATCTAGTAGATAGGCTTAGAGTCATGATCCTACCGAAGCTGGACCAGGAGCTGGCGCTGTTCCTGGAGTTTTGGGCGCATCTTTCGCTGGCTCTTTTGTGGTAACCTTCTTTTGAGGGCTTTTAGATAACTATTAGCTTTCTTCAGGATAATAGTAGCGCTATACCGTCGGCCAAGTCACTTACGGGGGGGTTCCGCCACCTGCTGGAGACGCAGGCCGCTTGGTTCTCTTGTGAAGGTATCTGTATGAGACTTCTCGAGGATATTGTCCCTAGAACGAGTCAGTATTGACACAGGAATAAACGTGAACAGCTCTTCAAAGCCTATGTCCATGGAAGCCGATACTCCGTCCTCCATTTTCTCGGTAAAGGATTTATGATGCAGTTAGCTTACTTCATGGAAGCCAATACCCACTGGGGCGCATTCCGCAGGAAATATGTTGATGCCTAAAGCCAGAAAGGCCGTGACTATTTTGCGAGCGTTCAGAAGCATGGTGAGTATGAATATGTCGATGTAAATGATGTTGGCAAAGAAACGATAAGGAAGTAGAAACTGGGAGAGATGAACAGCTAGCAAATAAGAATAAAAAAAGAGAAAAAAATTTTCTATACCAGATAGAAAATAAGATGAAGGGAAATATAAGGAAAATACTCTGTTCCAGACAAGAGCGATGAAGAAGAATGAAGGTGAGGAATAATGGATGTTATTGTTGAAGACTTTCAAGAACTTATATTTCCATTCACCACATTTGATTTTTCTCTGTCCGCAAGGTGAGAATCCAGAGATAGCATCAGTCCTGGTGGATCCTAGGAGCGTCCACCAACAAACGGACCAGTTTGATTCCACCAACAGAAGGACTCTTCGTAGTTCAAAATGTACAGCAGAAAATAACGCATAATCTTAGCTAATTCCAAAGGTGGGCTCATTTCTTAGCCTGTTTGCCTATTATTAGACCCGATGGAGTTCATTATGTAGGTCTGAAGTAACCTGTTGGTTGTGTTAGATACAGGGGCAGTATACTATTCCAAGCACAATTTTAGACTAGCCCGAAAAAGTAATGCCATGTCCCATTTTATTCCAAGAGTAAGAAGCAGGATTGTATGCAGGTGGCTGCTGTTGGTCAGCTTGACGGTGGGGGGCTAGAGTACTACACAAAGTGCAGCTAACACGGTTTGCATTTCCTGCACCTAGTGAATGACCAAAAGATCCCTTCAGATAATACAATGTAGTAATGTATTGAGGGTGTCACTTGATAAAATGAGGCTGGCGGTAAATCCCGATCCAACATGCAGATATGTCACTGCTGAGTGACTCAAGTGACTCAGACGCAAGAACGATCCGTCTTTTTGCCTAAGCGTTGTTGTATCTTCTTTTTCTTCTATCGAGTTTTTTCGGCTCCTAATTCGGCCTTAATCTCAGCGACCAGGTCCATGTCTTCTTCAAGCAGAGCCGTTTGCTGCTTCGTACTCAGAGACATCTCCACTCAGTCGCCTCACCAAGTTCGTATATACTTCCATCTTGTCGGCTCCCTTTTGACGCTAGAAGCATATTGCTAAGCCTCCTTTTCGCATAAAAAGACCACCGTCCCAACACCAAAACCCGGGTTCTCTTCGACCCAGCCATGAAAGATCCATAGCACGGCGAATAGCCTTAATCCCCTTATGATACTGATTGACTCCTATCTGGATTGGGTTGAAGTCATCTGCGTACGGGTTAAGGCTTAGTGCCGAAAGTTTTTAGTGTGCCCTTTTATTGTCTCAGACAGCCAACAAATCGCTTCCGCTTCCACGGGTTGTTTATCTACTGGTGGCGATTGTTCTTGTTGTTCTGATTGCCCGAGTGATCACTGCCTTGACTGCCTACTTTACTGGACGCTTTTTCTGCCTCAATCGCCCCACCATAAAGCTACTGTATGGGGATTATAATCCGTTACCAAACAAGAAATAGAGCCAATGTGATGATAATATAAAGCTATATGCTCCGACTAAGGGCTCAGATCTCACCAAGAAGCCTCTGCTTTCGAGGGGACATCTTGGGTAAGAATGTGGACTGCCCTTATCTCGCCGAGGAATGGATGTAGAAAACTACGTCTTTTTAGCAGGTGTTGTGGTGATAATTAAATAGGATAAATCGAAGCGCTTTGTTCGAGGCTGAGGGCCAAATGATTAGGGGGGCACGTGTACACATCTCTACTTTGTTTCTTTTCTTAACGAACTGGCCTATTGAAGTGCCGATGACCCCGTGGCCTTCACCACCTTTCCTTCTCAAGTCATCTGCCCAGAGCTTAACCGGCGTAGTAAGAGGCTTCTTCTCATCGAAGGTATCCGATGAGTACGCGTGAAGGTGGCACCTCGTTTGGCCTGACAAAGCTACTACATCACTGAGAAAGGAAAGAAGGGCCTGCGAAAGTTATGGTAAAGGAATGTGTGGCTTTGTAATCGTTATGTAAACTCACAAAGATCTACCTCATTCAATTTGATTGTTACCACATATTCACCCCCGGGAGCTGTTTCAATTAGTCGCTCATAGATCAGGTATATGGAAAAGTCTGTTTCTATGTGTATTGACTCCACGAAACATTAGCCTTGACCGATGTAGAGGGCGGATGTTCATCCGATTTGAGTCGGGCCATCGGAGAAGATAACGCCAGTAAGCCCTGAACCTGGAACTGTTAAACTCGGGGCGTTCTCGACTCCCAGAAGTCCGCGATCACCCTAACGGAGTTGTAGTACAATCTGTCGAATGGGGGAAGATTGGCCCACTCCATTTCATTAACCCAATCTTCATCTACTTGGGTATCCTCTACTCCCACTAGCTGCTCCTCTGCTCCAATGTCTCCATCGAGCCGATGAGGTTGAGCTTCGCTTAATTCGTCGGATGGGAGATCTTGCTCCGCAGGCTCAACTTGGTGATTAACAAAATCTATTAGGTTGACGTTCTGAATTAACTTAGTAATCGATCGGATGTCTCTGAGTAGGATTTTGTTTTCAGGGAGAAAAAAATATCATCTGGGCAATAGAAGGTCGTAAACTGTCCTCATGCCTTGACATATTTTTTAATCTCCGCCAGCATGGTTACAGTTAACGTGGCTTTGGCAGTTCACAATGAAGTGAGTGGCCTAAAAGAAGTGTATGGGGCACAAACAATGATGAAGTGAGAGTTCTGCATTTTCTGCAGAGAAGTAGGCTTTGTTAATGGAAGCTCAGATTCTTAATTGAAATTTGGGTTCTGAAAATTTGCCGTTACGCACCGACTGAAATGTCACACTGACTAGATCCGCGTTTCAACACGACTGTTTGAAACTTATGGTAATGTCGAACGGATTGTAACTGGCATCGCGGCTTAAAACCGAAAGAACTAGGAAATAAAAAAAGAAGTATATCATGTTTGATTAAAGATTTAAGTAAACAAATCCTTCAGCCTATAAAAGAAAGGGATTTTAGTCCTATAGAAGGTTTTCCTTCAGGAAGGTTCAGGAAAAAAAGTACGAAATGTGAAGGAAAACGGTGTGATTTCATGCCTAGCTAGATAGCCTAGTTCGAACGAAGAAGCGAATAAAAAATTTCAATCTCAATCTTAAATTAACAAATTCTTTTTCCAGATGCAGGCAAATCCCCCAACTTTATTATCCGGCGAAAGTTGAGTATTTCTCAGGACCCTGAGGTTCACGAAGCGCCGGGATTGGACATCTTTAGCCGACTATGTGCGCGCGCAAAATCTATGTGATACTTGGCCTTCCTACTAGCCTTAGGATTGAAACAGTATCCTCGCCTATTGAGAGTCTTCTTGTTTCTCGGGTAAATTGTATGATACTTCAGTTCACAGTATTAGAAAATCAACAAAATCCTACGGGCTTAGATATGATTACGAATAAAACTCTCCCCGGCCTCGTTTCGTGACTAAATTAAAATATCCAGCGAGAAAGGTGATCCCAACATCTATAGGGAACATCTATAAAGCTTTCAGTGTCCCGCTCATCCACGCAGGGATGGAGGAAGCAGTTGTTCCCGTCGTATGCATATGCATCCAGCCTTTTGCCTTGATCAGCTGCGTGCCATCGACTAATTATTCGTACCTTGCATTGTTCAGGACCTCCGAAAGAGGAGCTCAATAGCGAATATGATTTTCCATATTTGTTATCAGCCACCTCAAAGGTCTTGGAGAGCTCTTCTGTAAGAAACTTGTCATAGTCTATCAATTTCCAAACCCATCCTGATGCTTTATTGGCATCAGTTAGCATATCCTCTAGGGATGGGAAAACCAGCCTCCGGCTTGTGTATGGCGTCAAGCCCACCACCCAACATAACCAGCCTCGCCAGGAGCTCATTGGGTGAGGCGGTAATATCCACGAGTTTGGGCTTCGGAGACTATGCGCAGTCTCTTGAATATGTTGGCGCTGCGAGTTGACATCCTTCACGATAAGTAAAGCAATAACGACCCGCTCTATTTGATCCTCGAGCCTTGTCAGAGCAATCTCTCGTAGAAAGAGGAGCGTTTTTTTCAACCGAGCTAGACGGCACTCAATACGGATGCGATAATGCTCGTTCCATGCCTTTTCATGTACTTGCTCGGCCATCTTCGTTGTGTCGAAGTAGAAGAGCACGTCCTCCATGTGCTGAATCAGCCCCCTGGTAACTCTCTTTAGCTCTTCCAAGTGTGATTTGAATACTAAAAGATAGGTTTCTGGATCTTCTGAAACTGTTGGTGACATGTGTTGACTGGCGTCGGTTGCTAATTTTAACATGTCTTGGGCAGTTAAGTTTTGTACCTGAGCTGATGCGAAGTCGACTGTGGAGGGGATAAAAATATCACACGATTCGAATGCGTCAACAGGGTCGGATGAATTGTGTCTCTTCAAGCATTCGATTCGGGGCATGTCTGAGTTTGGAATCGCACTTCCGTTGGCACTTAACCATATCCCGTGTTCCTCCCGGAGATTTAATGTGAAATCGAGGTCCAATTCGACGACAAACAACATACCTCGAGCACCGGCATGCAATATCCCCCAATTCAATCGGTGCTCTGATGGCTGTAGCCAATACTCCACTGCGGTACTGATTGTTTTGTTCAGGTCATATAGAAGCGAATTAAAACGTATTGTTTGGGTGTCGCAGGTTACAGATTGACTGACAGAGCACCATGGAATCGCCTCGTCCATTTGCAGGCTACCATCAGTAGAAGACTCGCTGAACTGGGAATCGCTCATCCTGTCGGTACTTTTGCTGTTGGCAAGCCAGCTCTCAGAATTGACAACCCCTGTGAAGAGATCGGAAGTGGATGCGTTCTTCGCGAGCCAGGCCAGATCGTCGGCCATGATTTCAAGCACCTTCACCAAGTCTTCATGGAAATTGACCCATGGTACCATATCGAATTGAGTCTCCGTGTAATTATGCTCGGTGCTGTTGAGCAAGTATCGCCTTGCAACGGGTGAGAAGAGCCATGGACTGCCGGCAGGAATTAATGATGAATGTCGATGATAGCGAGCATATTCCAATATCGACTGATGAATAGGGAGACGAAAGGACTTGTGCGCTGCAAGGAGAGGCTGAAGGTCGTGGTAGGTTAAGATATGCGAAAGGACCGATTGTGTGATGGCGGCGTTGAGGAGATCATTGAGTAGCGAAATTTCATGATATGCCCCCCGTGGGAGCCGCTGGCCCATGAATAGGACAATCCGGGCAAAAGTCGCGATGAAGAAGCATACGCAACCCATTCTAGAAGTTTTTCTCCAAAGTGTCCGGTGATATAAAGTGTCCGACGCTGGTTCGACGTGTAACTGGTCGTTCGATGAAGATTCTGCTTCTGGAACATCTTGAGCTGTTGGCATTGCTAATTCCTGAAGTGGATGCTCTGGGGATTCTAGCAAGGCTGAGGCGGCCTGGGATGTAGTGGCCTTGCGCCGGGCTGCGATACGCGCGGAGCGCCTCGGTTGAGTAGAGGCCATGGCAATTTCTTGACGTGATTGAGCTGCAATAGCCGACCATCGACGGGTGGGAGGCACGACAGCAGAATTGTTCTGGAAGGGCTTGGAGTGCGTCTCTTCTTCTCGTGGTACACAAACCGAAAAGATTTTCTCGCCCAAGATGAAAAGGACGGTGACACCGAACTAGGTAGGTTGAGAATTCAAACACCGTGGTATGTATTAATATTATCCTTTGTGCTTCTAGAGCCTGACCCCTTGCAGATGCGCACACGCCATGGTCAAAAGTAGACCATCTCATTGTTGAACGCAAGCCACGGGAAGCTAATAGATGTGATTTGGTTTATGATGAAATGTCACTTGCCGATTTTGAGGCAAGCTTACTTGTTGAATTGGATATCGAACCTCTCAAGCCTAAAGAGCGAATATATGTCCACACCTAGTTGATAAAGCATTAATGATGCAACGATGGCGAGATCATGATTCTGATAGTAACGTCAGCCAGGATAGCCATGCTGTGTATTTGAATTGAACTTACTGGAGCATAGGGGGCTTGTACGTCGAGCTTGCTTTGGGTTTTTACTCTTGTGGAAGCTCCCATCAAAAGGTCCGTCTACCTCTCTGACTGATTGATATCAAAATTAACTGAGCTGACAGTGAACGCTTTCATTTTTTTATTTTCTTCTCTTCAACTATGTTATGGCGCTATGATGTGTCGGCATACAAGATTCGTATTCAGATTCTGAAAGCCTAAGCAAATGGATTCGATATGGAGCTATCTGCATCGTCTATAGCATGCACTTGAATAGGTGGCCTCTTGATGTGATGGTCTAAATACCTTCGTGATGTGGTGGACTAGTATTTCGCAGCGTGGGTCAACTATGTCGGGAAAGTGGCCCAGATGGTCCTTTTTCATTAATCCGATTTCCGATGGTATGTTCCATTCCCAACAGCCCTGCAAACGAACAGTAGCTTAATGGGGCCGATGGTGTGCTAGAGGCCGGTATAAGAGGCACACTAGGCCAAGCATTACTCCGAAGTCTTCTCGAGGCTTTCATATAATAGCCACCGGTACACTACCATTTCGCCAGTGCTCATACATCCGTTGCTGCCGTGAAATTACACGCAGAAAATTATAAGCATGCATTTGGGAATCAACGATGTGCATCCTTTCTGCCAAATCGAGCTCAAGGACAGAGCTTCTATGCAAGATCTGTTAAGGGCTGTTCTCGACCCCTTGGAGCCTTTTTTCTCCAAGCACAAGGCGCGGGTCAACTGTCCAGGTAACACTGCAGTTCGATTTGATCAAAGCGCTTCTGAACTCGAAGGCTTCGCGCGTCCCCTGTGGGGTTTGGCCTTCCTGCTTGGCGGCCATGGCGAATATCACGGCACAGACTGGTGGATCCAGGGTTACAAGTCTGGAACCGACCCAAATCACCCAGAGTATTGGGGCTATCCGAGGGAAAATGACCAACGTATGGTGGAGATGTGCCCTCTTGGTATGTGCTCAAGTCTGTTGGCTTCCGTCATTGTACTGATCTTGGGGCCGCAGGCTTTGCCCTAGCCGAGACGAATGTTATCTGGGACAACCTCTCCCAGAAAGAGAGGGAGAATGTGGAAGCCTGGCTGGGGAATTCAATCAACGAAAAAAAGTACGATGATCCCTTTGACTCCTGCTTCTGCCCAGCAGCTGACAGCCAACAGTATGCCAAATACCAACTGGCTGTGGTTCCGCGTTTTCGCGAACCTAGGGCTGAAGAAGAACGGCGGCAAGTTCTCGCAGGACAGGATTGATAGTGATATCAAGCACCTAGATTCCTTCTATCGTGGCGATGGCTGGTCCAATGATGGACCAGAGGGAATTCATCGTACGCCATCCACAGTACTCAAATAGATGCCAGGGCTAACTAGATGCAGAAATGGACTATTACTCTTCCAGTTTCGCTATCCAATTCCTACAGCTTCTATACGCCAAGCTTGCCGGCGATGAAGACCCTAAGCGAGCTGCAGAGTTCAAGAAGCGAGCACAGATAGCAGCTCTAGACCTTGTACATTATTACGACAACGAAGGTAGAGCTATCCCGTATGGCCGCAGCATGGGCTACCGCTTCGCTACAATATCGTTCTGGGGCGCCTTGGCCTATGCGAATGTCGAACTACCAGCTCCCCTGACTTGGGGTATGGTCAAGGGCATTGTCATGCGCCATTTACGCTGGTGGCAGAGCCAACACGCAATATGGACGGCAAGCGGGACCCTTTCCCTAGGTTATTCCTACCCTAACATGTACATAACGGAGAATTACAACAGCCCGGGGAGCCCCTATTGGGCATGCTTGGCCTTTGTATGTCTTGCTGTTCCTGAGACTCACCCGTTCTGGACTTCCAAGGAAGAGTCTTTGAGGGATGTTATCCCCAAGATCAAAGCCCTGAAGCACCCGGGCCACATCACTAGCTATCTTGGAAGGCACTGTATGTTGCTATCGTCGGGACAAGCATGTGGCTATCCGATGAAAGGCACCCACGCCAAGTACGGGGCATTCGCTTATAGCAGCGCTTATACATTCTCCGTGCCCACGGGGCTCTTTTCACTCGAGCAATATGCGCTAGCTTCACAATTAGGTCTGTCTGACGATGGTGGCGAGTACTGGAAAACACGGAGGACAAGTGAATATGCTGCACTCGAGTATCGGGGGGACACGCCAATCCTTGTCTCTATCTGGCGACCGTTCCCAGACGTCACAATCAAGACGATCCTAATCCCCCCTACGGAAAGTGCCCCTAACTGGCATCTGAGAGTTCATAAGATTAAAGCCGGGCGGGAAATCATGACTGCAGATGGTTCCTTTGCAATTTGCAATATCAATTCCAAGAACGGGCGGTATCTGGACCTCTATGACCCGTCTATATGCGAAGAAACACATCCAAAAATCATTGGAAACTACGATCTATCAACGGCGGAGGGCTGGGCTGATGGAAAATCAGGAGCTTTTGCTGTATCAAAGGGCGCAGTCGGTATTAAAGCGCTTGAGACGCAGGATGGGCGAATGGCTAACTTAGTCAACGCGGACCCAAACTCAAACCTGGCAGAGAGCCGGACGGTAATCCCCACACTCCAGCACACGGTGAGGAGAGGGGAGACTGTATTGTACATTACAGGAGTTTACGCTAAACCGACAGGGCCCAGAGAGGCATTCCTCGACGGGTGGGAGAGTCCGCCAGCAGTACCGCGATGGTTGGAGGCTGAGATGAACTGAATCGTTGGTTGGCCGGTAGACGTGGCTATCTCGTAATTCTCGTCTAGTAGTTAGAGACATGCTTTTACAAATACTTCAGCTGGCCATTCGTGATGCCGCGAGGGACTATCGCCTCTGAACTAGTGGCGTTTCTCTTGCAACCCCTTGACGAGCGAGTATGATTCGTGGAAGACAATTGCCCGGCACAGGATACTCACACAGGCGTGTTATAATCCACCAATCCACAATCATTAGTCGTCCATATGTTTAGGTACACTATAAAGGCGTGATGTCAGTTGCGGCTCTCTCGACCGGCCTCCCCAACCCCAACCCCAGCATCTCCACAGCTCGCAGCCTATCAGCATAGACACTGACTCGGTCCCCTCGTCTCCGCAATCCTAGCGGTTCTCGGAGGCGCATTAATTAAAAGGACGACTTTCCCCGAGCTTCATCTCTCCGCAGATCCATCCTGCTGAACGCTCCCACGCCACGCGTTGCATCGGCCAGGCAATCTTAGGTGGCAGGCCTCCATTGACCGGGCAAAAGATGGCGACTCCGCCGGCGACTGATATTCCGACATGTCCTTCGGCTCCATCCTGTCACAACTGCCGCCGAAGGAAACTGAGATGCTCTCGAGAGAAGCCGTCGTGTTCCAATTGCGAACGGCAAAGTATGCGCCCAAACGTTCCCTGTCTACCCTGTTCTCCAATTCACATGAACATTACAAGATATCCTGTGCGCGTACGATGCGAGAAAGGGCAAACCTGGGCTCAAGACTGGGGTCGTTGAAAGCCTGACGAGGCGAGTGGGTATGTGTTCTTTTGTGTAGGGCATTCTCGCATCAGCCCTCTTCCTCGGACAGTTGAGCAAGTATTGATGAGTAATTACGTAGAGGCTCTCGAAAGTGCTTCCGTTACAGTACGACAGGTCGATGATGCAAATCCAATTCATGAGTTTACCGGTGTCGACGGCCAAACCCAAACCCACCTAGTGGGAAGTCTTGGTGCACTGACGACCGCGATCCAAACATTGTCCAACAAGATCGAGTCTCTCGACAATGCTCCTTTAGCGAATAATAGAACATCGACATTGACGGCGTCCAAAAGGTATGCCACTGGGGAAGATGACGAGAACGCATCAGATAGACAACCCAAGCGAATAAGAGTCCAAGATGATCATCAAGCATCTCCCCCAATTTCATCTCAAGACTTTTCTCCCTCCGCCGTGTGTGAGTCTTCAGCACATCTACCAATCGAGCTCATCAACGACGTGGTTCTCCTCTACTTTATCCGGGTACATAACTGGATCCCGATTTTGCACTGGAAACACTTCAAACAAAAAATCCACCAAGAAGGGGGGCGCGAGCAGTATACTGTGATACTGGACGCAATGGTCATCTCGACCTTGAAATTTGTGGCGCGAGAGAAGTACAATCTTTCTAGTGATGATGTCCAACGCATCTCGTCAAAGTGTCGGGAGTCTCTGCTTTTGAAGGCAATGCAGTCTCTATCTGTTGAGAACCTGCAAGCCTTGGTGATCCTAGTCTTTACAGATGTGAGCTCCCCGCTGCCTCCTTCAAAAATAAGCTCCTCTAAACTTTTGGCGTAACTTTATTGCTTTTCGATCAAATGCTGACATCGGGCGGCTAGATTGGAGACGGGTCCGCATCCAAAGCTTGGCCGATTATAGGATCCCTTTCCAGAAGTGTCGAATATCTCCAACTGAGCATCGAAGAAGACGAAGCACGATCACGACGAGTATTTACACCTCATTCGATACTCTCGGCGTCTTCCTGCTGGATAGAAGAAGAGGAGAGGCGCAGGCTGTTTTGGGTCATCTTCAATCTTGACAGGTAATCTGGATGCAGCAAAATTCTTAAATTTGTACGATGAACGCTGACACTGTAGCTGAAAGGTTCTGCTCAATTACTACCGGGTATGGCTCGCCTAGTATATTTGTTCCAATATGCCAACCTTCGATGGATTACTAACAGTTGCTCTAGTTGGAATACAAGTCTGACGGCCGATGATGTCTCTCGCAGGTTGCCCGCCGATGGCACTTGCTTTTACATGGAAACACCTGTCTCGACCCCATTCTTTGGCATCTGGGACAAGTCGGCAGCGAGCATGAGCAATTCTGTTGCCTTCTTGCCTGCCATAGGATCAGCAACAGCCACACGAGACAGTAATAATGCCAGTTCCACCGGCCCTGAAGACGTCAACAACAATGGCGGCTCAAAGATGCCCGCAGACTTAAAATACATAGGTGGGCTCGCGTACCTGATTGAAGCTACGGAGTCGTTGAACCGAATAGCCACTTGCTTTCTTCACCAAAACGTCAACTTTGGCGACCAGCGCGAAATCGCGGCTTGGTTAACGAGGTTCAAGGAACTAGATCTTCGCCTAGTGCAGTAAGAAGTCCTCCCCCAACTCCTTAGGCTACCTCCCCATATCACAACCTCGTAGTGCCGAGAGAACTGTTCATGTCACTAACTCGCTCTGCGACGCATTCAGTTGGAAGATATTCCTCCCCACTCGATGGAAAGACCCAAACCGCGTTCCCAACACCTCTACGGGCCCCAAGTACCACGACCACGGCATGACCCTCGCACACATAACACACAACACCTCAATAATCATCTTGCACTCTCTCATTGCATACTCTGTCCCCCGATGGTACAATCTTGTTCAGCTGCCCAGCTCCTCCAGCGCAGAGACCTGCCGGCTAGCTGCCATCGAGACAACGAGTATCGTAGGAAAGTATCTAAGCTTTTGCCCGGAGGGGCTCATAGTTGCCCCTCAACTTACTTTCTGCGTCTTTATCAGCGGAAAAGCGTTGCTAGGCAAGAACCATTCCTATTGCTCAAATATCTTTGTAATTTTACTAACAAAGTTAACAGCCCATAGCCACTACTACAACGTGCTTCTTGCAGACGAGTTTTGGCACATCATCAAAATCTTAGAGCAGATGGCGCGACGTTGGGCAGGGCTCGTGCGTTACGAACCAAAGTCTTGCCATAATCTGGCTGGAATGTACGCAGAACGGCTGCGTATGCTTCAATCACGATGCGAAAAGGATCCAAGTTTCAGATTAGACGTGCTGGATTATTCCAGTGACTTATTTTCTACCGACACACGAGTGGATGCCAATCCCGTTCCTTTTGATAATGGGCTTGAAAATGGTGATCAAACTAGAAGACGTCCGGCCGGCCAGCGCTCAGGGTCACTTGAAGGGAGAGAGGGAGCTAGGACCCCAGAGCGACTTGCTGTCAATTGGAATGATCAGCCTTTTTTCATGGACTCGCCAGAGCCGGTGCCGTGTGACAGCTCGAGTGTCCCGCCACGCACCATCCTCGCACCCACGGCAGAAGCGCAGACCGAGAAGCAGAATACGTCCCGTGATATAGATAGCGGCCAGGTTGCCATCTCGCAAGCCTTTATGGATCAAAGTTTTGCAGCCTTGGATCGAGTGATCGGTCTTGGGGACTCGCTTATGGGGGATAATTATATGGCTGAGCAACTGTTCACGATGCCATTGGAGGACTGGAGTCCTGAGAATATCCACGGTGCAAATGTCAGTGGAGGCGATAATTGATGTATAGGTGCTTATGCGTTGATCACACAGACTATTCTGAGCAAACATCTCTTGTATCTCTTTGGGCTTTGATTCGTAGGTGTTGCTCTGCTCATAGAGATTCATCTAATCAGCAAGTAGTTCGAGGAGATGAATTTAGAATATGCCAGTTATATTGACGAGCCTGCGAGAAGCGTGATTGCCAAGGCCATTATCCGTTCAACGAGCAAAAAAGTAATTGATTTCTACCTGGCAATAGAGGTTATAGCTAGATAGCTTCGATTTCTCATTACAACTAACACCTCTTTAGCGAGTTTAGGGTAAGTAACATCTTCGTTGGACTTAGCACGGATGAGAAACTCTTCAGTGCAGCTTCAATAGTTTAATAGATGCTTAAATATCAATATTAGACTCATTAATCGTTCAATTAGTAAAAGTGGAAGGCACTCAGATATATTACTGATACAAAAAAGGCCGATGTACTAACCTCCATTTCATTTCCGACTCATACCAACAGTAATAATGTGAAATGGAACACCTGAATATCATCCGATCAAAGAAGGAGGGTTTTTCCTAAGAACCTAATTGGACGTAGGAGATGTTTTTATATTACACATGATTTCCAAGGCTACTGCTATTCATTTCCTTTTGCATATTGAGGCAACGGTGATAGCCCAGCACGACCGACGGTCTCTATCGTGCCATAGGTGGACATAGGGGCTATTATTAGAGATGAGTAGCAAGGAAACTCGAAAGCCCGGGTTAGCAGTTGCACTCAATTTAAACTATGTTAAAACTACATTCCAAGAAGCTCTCTGATTTAGTAGATACAAGTAGATCATGTACTAAGAGAGTTTTAGAGTATAGCACCTCGGAGATAGGACGGCCGTCCGATGAGCATGTAACACCATAAGGATGTTGATCTTAGTAAATGTAGCGGAAGTTGACATTTTCCTAGTTCAAGCTGGTCAGTGAGCAAGTCCAAATTGCGAAATCAAAGTTCTGCCTTACCTTGTCCGTGATATCCTCAAAACTGTGGACCAAGTCGTCGTCAGCAACAGCTCTTCCATCCGCAATCTTTTGGTCGCGTTTCTTGTTCTGGAAAACGTAGTAGGTGCGCAAGGCCAGGAGAGTAATAACCAACACAATCCAACAAGCCATCTGCACTGAAAAAGCCGTGAAGTAGCGAGGTGCATCAGTTGCGCGGAACACTTGAGGTCCAGCCGAGTTGCCCGCTGCCCAAAATACAAAGGTTGTGGCGATGACGGTTGCCTTTTTCGTCTGCCCAGCAATGTTGCGGGAAATGAGAGAAAGAAGGAGTCCGACGGCAACATAAAACGACCAGATGCAATAGTAGGCGATGAGCAACCCTATGCGGGTATCCGTGGACCAAGGCACAGTGAGGAAGACAACCGTCCCTGCGATGGCAGGAAGAGTACCACCAATCATGATCAACGTCACCTGCTTGAACTTTCTTTCCAAGTAGATGGAAGAAATCATAACGATGATTTGAACTGCTCCAGGGCCCATCGCCAAGAGCTGGGTTTGAATAAGACTAAAACCGAAGCTGTTGATTAGGATCGCGGAAAAGGCACTTAGGCCGCCGGAAGGAATCGTCGTGCAGATCTGAAGAATGCAGAAGGCATAAGCTATGTCTCATATTAGTTACTGAAATATATGTGGTACAAATAAAATGAGAAAAGGTCTTACTCTGAGGATCCTTGAATGCTTCCCAGACCTGCTCCCTTCTGAAGATACGGTTCTGTACACCGGTTTGATTCTTCCGAACGCGTTCGATCATAAGAGCCTTGTCTTCCTCGGAGAAGCACTTGGCCTTCGTTTGGGAGTCGGGCATCCAGTAGAGAACAAACAGCCCCCACAGAACAGTCAAAGCGCCATAAGCCGTGTACAGAGCTTGCCAAGATTTGATGGGCGACCAGGAGGGGATATTAGAGAACCCATACCCCAATAGGCCACCAATAATCTGCTGGAGACCAGCCATGACAAGCCTAGGTTTGCGAGTGTCAGGTATAATTATTCGCGATTCCCGTGGTAACGGCCAGGTTTCTTCAGCGTCTACTCACCAAAGGATCGTAACTGCAGCTTGTTCCTCTCTTTTAAACCAAGTCGCTGACAACACGATAAATACGGGCTGGCAACATGCCTCTAGAGCCCCCAAGACGGTCCGCGCGATGAGTATACCAGCAAAGTCCTTGCATATGGCGTGAAGTGCGAGCGTGATGCCCCAGAGAATGATGTTCGCCGAGAGATATTTTGCAATCGGGGCTCTCTGAATAATCCAGTTCGTAGGAAACTCGACAACCACGATGGCAAGGTAGATACATGTTGTCAGCCAGCTGTACTGATGATTTTGTTAGCCAGAAGTCAACATTTAGATTGAACAGATACTTACCTGCTGTCCGACCAGGTGCAGGTCGTCACGAATACCCATGACAGCGACGAAAGAGATAGTTCCCTTGTCGAGGGCTTGGAGAAAGTATGTGCCGATCATGATAGAAAGAACTCTCTTGTTAATCAAGCCCCTAAGTCGTTTATCCTCAGCTTCGCTTATCTCTACAGCCCTTTCAAAAGCGTATTTTGCGACTTCTGGGTCAACTCGACTGTGGTCCATGCCCTTCTGGACATCGTCTCGGGACATTTTGCCCTCCAGATGGACCACGTCTTCAAGAGCTCCAAGAGACTTGGTGTCCTCAGTCTTGTCGGGAACTGAAACGCCCTCCGTCTTTGACAATACCATTGCTTCTGTTCTTGCGTGTACTGAGACAAAGTGATGAATGGGTTTCGTATGGTGAGGTACGATGGAGTAACAGGAGCACAGGGAGAGCCTCGTTGGGGACCTGGCTTAAATAAGTTTTCATGCACCGACAAGAAATAATCGAAGGCTCCCCAGATATGGGATGATTCTTGTGTGGGGAAAGGACAGCCGCGTGACTCAGGTGTCAATGGCTTGGAGATCAGTAGTTGCCAGGTCTCGACATTACACGGAGAAGATGAGCCCCCGGGTTTCTCCACAAGTTGATATGGGGCGAAAGGATGGCCGGGGCCCCAGGCCCTCCTCATTTTTCCAGGTATGTCGGCCGTGGAGGAGACTAACTGGTCCCTGCCTCAATCTTGTGGGTGTGAGGCTGAGGACTAGGTTGGTTTCGTGGCTTAATACTATCCCGCATCTTGTCCGAGTCCCGACCATTAATCCGAACTTACCCGTCTTCCGGAAACACTCTGAAGACGCGAACTACGGAATAATGCTTTTCAAGTAGTCTTTAAATACGCTCTTTCTTATGATAGAGACGAAATATCGGTAATAAGCTACTCTTTCGTTCTACCTCACAAACCCCGACAATACCGTGGCAACCCTTCTCCCACGGCCCACCATGTTCGAGTCTCCATTTGTGGTCACGCATCCTGTAACAGGGGGTCTGGATCTTGTTAACTGCCCTATTGTTGTTGACCAGAATGACTTCGAAGGTGTCAAAATTGCCGTACGGACATTGTCCGAAGACTTTAGCAAAGTCACCAGAGGCAAGCCGAATCCTGTAGTCCAGCCAGGCTCCTTCACAGGAAGCACCGCGATCATCATAGGCAGCATAGCCAATTCATCCATAATCAAAACGCTGATTGAAGAGAAAAAGCTGGATGTCTCTGCTATCAAGGACCAATGGGAATGTTACGCGACCCAGCTAGTCAGCAATCCTTTGGAGGGTTGCAAGCAAGCCTTGGTCATTGTCGGAAGCGACAAGAGAGGCACCATATTCGGCACTTACACCCTTTCACAGCAGATCGGAGTCTCTCCGTAAGTAATCATATCAGGATATCCCGGCATTCACTCCGTGACAGGCGCTTATAATATTTATAAAGATTCTATTTTTGGTCGGACGTGCCCGTTAAAAAAGCTGGCGATCTCTACGCACTGGACACAACAACACGCGATGGCCCTCCTACAGTCAAGTATAGAGGACTTTTCATTAATGACGAGTCACCATGTCTGACCGAATGGGTCAAAGAAAAGATTGGCCCCAAGTATAACGTAGAGTTTTACAAAAAGGTCTTCGAGCTTCTATTGAGACTGAAGGTAAGTGAACTGTGTCTTCCTTTTCCTTCCTCTGATCGAACTATGTTTATTGCATCAGGATGAATCTCAATCTTACAATTGATACAGGCCAACTTTCTGTGGCCCGCCATGTGGAATCATCCAGGCCAGAGCTTCTTTGTTGATGACGCTTTAAATCAAAAGACTGCAGACGAATATGGAATTGTCATGTCGACTTCTCACCACGAGCCCATGCAGCGCGCCATGAATGAATGGTTTCGAGAGCCTTACAATGAGCCCGAAGGTAGCTGGTCTTGGCTTACAAACAAACACAAGATAACGAAGTACTTCCAGGAGGGTGCGGAGCGGGCCAAACCGTTTGAAAGTGTGTTGACCCTTGGAATGAGAGGTAAAGGCGACCATGTTATTGATGCCAAGGATGTCACTTCAACTCTTCATGACATTCTCCATACTCAGAGGTCGATCATTAAAGATGTGTATGGGAGCGAGACGGGCGAGAACCGTAAGCGATCCCAAACTCATTAATGGCATATAGACTAACATAGAGCAGAGGTTCTCGCCTTATACAAAGAAGTGCTCACACAGTATGATCAGGGCCTCGAAATTCCGGACGATGTCACTCTACTCTTTGCAGATGACAACCAAGGAAGTATTCGTCGGGTGCTCGTTGGAGATGAGAAACGTCGATCGGGAGGAGCTGGGGTGCGTATTCCTTTTGGGCTCTGGCAAAGCTTCCCATCATGCTGATGTTTCGCAGATATATTATCACTTCGAGTTTGTCGGCCACCCACGCAGTTACAAGTGGCTTAACAGCAATCACTTGCCCAAAGCGTGGCAACAGCTTGATGAAGCATACAACAATGGCGTCGACCGTATTTGGATATTCAACGTTGGCGATATTAAGCCAATGGAGGTTCCTTTGAGCTTTGCCATGATGAAAGCTTGGAACACCCATGCCTTGACGCCTTCTCAGCTCCCAGTCTTTTTTGACGCATTCATCGACAACACTTTCTCTCTCAGCGCTGCGGATGCCAAAGAATGCTCGCAACTCTTGTTCGAATATGATCAACTGATGGGTCTCGGAAAACACGAGTGTATTGAGGATGACACATTCTCTGTCATCTATTACGACGAGGCGGACACTGTCCTACGACGATGGTCTGATTTACTGGGTAGATCAACTCTCATCTATGAGAAGGCACCGCCTGATGTGAAGCCTGCTATCTACCAACTAATTCACCACCCAATCAAAGCAACACAGATCTACATCGCCCTGAGGGTGGCACTAGGGAAGAACAAACGTTTCGCAGAACAGCGTCGAACAATTGCCAACAAATATGCCCAGGAAGTTCTTCGCCTCTTCCAAGCAGACTTTGACTTGTCCAACGAATACCACGAAATGCTTGATGGGAAGTGGAATCACATCATGGATCAACCTCATTACGGCTGTCGATGGGACGAAGACATCGCTCCATTCCGTGATATGATTCCGGGATTATGCTACGTTCAAAGCCGTCAAAAAGCAAGTCCCATTATGGGCAGCTTTGGTATTGCTGTCGACGGGCATGCTGGCTACCGGACCGGTCTTTGCTGTGAGGAACACGATCTCCTCCAGCCATCCCGAGGCAACAGGGTACCATCAGTGACGACAGCGCCGTTGGAACCTCTAGGAGCACGATCAAGATGGTTTGAGATTTACTCTCATAGTTCGGAGTCGTTCCATTGGTCAGTCAAGTCGGACACAGAATGGTTAAGCATGTCGGTATCATCAGGCTACCTGACACCCGAAGATTCCGCTACCCGTATCCACGTTTTCGTGGACTGGGCATCAGTTCCTGAGTCTTTTGATGGCGAGGCTCTCCTCGAAGTTCGATCTGACACGGGATCGATTGAAGTTGTCCATGTGCCGATCAAGAAGCGCGACACTCCTGTAGGCTTCACGGGCTTTGTCGAGAGCGATCACCTCGTCTCTATGAACGCGACAAATTTCGATACCTCAAGCATCGCCCAAAGCTCTTACAAGATCAACCCGTTGATAGGTCGCACAGGGGCCGGTGGAGTCTTGCTGGCAGCCCGTGCTGATGATGTCGACACCCTCGATTTTCTTCTTTATCCATTTTTCAACTACACGCCGGTGACGGAAGCGACAGTAACTCTTTACTTTACGATGACATTCAATACCGAGCCAACAAATCCTATCAAGTATGACATCTGCATGGATGATCTCCCTCACTCAACTTTTCGCCTGGTTCCGGATGCGCCAAACCCAGGTACAATGCCTCCTGGTGACTTGCCGGTAGGTTGGATGGAGAAATGCCCCAGACTAGTGTGGACGAGGAAGCATACCATTGATCTCACGAAGACCGGTGCCCATGTTCTGAAGATACGCCTTAGACATACAAACTGTGTCCTAGAAAAAGTTGTTGTAGATTTAGGCGGCGTTCGACCAAGTTACCTAGGTCCACCCGAGAGTAAGAGGTTGCAGTAGTTTATACTTCTAAAACTCTATAGCACTTGAACTTTAAATAGAAAAAACACAGTAGATGGAAATATCGGTGTTTTAACAAGATTAATTACAATCCGGCCCGCGATTCCGGCGAATGTGATTCCACCCACTCCCAAGGCCTGGCAACCGAGCTGTTCTGGTTTCAATTACAAAATGTTCCTATACATATGCTTACAACTTATGTGTATCTGCTATGCCATGTGTTTCCAAAAAAAAATGCGAGAAGGCCTCAACTTGTTTGGCGAAAAGACAATGAGCAATAAAACCCGGAAGTTCTCAGCAGATCTCAAATTTCTCGGGAAGGATCAGTGCTTCAAGATATGCAGGAGATGAAGGGTCCTTCGCAGCCCATGCTGGAATTTATACAACTTTTTTCTTTTTCCCAGAAAAATGCTTATCAAGTGGGAATGGGTCATCGCGTGACCACCGGTACGTTTCAACTATCTTGCATCAATTCTCTTTCAACAACCGAGGTAGAACCAAGTTCTGTCTTATTCGTAGTAGTCGATTGAGTGGGATTCGAGCTTTCATCGTGGCTGGTCTGTGGCTGAGCTCGAAGATATGGTCGAAGCGAGGGTAGGCAGGCAATTATCAGACTAAGTGTGTAATCCAAGGCCACAAAAAGCTCTGTTGAATCATTGTCAGGCATGTATTCATCAGTGTATAGGATGGTGGGATGTGCTGTACGTAGGAGGCTCATTGAAGGTGGGCTTTTGACAGAAGCAAGTTCAATTATAATGTAGCGAGTGAGACACACGATGATATCCGCCAGCCCAAGAAGAAAAGTGTAGTAGACACCCATCCTCAGACTACCTTTGAGCTGCAAGTCAGGCAAAATGAGCCAAGGGAGTGCGAAAACTGGGCAAGATCAGATATTCAGAACTTTCTCTTCAAAATGGCCTTTTGTGCTTACCGATGAGATCTCCCGCGAAATGCAACCCCCAGCTAATCCGAAGTAATCTCAACCCCCCCACGACAACACATTTATCGCCCATCCTAGAAAAAAGCCATATTAGCCCTCGCACAACCTTCTTTGCCGATATTTTCTGGGTTTATATTGACCCACCAGTTCTTTTCCAGTGGGATACACATGCGGAACATCTCAATCAAGATCACAATGGGACAAAGAATGATGTAAGCGAGTGTAGTCCAGAGCAAGATCCTCCTCTTGACCATGAATGCTGGAAAGATTTTCAGATATACTGTGAGCAAGGTTCCTTTGCACAACCAACACGTTATGATGAAAGGGATGGTGCTGCTCCACCTCAACTAACAATGGTCAATGTCGAACATGAAGGATCACTTGTTTGTTTTGAATCCTACCTTGACAATTAACAATATGTTTGCCGGGTCGCCTCGGTACCCTTCCAATGTGTAAAGCACGCCGTGGTCGAGCGCGCCCAGGAGGGCAAGTTTAATGTCGAATGCCGCAGTTATAACAGCAAAACACCAGGTTACACACATTAGGATGTCACTAGTGAGTAACCTCCGTTTTTGGATGTTGATCCGGAGATGAAAAAGCGCTATGAGGATGCAGCCAGCAATGGCGATGAGAGTCCATTGCGGTGCCTGAATCTGTTAGCAAAAAGGGCGAAGAATAGTTACTCAAGTGCAAAGGGGACCTTACAAGCACACCAGCAGGACCAGGGTACACATAAGCCATTGAAGGCCTGGCCATGGCTAACTCAGTTCACGAGATCCGTGTTTCGAAGGATTAGAAGGATTTAGGAGAGTAGTGAGCGATATGTTAGGAGAGCCATTTACCAGTGGAAGGGGTAGTCAGCAGCTTAAAATGTAAACGGAATTCTTCAAGCCTTATCCAGGTAGCTGGAGCCATTCCCGACGAGTTGGATGCGCGAGATATTTAAGTTTTGTGAGGTGGAATGTTAGAAGCCACAGCTGAAATTTCGGAGCGGGTGTAGCAATTATGTATCGCGTTCGGGAGCGGTTCTATCCTTTTCTTTCTCCCACATATTTAGAAGATAAATAGCTGCAATATGATCATAGTAGTTCTTTTAGAAACAGAAGATATGCTATTGAACGGGCTATGTACTATTATTGAACCGGGTGACGCTTAAGTGAGTAAATGTAACTCCCGCGCATGAGCTAGACATAGAGGAGTGAAAGTCCAAGTGCATCGCTACTAGGGGAAAGGTATACTTGTATGAAATTACCGTATCTATTAATTCCCTTGTCTCTGTATTCATTTGATAGTAGTGACCATGTTCACCGTACCCTCTGGGCTGAGACAAAGTTGAGATCTGCCGACGCCACTACCCAGTGATCGTCCACTTTTGAGGCGTTAAGATACCGAATTCATAGAATTATGCTAGTGGCTGAATAGGAAACACTCATAGCTTGAAATCTAGCCCGTGGTCATGCTATTGATCGCGGTTGTGGCTTCTATTCATAACGAGGCTCGAAGCGCTAAACACCCACCAATCCCACGCTAAAGCAACACACTCGATTGTTCTTTTAGCCCCGGACTTGCCTTTTGCGCTAGGGATAGTCTAGGGCTTCCCGTGCGGTCACCTGAGGCCCGTGTTCGGGTTCGGGGCCAGTCCACATGTTGTCTGGCATACCACGGACGTATCGCCCATGTGATTCATCTTAGTGAGGATGTCTCGGCCAATCCACAAAAGGTAAGAACACACGCGGCGGGTATGTAAAACAGAGAGCCGAGAGGCAAGGCATTCATGTAAGGCTGGTTAAGGCTGAAAGCTGCAAATCGTAGGTTTATTGGGTTTCCATTGTAATTTTAGTCGATGGGGCGATCTCAGTCCGATATTTCGGATCGACGCCAATTTCGACGAATGGTCCTGTTGTCTTTCTGTTGGCTCTACGCCACTATCGTATCTGGGTCGAGAATAATACACAGGGAGAAGGCGGTTTTTCCTGCTCTAGGGTGGGAGGAGTGCTTCCCTCACCTACATGTGAGCATACGGCTAAGACAAGAGCATATCACTCCAATGTTGAGCTGTTTGGTATTTTGTAGGCTACGGAGACAACTTACATTAGCTCACAAGCAGTAGATTATCATGCAAAGTCACCTTGACATTATGTATGAGAAGATAAAATCGTTGAATGAGGCTGAAGCAAACGCCTTCAAAAGACACTCAGAGAAAGTTATATTTCGAATAAACAAACTAACACGAGATCATGCCAGTACGCATAAGAGAAATTAAGTGTCAATTCCAACAGCAATGGAAGATTCCAGAGCCCGACATGTCAACACAGTGAATACGCGTCCCCGGTGTACGGATTGGGCTTCTCCTCAGTCATCCCTGGCGGAAGGACGCAGCCTTGATGAAATCATGCCGCTGGTAGCGAAGATGCCCCAACGGCCGGGCACACTTCCATACTAAAGCATTCTCTCTTCGTAGCCACAATACACTTGCTGGTGGCACGGTCAAAGGCCATGTTTTGACCGCACTGCGGTATGTCTGTAGAGATGCAAGCCGTACCTGATGGCACCAGCGGCGGTGTACATTCAGGGCCGTTCTTGGCGATACACAGATTTCCAACAGGCTCTGTTCCCTCAGGACATTCAGGCCCGCTGTCAAGGATGCACTGCCCACCCTTTAAATGTGAGCCATCAGGACAACCGGGCTCAGCACTGGCAACACACTTTCCATCGTTGTCCATATCATGGTCAGCGGGACACCTGGGTGTCTCCTCAGATTCACACCGGCCATCGACGATCCTGGTGCCATCCGGGCACTTGGGGCCGTCCCGAGACACACACTTGCCCGTTGCCTGATCGAAAGTCAATGTTCCCTCGCAGCGAGGATCCTTGTCCGAGATACAGTCGTTCCCAACACGCTTGTGACCCTCGGGACACTTGGCGCCGCCGATGATGACGCACTTGTCGCCAACACGCTGGAGAGGCGCGACGCATTCAGGCCCTCCATCCGTGCGTACGCATTTTCCGTCTACGAGCCTGAATTTTCCGTTGCCCTCGCACCTGGGAGGATCTTTAGAGACACACTCGCCGTTGTCGTATCTCTCCCCCCGCTCGCAGACCGGGTTGTCTGGCCAAATACATTTGCCCTTGTGCAGATACGTGGGCCTCTCGCAAAAAGGATCAGAGGGGTGTCTGCATAAACCATCAGAGTAGAAGTACCCGTCCTTGCAAGTCGGGTTCTCATCGGCAATGCACTCATTCTTCTCAAGGCGAAATTTGGATGGGCAAAAGGGCTCGCCTCCAAGGCATTTCCCATTGAAAAGCTTGCTATCGCCGGGGCATTTAGGCCTCGTGGTCTTAACACATTCGTCTTCAACTAGATGGAAGTTTCTAGGGCAGGTTGGAGTGTGCTTTAGGATGCATTTTCCATCGTGGTAGTCTCCTTCCGGGCAGTCTGGGTGTGCTCTGACTTCACACTTGTCACCCCTGAGCTCCATAAGTGGTGGGCATTTCACTGGTCGAGGTTTGTAATGGCACCACGCACCATCCTCTTCACTTCCAGGCGGGCATTTGTCGTTCCCGCCTTTTTCGGATCGACAACCGACACCATTGTATGAGGTGCCTTTGGGGCAGCACATGTACCTACCGCTGTCAGGGTCTTTCGAGAGTTCCCTGTCGGTCTCGGTACAGGTAGCCGGGCTTGTCTTGCTGCACATGCCGTCGACGAAAGAGTAGCCGCTATCGCACACGGCGTCCTTGACACACGTCTCCCCTTTGGGTGTGCCATCCTCGCATGTTGGGGTTTCTTTAGTCTCACAGTTGTCGCCATTAAGAACACCGTCGCCCTCGCAATACATATTGCCTTTATGGCGACATAAACCCTCAACATGTTTGTAGCCTTCCTCGCAATCTGGCTCCCTATCCCCGACACAGCGTCCATCCCTGGTGGGTGAGCTATGCTCGGGGCAGCTTGGACCGGCGGGGTCGATGCAGACGCCTCGCTCAAGCACTTGATCCTTTCCCATGCACTTGGGAGGCACGCGGGACCAACACCAGCCGTCTTGGAAGTCGAACTTTGCTGGGCAGCTTGGTTCATGCTTGGCAACGCACTTGCCGTCCTTATAGTCAAAGGCAGAATAGGCGCATTTCGGCTTAGACTCAGAGACGCAAAGGTTGCCATCAGGTTTGGTATCCTTGGGACAATGGGGGCCCCACGGGTCTGAACAGTAAACGCCGTCGAAGACCAACCCATCGGGACAAAGAGGTGTGCTGACACACATGTTTCCCTCAAGTCTCGATCCTTGGGGACAGACTGAAGACTCGGGGAAAACACAGGCGTTGCCGTCGTTGATTGTTCCGGGGGGACAGCAACGGCTATTACCTGTGTTGTCCAAGGTGGGAATGAGGTCCTCGAGGCGGATTTCCCTCACCGGCGGAAGAACATCGCCGACGGTAGTTTGGTTCTCGGGCACGGGGAAGCTCAAGGAAGAGCCACCAACTAAACGAGCGGCGGCTATCTGGATCAATTGACCCAAGTTGGTTTGCTGGTCATCAGCTTGAACGCTGATTGCAAGACTCGTCACGAGTAGGGTCTTCCACAACAGGGTCATTTTGACGTAGTGAAAAAATTAATTGTCCAAAGTCTTTAAAATTGTTTATGGAACTGTTGGGATAGCTGAGCCCAGACCTACGAGGACGAGCCCCTTTATTAGTGGACAGCCATACACTATAGTTCCAAGCAGAAACCCTTCCCCGACACTTTACATGCTTAGTTCCTCTTACACTTGGGACATACCAGAGTCTATGTGCAAATACCCCCGACTAGCAGTCCTAGCAGTGGAAAGATGATCTCCAGTTGACTATCAGAACCGATATGATCTAAGTCTAGCCCCGGAAAAGCTCCTATGGGTGGCACAATACCTTAGGCGAGGGCGTCAATGTCGCCTAATGGATATGAGAACCTTCTTCCGGTCTTGTAGCTATACCTTCTGGTTGGTGGAGACCACAACATAGGACCAGCCTCTTAACACATTAATCTAAGTAGTTACATGTTATGCTTTGAATGACGAACGGTCACTTCTCCTTTTTGGCTGCCTAGAGTAACACCATATGAAGGTAGACGGCACGTATACCCTCCAAAAGCATATCTAGATCCTTTCCAATTTCAGTCCAACCATATCTCCATAGAATAATAACAATTCAATGATGAAATCCAGAAGGCCACTGTTCCAATGGCGCGATACTTAATAAAGCTCGACACCGTTAGCCCCTATTAATCGTCTCACACTAGCTCGTCCGCCACTGGAGGCCCGCGTTCAAAAAATATAACCGAGGTTTGGTATCTAGGGCCAAAAATCATTAAGTGTCTTTATCCAATCGCCTACCCCGAGCTTCTGTATAATTGGCAAAAGAAAGGAGATCAAAAATGAGCTATCGACCTCGCTGACAGTTGCTAAATGCTGCATCTCGCTAATGCTTCAACCGTCCAGTGTGATGCTAGCCACTTACAAATCTATGATGGCCACTTTTACCCAGCTCTCATCTGCGGGTTTCCCCACGGAGGCCACTGCCCGACCCCAACCTATTAGCCTTTGTAGATGCAGTGAATGTGGCGTTAAAGGCATCTCCTTGTTTCAGCTTGTCGGAGATCGCCTGTTGGTTTCCCTCATTGTACCATCGTTCCATTTAGATGGCTGAGTTGAGAAATAGCCCCATTCCAATGAAGCCATGCTTGGAGTGAATGGTGAAATCATTGATCGTGCCCGGATAGCTAC